CGAGACCTCACAACGTAAATAGGTAAGTTATGGGCGCCGAGTAAACAAGTTCAACTTTAGTAAGAAAATGGATTATGGGTGGTAATATAAGTTTATTGTACTTTTTAGGCGTCTTCTTCTTTGTGTTGCTTTTGTGGGTTGAGCTACCTCCTTGATGGACCACTATTTGGGCTTATTAGTATTAAGCTATTGTAACTTAATAAAACACCATGTTGCTACTCGTCAATAAACACGTGAGCTAGCTGTTGTTTTGAAAGGTAAATGTGGAAAAAGACGGATGAACTCAGTTCAGTAAGGTTTAGGCTATCACACTTAGAAATATTGGCACACATGAATATTAAATACATTTTAATTACATGACACTTAATTACAAAGTGTTTACTTTATAATGTTAATCTACAACGTCTATGTTCAAAGTAAAACGCAATTCTTCAAAATAAAAAAAGACGTCTTTTATTTTATTTTTATTTTTATTTTTTTGAGTTTGTAGTGGAATTATTGACCTAACTATTGTTTGGAGGCCTATTCATTCACGGACAAATAGCAGAATTTTTACAAAGGTCACAGAGAAAAGGAAGGTAAAAGAAGCGGATTAAAATAAACCGACAAAACAAAATAAAGAAATTATATTAAAAGTTTTAAAACATATTACAAAACTGTATAACTGTAGACATACAAATTCAATGTGATCAAAGAGTTCTCAATAACAAATGGTTCCAAACTTCAGGAGGATTAATCAAAACAACGAATCTGAAGGCATTGTAATTCAGTGTGTTTATTGGAATGAAAATTATTTTGCAGCAAAATGTCTTTTAACAGATACATATTGTTTATCTTCTTCATTTTAAAGCAGAAATGCTGCAGTTTTTTTTCAGAGCATGCCACCTAGAGGCGGAAACATGTACTGCACCTTCAGCCCCTCTCCCTAGCCATGCAACAGAGCTAAACCATTGTTTACAATAACCATTCTCTGTTTATGTTGTTTATGTTGTTTATTTTGTATTATATATATATATATAATTCCAAAAAGGAGAAAAACTCTGGATTGCTGCTTTAGTAAGTCCCTCAATCTTTGGCTTGGTGGCATGATGTTAAGGCTTGAAATGCTGCAGATATTGAATTTATTCATATAGGAAGCTGACATAAAGCTCATTGGCAGGCCTGAAGTTAGTAGTACCGTTTTTTTTATTTCAGCTATTATTTTTACAGCTCTTGATGATTGTAAAGAATTTGAATGAACTAGTTCTACTTTTGCCCATTTAAAAATCCAGATTCTTCTGTAGCCATGGCAACAAAACACTATCAAAGGAAAATCTAATCAAGGCAAACAGACGAAAAGAAAATATAACAAAAACATCTGGTTTGCAGTGGTATAAACAGACCTTATTAGCTACTAAATAACACTACTTAGTATTTCATTCTTTCCTTGCACAAATAGCTCGGGGTAACAGTTTGAAGGCAGCATACTTGTGATTCATTCTCTCTGTGCGTGTGAGTCATAGTTTACTGGCACTGTCCCAGTTTTAGGTCACAAATTTAAACATTTACCAACCATTTTTGGTTTGATTTAGACCAGATCTCCACATTCCTGCTCCTTCCCAATGAATACTGACTCTCTCTCTTCTACCCTCCACTACTATGGATAATTATCCTCTTTTTATGTATTTTATACTAACTGAGCAGCTTAAATGGGCTCACAGCTGCTCTGGCTGGTAAGGATATGCCGTATTTTACCTCACCCTCAAATTTTTACACTAAATAGTTTCAGTCTTTTATCAACATCGGACTGTTCTTGAGTTTCCTCTCCTTTTCTCTCCACTCGCCCAGTACTTTTGTCCCCACTGGCTTTGCCCTGCTCTCTTTTTTTTGCCCTTTTCATCTTGTGCTCCCGTGCCGTCTTCTCTTTGTCTTGGATTTGCCAGCGTCAGCGGTCAGGATCAGTGAGTGGGCCAGCAACAACGCCCCACCCTGCCCAGTTCTAAGCAAGTGCTGTTTAACAAATGTGCTGCATCTGCTCATTACATTTATGTGCCGACAAATTTCTACCAGTGACTTAAATAGATATGTGTTTGTGTGTATCAGATATATAGGCTTTTGTTTTAATGCTACTATATTTCCAGTATTTGTGGATTTCTCAGATGCATCACTCCCTGAACGTCACATAGGATAATTAGCAAACCTTGCTGTGGTCTGCCTGGAGCAGCTGGTGTTTGTTCAGCAGACTCTTGGTTTTCTTGTTGGGTATTTTCTGCTATTTCAGTTCTAGTGAGAGCAGTTTTAGTACCTAAGATGTTCGTGCTCCTCTCTAGCTGCTCCACATGATCAGCAGCTTTTGTCATGATCCCTCTGGCCGCAATCACCATTCCTCTGATCTTTTGTGATGTTTCCATCTTCCTGTCATCACCCTGTATGCCATAGCGTTTGGAGAATTATGAGGATCTAGGAGCAGAAAAAGATCCCACATTTTTAGCAGCAAATACCTCTTCCACATTTTTGTTTATGTAAGTGCATTTTAGTCATGTGAGATGCTAAATCAGTAGGAAAGGCTTTGTGGCGGTTGGAAATGGAGGAGGGGGGGTTGCTATTGGACCAATGTGCTGAGCAGAGCTGCATTGGGATGTTTCTTATAGTTTGAAGGAATATTTCCTTCTCTGCACCCATAGATAACATCTCTGACTGCAATATGAAAAAGGAAGTGCTGAACTAGTCTCAGAGAGACGTTTGTTATCTGAAACTTTTGTTGCCGTGGAGTCCAAATATTTGACATTTCTGTTTACTTTGTGCTTATCAAACCACCTATGCAGATTTTTAATAGTGTGCTTGATTCAAATACAGCTACTTAGCTACCCTCAATACTACTGACTTAGCTTGTTACTCCTATGTTGAAAGTGCATATTGGCCTTGCATACGGCTTGTATGAAGCCTGGTGGAACGTCTTATTAGGGAAAGGAACATGTTGACTCTTTTGTTGTTTATGGTTTTTGAAAGTCTTTTGGAAAGTTAAATTTTCCATGTAGGGATTGACTGATACATAGTGTGCTGATATTTACCTTTTTTTTGTATCGGCCAATATGCCTCAGTAGTTGAGCCAGTTTCAAATCAAGCACATCTGTAGACAGCTCAGTACTGCTATAGTATTTTATTTAAATTTATTGCAGTCTCCCTGGGGTCCCTGCGCTCTGGGGCAGCTCCTGGATATCTGAGACTTGGAGCTTCTTCCATCTCCTACACATCTTTGGGGGCAGATTGTGGTCCCTCACACTCCATTGGACGCTCCTATAGATAAACCTTACATATACAAGCACGTGTTTACACACAGGTGCTCACATGGTGCTCTCATAAGTATGAACTTGGACACGTTCAACACATGTCTTAAGGCTGTGGTTGGCACTAAATGCACTGTGAGTTATTATCGTGTGATTGTTCAGTAAACCAATGTTGATTTTCCTTACCAGGTTGACGCAGCGATTGTTTGCTCCTGTTGTATTGTTGTGTGTTGTTTTTCTTTTTTTCTACTTCTGCAGGTCTAGAAGCAGACTCTTGTTCATCATTGATTGTTTATTTTTGTGGACCCCCTCCTTTTGTCTCTTCCTTTCTCTTTCACCTCTGTCTCCGTGTCCGTTCGGAATTGCAAGCATTCAAATAACAATAACAATAAAGTTTTAAGTATCAGGCGTGACATTAAAAGCAGAAGCTTTGATGCTCCACCTGAGAGTAAATCTGTAAGGCTTGTTCCCTGCATTCAGACATTAATTCTGTTTGCTTCACAGCCAGATAGGACATGAGAGAAATAAATTAAAAATAAATAAATGTCATTTATGTTCCTGTAAAACATCTCCTTAACTCATGAATTGCCGGCTGTTTCCTGATCAGAAAGAACTCTCTCTGTCAGCGTTTTTTTTGAGTGTTTTTACTGTTTTTTTTAAGAGTCACAGAACGTTGCGCTCTATGATGATGTCAACGCCAAAACTACCAAAACAAAGGGTAGACTCATTTCTTACATCAGGAAGAATCAGCATGTTTCGAGCGTTATCTGTTCTTTCATAATCTGTAGTCGAATTGTGATCGTCAGAAGCTTTTCCAGTTCGCGCCTCTCGTTTTTCACAACAGCGGTCAAAAACAATCTCCTAATATGGGATTTTCTGCTTCCTGATCACGTGACATGTGACGTACGCGAATAAAGATCAGCATTAGAGCTGTGATGTTTGTTCTCACGGTGCAGGGGCTTGTTCCGACACCTGCCCAGTAAAAAAATTCTGATGATGACTTTAGTCGTCAATGGCAGTAAATGAGTTAATAAATGCTGTAAAACATTATTGTCAGCTGAGATTTCTTTATGTTTGCCATTTTTTTATTTAAAGCAGAAATCTGGACTTTTTCACCACCTAGTGGTGGAAAAATGTATTGCACCTTTAAGCCCCTCTCCCTGCTGCCTTGATACCGCTGGGGGAGTTCACAAAAATAAACAATAAAGGATGTACAAAAATCTGCTGAAAAAGAGAGAAAACAATGGGACACACACAAAAATACAACAGAATCAAATATCACTGCACCAACGACGTGATGATATAAAACCGTAGCAATGTATGCTGGAAAGCACACTGTAATAATTCATGGTGCATTTAGTGCCAACCACAGACTTAGGTTATTTGTCAAAAACATTGAAGCCCATACTTGTGAGAGCACCAAATAAGCATATGTGTGCATACACCTGCTGTATGTAAGGTTTCTCTATAGAAGTGTGTAATAGTGAGTGTGTGGGGCCACAGACCTGCCCCCAAAGATAGAGGAGATACGAGCCCCAGAGATCTAGAGGTTCAAAGTTGGTTAAGGGTTCAACAACGTATTCGGTTAAGAAATGTTGTGCATCCACTTGTCATTAGTGCAACATTTTTGCATGCAAAGAAGGCAGAAAATCTTCTCGATATCAGTCATGAAAATCAACACAAAAAAATCAGCACCGTATATCAGCCATCAGAAAGAAAGAAAGAAAGAAAGAAAGAAAATGATTTTTATAGCACCTCTCCCGATAAAAATCACGAGGTGCTTCACAGAAACAAAAAGAATGAAAAAATAGCTGTCCATGACCTCTACATACCAGCATCTGTATCAACAATAGGAAAACCCATAGCAGCCTATCGCTAATTCCGTGTAGAGCTACTAAATGCACCCGTTTTATTATGATGTTGTTTTGTTAGTTACTGTAAACAGTGAAGGCATCACTCCTTCCTCCAGCAACCAAAGCATCAGACATTGTGATGCATAATTATCCGTCCCCCTGCCCAGATCAACCCAGATTATTAGGGTTGGTCAGTTAAAAAACAAACTTGTTTTTGTAGTCCCACTGAGCTCAGTTATTAGAAAACCGTCTGAGTTGAGCATCTCTGCACGGGCAGGTCTACCTTTAGATGCTAATTTATTCAAATAAGTCATGTGGGAGGGCATGTTTCTGTGTGCGTGTGTGTGCTGTCCCACAAACTTCCTGTCTGTTGGGTTGAGACTGCCACCGCTTCCCTTTCTGTCATCATCTGCCGCTCTTTTTCACTCGGCATGGTGGTTACGCTGCTGCTGACTCGTGCCAAAAGAATGACATCTTAGCTCTGAGCACGGTAAGACTTCAGATACTGTAATGATTTTATTAAAATGATCTAAAATTGGAGAATTGTTTGACAGTAGAGACGATGACTACTGTGTGACGTCCATTGGAGTAGATCGATTATCATGTGTCAGTGTTTGGGTACCTTAGTTGTCAGATTGTTTGGAAACTTTGCTTAAGTTTTGCTGAACCCAGCTTGGACATTTGGACAGGTATGTCTCTAGATTTGACATAAAGGGAAACGCAGGAATGTGGTGCGTGAGACTTAAGCTCTCCCCTGAGTGTTAACTTGTTTTGTTGCAGCTCTGGAGCTTCTCAGCTGTTTTTATTAATAAAAATATACCGGAAGTGGGGTTCATTTAGAGCCCGGTGAGTCAAAACTCATTCCTCCTTTTGGAATAAGAATAAAATGTAGTTTCTGAATGGCGAGAATAAAGATCTTACTACAGAAACACTGAGACTGAGTCTGTTTTTTATATTTTCACTGTTACACTAGCTTGACAGTTGTCTCAGCATAGCTAAGCTGTTTACGCTACTTAACTGAAGTGTAAGCGCACATCCATGACCAATGAGATTTCAGAGTTACGTAATCTGTGAGCGGCTGAGTTGCTGAACGTTAAACTTGTCAGAGAATTTGCAACAAACATGATCACAAAAGAAATCCGCTCGCTCTCTTCTGAGTCAGACCATCTGTAATGATTTCTCCTAGCTTTAAACATGCTGGGTCTGTTCAGGTACTTGAAATGTATTATTTATGTTTGTTTACTCTGATAGCATCTCAATCAGTTGTCTTTTCTTTAAGCATGTGTATGTTGTATTGTTAGTTTTCCGTGTGCTTTCATGTTGTGGGTCTAATTTTAATTCATGCTGTGTAATCTCAGCGAGTGTTTGAGCTGCAAGACGTATTAGTTGGATTACAGGAGACTAAGATTAACTACAAACGCATCTGCTACATATTTAACTAGCAGAAAGTTCACAGTTGTTACGGTGTTTGGGTAATTGTCTTTAATAGTGCCACTACTGCTCTAGATTGTTTATGTATTTAGCAGACGCTTTTGTCCAAAGCGACTTACAAGTGATAATCGGCATGTTGCTCTTGAGGCTAACAATAATAACAACAACAACAACAAACAATTTCCAGTCAATTGTAGGTGCCAGTGAGGCAGCATGATGAATTATGGAGAGGAGGGAACAAGGAGTGGACAGTAGAGAGGGGGGCGGGTGCAGGGAGGGTGCTAGTTTAGAAGATGCTCTCTGAAGAGCAGGGTCTTCAGGAGTTTCTTGAAACTCGAAAAGGAAGCTCCTGTTCAGGTAGTGCTTGGTAGGTCATTCCACATTTGTGGAACGATGCATGAGAAGAGTCTGGATTGTCCTGAGCGTGGTGTAGGCACTGCTAGCCGACGATCTTGTGATGACCGGAGCGGCCGGGCCGAGACGTAAGCCTTTGCAAGAGGATTCAGGTAGATGGGAGCCATACCATCTCGGACTTTGTATGCTAGTGTTAGCAATTTGAATTTGATGCGTGCTGCTAGCGGTAGCCAGTGGAGCTCGATGAACAGAAGGGTGACGTGTGCTCTTTTTGGCTGATTGAAGACCAGATGCGCCGCTGCGTTCTGGACCATTTGAAGAGGTCTCACAGTACAGCCTGGAAGACCAGTTAGAAGGGCATTGCAGTAATCGAGGCGGGAGACGACAGTAGATTGCACCAGGAGCTGGATTGGTGCTCTAGTCTAGAGCTCGTAGTTCTAGATACTGCTGATGATACTTATGTGCTACAGATTGACTTTAACTGTTTAGTTGAGATGACAGCCGACATACAGTGGTGTGAAAAACTATTTGCCCCTTCCTGATTTCTTATCCGTTTGCATGTTTGTCACACAAAATGTTTCTGATCATCAAACACATTTAACCATTAGTCAAAGATAACACAAGTAAACACAAAATGCAGTTTTGAAATGATGGTTTTTATTATTTAGGGAGAGAACTAAATCCAAACCTACATTGCCCTGTGTGAAAAAGTAATTGCCCCCTGAACCTAATAACTGGTTGGGCCTCCCTTAGCAGCAATAACTGCAATCAAGCGTTTGCGATAACTTGCTACGAGTCTTTTACAGCGCTCTGGAGGAATTTTGGCCCACTCATCCTTGCAGAATTATTGTAATTCAGCTTTATTTGAGGGTTTTCTAGCATGAACCGCCTTTTTAAGGTCATCTCAAATGGATGCAGGTCAGGACTTTGACTAGGCCACTCCAAAGTCTTCATTTTGTTGTTCTTCAGCCATTCAGAGGTGGATTTGCTGGTGTGTTTTGGGTCATTGTCCTGCTGCAGCACCCAAGATCGCTTCAGCTTTAGTTGACCAACAGATGGCCGGACATTCTCCTTCAGGATGTTTTGGTAGACAGTAGAATTCATGGTTCCATTTATCACAGCAAGCCTTCCAGGTCCTGAAGCAGCAAAACAACCCCAGACCATCACACTACCACCACCATATTTTACTGTTGGTATGATGTTCGTTGTCTGAAATGCTGTGTTACTTCTACGCCAGATGCAACGGGACATTTGCCTTCCAAAAAGTTCAATTTTTGTCTCATCAGTCCACAAGGCATTTTCCCAAAAGTCTTGGCAATCATTGAGATGTTTCTTAGCAAAATTGAGACGAGCCCTAATGTTCTTTTTGCTCAACAGTGGTTTGCGTCTTGGAAATCTGCCATGCAGGCCATTTTTGCCCAGTCTCTTTCCTATGGTGGAGTTGTGAACACTGACCTTAATTGAGGCAAGTGAGGCCTGCAGTTCTTTAGAAGTTGTCCTGGGGTCTTTTGTGACCTCTCGGATGAGTTGTCTCTGCGCTCTTGGGGTAAATTTGGTCAGCCGCCCACTCCTGGGAAGGTTCACCACTGTTCCATGTTGTCGCCATTTGTGGGTAATGGCTCTCACTGTGGTTCGCTAGAGTCCCAAAGCTTTAGAAATGGCTTTATAACCTTTACCAGACTGATAGATCTCAGTTACTTTTGTTCTCATTTGTTCTTGAATTTATTTGCATCTTGGCATGATGTCTAGCTTTTGAGGTGCTTTTGGTCTACTTCTCTGTGTCAGGCAGCTCATATTTAAGTGATTTCTTGATTGAAACCGGTGTGGCTGTAATCAGGCTTGGGGGTGGCTACAGAAATTGAACTCAGGTGTGAAACACCACAGTTGGGTTATTTTTTAACAATTACTTTTTCACGCAGGGCAATGTAGGTTTGGATTTTGTTCTCTCCCTAAATAATAAAAACCATCATTTGAAAACTGCATTTTGTGTTTACTTGTGTTATCTTTGACTAATGGTTAAATGTGTTTGATGATCAGAAACATTTTGTGTGACAAACATGCAAAAGAATAAGAAATCAGGAAGGGGGCAAATAGTTTTTCACACCACGGTATTTGTTTTCTAATGCATCTGTACTTCCATTAAATGAAGTTGTGCTCATATCTAGCGTCCCTTTTTTAAGAGTCTTTATTTCCCAGCATGCATTTAATCTTAAAGCCATTTCACGTGCCGGCAAAAAGCTTGGGAATTGCAGAACTCTTTGACATTTAACCCATTTGAAGCTGTGCAACTAAGCAGACACACAGACCGTTAACCCACCCAGAGCAGTGGTCAGCTATAGCTGCAGCCCACCCAGGGATCAGCGGGGGAGCTTGGGGCTTAGTTTAAGGGCAACTGTTAATGAATTCACCACAGATTTGGATGTGCATACATATGAGCCCTAAACTACTCTTTAACCTTTATTCATGATTTATTTGTTTTCCCTTTTTACTTAAACTATTTCGTCCGTGACAGAATTTAAAGGATTTGGCGACATTTTAAAGCAGAAGTTGCAGATTGAAGCCATCTAATCATCTCGCCCCCTCTCTAATTCTTTGTTTTCAGGATTTTTCGGAAAACCACAAACACATGAAGGTTTTCTCTTAAACTGCACTCTGGTTTTTCTGTACTTGGCAACAATTAAAATAAGAAGCAACTGGAGCCGGATACATTCTGTTTCTGTGCAGTTTGTTAAAAAATAAAAATAAAAAACACAATAATTTTACTTTAATGTGGTAAACCACAACGTGACAGGGTGCCATGATTTAATATCTCTTCATAAATGTGCTACCAGTACCTGTGCTGGAATTTCTTTTTGTAAACTTTTTAGCACTGACCAATAGTCTTTGAGCAAGCTTTGGTTGATTCCTGGTTGCACCTGTTTCTAGTTCACATCCTTCTGATTCTTTATCACAAGGTTGAAATCTCATTGTTTGGAGATAATGATGACATTTTAATTGTGAGAATGTCCTCTCATGGCTGCCATAGAAAGTACTCAGAAACAAAACACACTCTGTACTGGACTGACCACCTCTAACATCAACAAACAAAACAACAAACAAATGTGTTTTTTTTGCTCTCTTTCAGTCATGTCTCGCAGAAGTTCTCGCCTCGTGTCTGGTGGCTACTACCACTCAGATGAAGAATCTGACTCGAGCAGTGTGACAAACATATCCTACAGAGAAAACCCTGTCAAGTAAGTCGCTCTGAGTTGGTTTAACATGTGCAAAAGTTTGAGTTCTGGTTAAGTCAAGTCGGAGTACTTTTGCTCCACTGCTTGTTTTCTCTTTCAGGGTTTTTAAGAAGTCCAGAACTCGGAAGGCTGGTTCCAGCAGCTCCAGCAGAGCCAGTAGCAATGCTCGATCTGCTACCCCTGAGTCCCCTCTTACCGCAGGTCTGAAAACATCCAAACATAATGAAGTAGTAGCATCAAGACCTGCAATAATACTAAGAATGACAATTTTCAAATTATAATTTAAAATTTTTGTTGTTAGAATTGGTTCTTATTTTAAAATGTGCATGACTTCAGATTCACTCCTTAAACTCTATTATTTACATGTGTCGCCTGGTGAGCTACTGAATGGATTTGTATGGAAGAGGATTAGAGTCACTGAAAAGGAAAGAAAAGAAAGATAATTCTGGCTTTTTTCTCAAAATTCTGACTTTAATCTCAGAATTCAGATTTTTTTTCTCAAGATTATTAAAGCCAGAATTATGAGATTAAAGTCAGGATTCTGAGAAAATAGTGAGAATTCTGATTTTAATCTCAGAATTCTGACATTTTTTCAAGATTATTAAAGTCAGAATTCAGAGAAAAAAGTCAGAATTATTTTTTATTTATTTTCAGTGGCCCTAATCTTTTTCTGTAGATTTGAATAGAACTCTTAAGATAATTATTGGAAGTACATCGACAGCTGATTTACAACCCAACTCAAAAATCTGCCACAGCTAACCACTGTTAGTAAACACTCGAGGGCGTAACGGTACACCTAAAATCCAGGTTGATTCTTATGTCACAGTTCGGTTCATTTTTGGTATTTCAAGTATTTTCTTATAGACCCTTTTACTACCTACGTCATCAAAAGTTGCGCGCGCAGCCTGGCAACGAGAGTGAAGGCTTCCGCATTCACACTCGATACTAAAACAGCGTTTTAAACCCTTTGTTTTGAAGTTCTGAGCACATGAAAATGTCGGGTTGTTGCGTGTATGGATGCCAGAATCGCTTCTCTTCAAGCAGTGGGCTGAAACTTTGCAGAATTCCGAAGGGAGCACGTCCATTTCAGCAAAATCGGAGGCGTCTGTGGCTGCAGGCCATCAACAGGGTTGATGAAAACTGGACTGAAAACACGATCCGAAATGCTCGAGTTTGTAGCGCCCATTTTATATCAGGTAAGGTAATTATGTACTAAGATTACACCAGAAAGCTGGTTAACGTGTGTTCTATTAAATAAAGTAAGTTGCGTTTGCTGGTTTGCTTTTAAGCAGTCTATTTATTTACAGGCGAGGTGTCAATGGACTCCTCGAGTCCTGATTTTGTGCCTTCTGTGTTTACGTACACTGTGAAGACGTAGTTCTCTGGTTTGTTTACTATGAGCCAAGCCTCGTACATAGCAGTCTTGTGTCCTTGTCTTTGGCTAGGAAGGACTTCTGCCTTCAAGACGCAAAACTCAGAGTCTATGTCGTGATGTTTTACTTTCTGTACGTGGCCACAGACAACATAGTTGTATGCATCTAACGATTTGTATGCCCGTAGCTTCTCACGTGTGTACTTACTGGGCCTCTCCACTAAAAACGTATATATATATCGGGCCACTGGATATCTGGCCACGCACCTACATCTTCCACCCATTCCGTAATGCCACAGGGATCCGGGAGTCTGTTGCCATTCGTTAAAGTGAGTTTAATAATATAACATTCAAGATTTGCCGGTGATAACCCCGCAGCGTAGCTTGATAAAGCCTGACACAACGTCATTCTCTGTTGCCAAGCTGCGCGCACATTCTCGCTGACGTCATATTGTTTACAAACAGTAAAAGGGTCTATAAGGAACTGTAACATCAGTGCTGAAACTGAAAGAACAGGCTGCTTTATTTAAATATAAAAGTATTTTCTTTCTTAAGGAAAAACTGAAAGTAGATATCCTGAAGAGCAGCATTAAGCCTTGTTCAGGTTCACCAGACCGTCATGGTTTTGATAGAAATACTAACATGTCCACGTTTTCTGCTGAAAGGACAGATCTGTCGACAATGTCTCCAACTGTAGAAAATATCCTCTCGCTACAGACAGAGGTAGCTCGTACGCTGCGAAGTTTAGTTTCATCTTCTGTTTATCTTAGTCGTGGTTGCTAGGCAACGGGTCATATACCGAGGTAAGACTGTCCAATTTCACAGCCCTTCACTTACGGTCATTCAGGCCGTCCTCATGGTATGATGAAAAGCAGAAGGCCAAATAAACGGTCAGTGTTCTGAAATGACACACCAACCCACGAGGGTCCGGTGTCCGTTACCGACACCAGCCTACGTCCAGCAGATATGGCAAATGTGAAGTCAACAGTTTTACGTTTGCGTTGACTGTCAAACTGCTGGTTAAATGTTCTCTAATCTCACTCACAGGTGTGAGTCCACTAAGTAATCCCGCTCAGCCCACCATGAGGACAGTACCTTACAGCCCCTCCGTGGTCACCCCTCGTCCGGCCCTGACACCGTCATGCTCCCGCGGTCAGACGCCCACACGATGCTCCTCAGTAACCCCAGCGAGAAGTCCCAGTGCTGGCCTCTGCAGCTCCAATACTCCAGCTTTACACTGCAGAGCCGACCACAAGGAGAAGAGTCAAAGTGGCGTGGACAGCTCGGGGTACTCGTCGTCTGAGGACCCGTACGGGAAGCCTTTACCAGTCACCAGCAGAATCGGCAGCGGGGCTCCCAGTGTCAGCTACAGGAGCAGGCTCAGCAGTGCCTTTAATCGTCTGACGGGTGAGCACCAGCTCTGGTTTTATGTTTGTGTCTTTATTCTGGTTGTGAATAATAACCTGTTAGTTTGTTGTTGTTGTTGTTGTTGTTTTGGAAGATTCCACCACTCTAATGGCTGCTGTAGCTCATTCAAAGATTCTTCACCTGACATCTTCAGGTATGTTATCAGTGTGTTGTTCACGTCTGCACATGTTTCAACAGGTAAGAACTCTTACGCTAACATTTCCCTTTACTCATAAGCATTATACACTGTTCCCACATACCCACACGGTTGTGATTTGGCTCTGGCTCATCAAAGCTCCTGCTCATGAACATTCTTCCTCTTCTGTGCAGTCAACACCTCCCTCAGCAGTCGGACGAAGAAGGCTTGTGGCCTCGTTCTCCTCCTCATCATCATCGTACTTTTATGTAGGTAGCATCATTTAACAGATTGTTTGTGTTCCGTATCCTTTCTCTGTGAAAACTGTTAGGTAGTGCACACCCACTGAGCTCTCCGCTTGATCTATGTACTCCGAGTTTCCCCCAGGAAGTGAAAGGAGGCAGTAGGTTTGACTCCGAGCTGGACTGGTTTGTGTCCTTTGTTGTTGTTGTGGTGAATTTATCATGGCCTTTGATCTTGGAAATATTTGTTCTAAGTGCTTTTTCTGAAGGCGTTGTCCCTCCTTTGTCATCCAGGCATTTGGTTCCTCCTTCCTTTGTTCACCTATTTCATCTCCTGCATGACAAAGACTCCATCCCAGATGAAACCAGAGAGTCCTGTCCTCTCCGCCAGCTTTCCTCCTCAATCCCACCTCCCTCATGCACCTGTGGTGGTAGGACTCCACGACTGTCGACTTACGTTTCCTATGTATCATAATTAGAATGACATGTGTACAACTACTGAGTGGATTTAAACAAAAACTCCCAGAGAAACCATGACTGGGCGTGCATCTACAGCAGCTTACTGACAAAGCTCTAATTCAGTTATGTTCACAGATCATGAACCGTTGTGTGGCAGTAGCTGAGCACACACTCTGGTTGCTAACAGGTTGCTCATAATGTAATAATAAAGATTTGGTCAAAGAGGCTGTAATTGGAAAGTGTTTCTTCCAACAGGATCCTGCTGTTATTTCTGCAGCTGTGGAAGAAAAGATGAAATATTTTCTGGTAAGAGAAAACCCCCCATGATAAAAAAAATCTCCCCAAAATAATCCTAAATTTAAAGTATTTCAGAGTGTTGGCAGTAAATAAACGTGTGTTTGTTGCAGATGGAGCTTCAGCTGAAGCAGGAACAGCTTCTCTCTCAGGTCAGATGATCCTCATGTCTGTGTTTGCTTCGTTCTGGCTGTCAGTGAGAAAAGGACATGGGGGACAGTTTTATTTTGAAGCTAAGCTAAGCTAAACCAGGGGTTAGATTACAGCTACACCTGGTGTCCGAGATGCGAAATTACATCTTAAGAGTTGACGGTTCTTTTATTCTTTATTCCATTAAACTCAAATGTGTTTTTCTTTCAGATGAAAGGCAGACAAGAGCTGGACCTGCAGGTTATGAGAGCCAAGCTGGAGGCGGTGGAATCTGACATTCAGCGTCATCTGAAGCAGGAGGTTTCTGGGCTGGGCCGGCAGATAGCAGATTATCAGACAGACAGCCGCTCCACAGCTGCCAGTCTCACTCTCAAAATCCAAACTCTGGAGGCTCAGAACACCAAGGTGACTGAGCCGGGGTGGAAACGTTAAACTGACGGATTTGAGGTTCTTCTCTGGATGTTTCGTATCTTATCTTTTGTTTTCTGCACATTTCCTGTTTATTTTGTCTCGTAGCTGTCTCAGGAGGTTGCATCCATCCAGCTGATGCCTCCTCCACTGCCCTGTCCTGACTCTAGCACGGCCCTGGTTCAGGACCGTCTCACCCCAGAGCTCCAACAGGCCCTGGAGAAGTGGTTCACTGACCGCATCAAGGTGTGTTTCATTAGAGCTGTGAGTGTAGAACAGTTGTTCTGTTGTTGGGTGTGTGTCTGCTTTGTCTGGTGACATCATGATGGTCGTTGACTCAGGAGCAGGACGCCATCGGGCTTGGCGACAGAGGAAGTTGCGCCGAGTGCCGACGCCCAATAGCAGACAAAATGGCGGACTTTGCTCTGGAGACTCAAGGTCAGAATTTGGTTGATTTATTGCTTCAACCTGAAATCTGGTTTTGTTTTCCTCTTAAAAACGGAAAAATCCAAATTTCTTTTCTAATCTATTTTCCCACCAGCTTGTTTAGTTATGAAAACTTTTAGCTGCTGTTAGATGTCGTCTTTTTAATTGAATGTTTACAATAATAGTTCTGTATGACATGATAATTCACATGTGTGTATGTGTGTGTAGGTGCCAGTGTTGTCAGCACCAGGTGTTCCGAGACGTATCGAACCCGTTCAGCTTGTGTGACCCTTTTTGGTTTCCCGCTCTGGTATCCCTCTGAAAGTCCACGCACCGTCATCCAGGTACATTCTCTGGTTTACGTCATCAGGAAAAGGTCTAAGTCATCTCGGATTAACTCGGCCACCTCTCTCCCAGGGTCATCCGGTCCTGCTTCCAGGAAAATGTTGGGCGTTCCACGGCGTCCAGGGCACGCTCGTCATCTCCCTGTCACACCCCGTCCGGATAAGTCATGTGACTCTGGACCACCTGCCTCGCTACAACTCCCCCACCGGCCGCATCGACTCCGCTCCCAAAGACTTTGAGGTCTATGTAAGTGCTCCTGACCTACCATACCAATTTTGTTTATATGGCGCATTTAAAAAACAGATTGGGAGCTAAACAAAGCGCCTCTCAACATAAAAACAGACACATAATAAAACAGTCCGTAAAAGCAGATCAAAACACACAATCAACAAGTAAAAAAATCCCCTTCAGTCGTGACTTGAAGACACCATTGAATGGTGACCGGTGGATAGAGAGCAGCAGTGGGTAGTAGCTACATACACGAAGGCTCCCCTTGTCCTGTAGTGCATTGTGGGAGTGCAAAGTAGCAGGCGGTCAGCTGACTGACTGGCACATAGGGCATGAGTAGGTCTGACACGTATGCAGGTTCCAGACCGCTCAAAGCTTTGTAAGCAAAAAGCAAGATCTTAAATTTGACCCTAAAAGTGATGAAGACGTGCCAAAACCAGGGTCTTGTGTCTATGTCTGCCTGTGTTTGTTAAGAATCGTGCTGCTGCGTTCTGGACTATCTGCAAACGATTCAGGCCCAAAGCTGGAGTCCCGACTAATAGCGAGTTAGCGTAGTCGAGGTGGGAGGCGATAAAGGCATGTATCACGGACTCCCAAGTGCGACCTTTTCAAAATCGGCTTCAGGCGAGCTAAACAACAAAGTTGAAAGAAACACGACCTCACAGCCGCATTGATCTGCGGGACCATTGTAAACCTTCATGCAATTTCACCCCAAGGCTGGTAACGCACCTCATGAGGTCCACACTTGGCAGAGTCGGAACCATGGGGGTTCTGGAGAGGAGACTGGTTTATGATGTGAGGCTGTGCAGCAAAACCATAATGTGCACCGTACCTGCTTATTTAGCTGCCAGAGTTGCTGACTCACCTTTGCCTCTGTGGTCTCTTCGATCTGCTGAACGTGGGCTACCCGTGGTTCCCCAGACCAAACCCAAAAGCAGAGGAGGCGGAGCCTTTTCGGTGATCGGTCCCAGGTTGTGGAACGAGCTACAAATGTAAAACAGACTGACTCTGCTATTGTGTTTAAATCTCACCTGAACTCTCACCTTTTTTCTCTGGCCTTTGAAAGAAGTGGTTGGTTTTTCTGTGACATTTATAATCTTGTTGCCACTGTATTTTATTTTTTTACATGTTTTTATTGCACAGCACTTTGGTACACGTCACCATTTGTTATTAGTGCTCTATAAATAAGTTGGAAAAATGTAAGAGGGAATGTAATAAAACAACAAAAGCTGGTGTTCCTTTAATAATATGTTGTGAAGAATTCTGGGCCAAACTTTTGCTAAATGTCAGTTTTGGCCATTTTGGTGATTTCTTAGCTGGCTCTTCTTTGGAGTTCATTTGGAGCTTAAAGGTGTGGATTTCAAACATTTTTATAATATTAATTCTCTCTGACGTTTTCACGGAGGCTGAACATGAAAATAGTCTCCTACACCCATCTCCTGCATTAGCTTCTGATAATAGATGGTGAAACTCTAGGATTAGAAAAGCCTGACTGATCTATATCAAAGCACAAAGAGGACTCAAATGCAGAGCTCACACAGTTTTAATAAGCAGAAGGGATTCCTGGAGTACAACACAACTGAAAAGTCCAAATCTAACTGAATACACTTTTACCAAGTGTTTCTGAGAGCAGGTTCACATCACACAACAGGAGAAGACAAACTGGCAAAGGAAACTGTTGCAAAGACGCTTAAAGAGCAAGTCACCCCCAAATCAACTATTTTTTTTCTGATAAACTATATAAATGCGTGTCTAATTGTCCTGCAGACACGTGTAGTCAATAGTTTTGCACATTTTAATTTTCTGCCTGAAACTGTCAGTGTTGTGCCGTTGTCAGGTAAAAACTCTGCACTGCATTTGAATTTAAATCTGCCACCGCTATTGGCTAAGAGGTATGCTATGATGTAAACTGGTACATTATGATGTCACAATGTCATGAGTGTGTGTATTTGTTAGTGGCTCCACCCTCTCGGTCTGCTAGGCAACAGCATTTGTTGCATTTTTCAAACATGAAGTGGGAGTGAAGTGCGCTTCTTGTAAGGGGTGACTTGCTCTTTAAATGGAGAAGCCAGGACCCAGGTGCAAGACATGAGGCAGATTAGTGAGGAGCTTCATGTTGTGAAGCTGCCTGTAATGAGACAGGAAGTGAATGCACAAAATAAAACAGGAAGTACCAGAAATACAATAAAACCAGAAACAAGACTGCAAAGCACTCAATCTGCAGAATCACCCATGACAATCTACATCACACCGTCACTGAACATTTATGGACTCTCTCATCTTGACTCGTTACGGGGACGGCTGTTGTTGGTTTAGCGTTCAGGTAACAGCAGAGAACATCTGGGCTAGTTTAAGTTAACTGTTAGCATTAGCAACACCACCACACAGCAGAACTCCTCCAGGCTTGTGTTATTTGAGGAGATAAAACATCAACGTTGCAAGTCAATTCAATTCAATTCAAGTTTATTTATATAGCGCCAAATCACGACAAGAGTCGTCTCAAGGCACTTCACATAGTAAACATTCCAATTCACAGTTCATTCAGTCAATCAGAAATAATGTTTCCTATATAAGGAACCCAGCAAATTGCATCAAGTCAGTGACTAGTGTCAGTGACTTTACAGCAATCCTCATACTAAGCAAGCATGCAGCGACAGTGGAGAGGAAAACTCCCTTTTAACAGGAAGAAACCTCCAGAGAATCCTGGCTCAGTATAAGCAGCCATCCTCCACGACTCACTGGGGATCGAGAAGACAGAGCAGGCAGACAAAGACACAGACACACACACACACACAGACACACACACACACAGACACGCACGCACACCCACACACACACACACACACAGACAAGTAATGTGTCTATAGTTATATTGTGATGTCTTAGTAAATATTGTATTTGGTGAAAGATAAACTTTATTGTATTTATCCTAGTGGATATATAATTAAACGGATAAACTAGTATTAGCACATCAAAAGTCAATGAAAACAGACCAGAGTCACGTTGCTGTTATCCAATCAGAGGCGACATGTCCAAATATCAGGAAGTAAGACTTCAAAACCTGCCACCTGAAGCTCAGCTGTGATGTGGGTCACTGGTGGTGTTTTTCCCCCCTCAAGACCGACTTACAAGGCATTCCTACTAGAGACCACTGCAAATGTTTTGATTAAATGAGCGTTGAACACCTTTGACATTCTTGTTTTGTTTTGTTTTCAGGGAATGAAAAATGACACCGAAGAAGGAACGCTGCTGGGGTCGTTCACCTACGATGAGAACGGAGATCCGACTCAGACATTTGAGCTGCTTGTGAGTCCATCCAGACAAATTCAGGTTTTATACCCATAATGAGACAAAATGCTTCCGCATCTGTCTGGAAGAGGCGAGGATGCTTTTGTTAACTCCTCCTCTCTTCTATCCTTTCCTTTCCTTCTCTGCTCCTGCTCTTTCTCTACCTCCTCACAGAAAGCGAGCGATGTGGTGTATCGGTTTGTGGAGTTGCGAGTTCTCAGTAACTGGGGCCACGTCGAGTACACGTGTGTTTACCGCTTCCGTGTTCATGGGAAGATGGCCTCAACTTGAGCGTGCTTGCACACGCCGTTCAAACATCAAGGCTGGTGGTGCGTTCAAGACCAAATGCTACTGAAAAGTGGCCAAATGTTGACTAACGTCCATCCTGTGACACAGCTGCATAAACAGGCTTCTGTGTTTCTGCTGATCACAAACATCGGTGTTAAAATGACAGAGGGGCTTTTTGTGCCGTGCACATTTGGCTTTTAATCGCTGCAGAATAAAATATCAACTAAAATGTCCACCTATGGATGCTTAAAATTATGAGCGTGCCACTTGAAATGTTTTAATATTTTGTTATGATATAAAAATTTTTACTTATGGGTATTTTTTTCCTTGTGAAGATAATAAAATCGCCCATGATCCGGCCTTCTCAGCAGCACTTTTATCTAGCTTTATTTCTACTGAAGCTTCAGGGATTTAAAACAACAGCTGGTTGTTTCAGTTTCTCTCAGTTTTTTCACCTTATAAGTAATAAGGTGAGACGAATGTTACTCACATGTTCCGTCTACTCTGGGTAACTGAAAATAAAATCTGCGTGAGATTTGCGTAATGTTTTTGATGCAATTTAGTCCCAAGTTGTCTGACTTGTAGCTTCATTTGTTCACAGTTTACCCAAATCAGCATTTTTCTCCTTTCTAGAAAATCAGATTCTCGTTGTTTTTGTTCGTCTTCCATCAAAAACAACTCCGTAACTTCGGCTGATTCTCAAAGTTGTCTCCATTTCCTCCCACTTTATGAGTCATAAAAACCAGATTCCTGCAATGACTTTGAGATATTTTAGTACAATTTGCAGCTCATGGGAAAAACATTAAGAATTATTCAAAACATTTAGGAAAGTCCCATGCAAATGTTCCAATTTGCTGCAGCTCAGAGATACTGACTTTTAAAGTCTTGGTTTAAAATAAATGATCTGGACTTGATAACTAATGTTACACTCTCTCCTATAAGACCCCGGGTTTATTTGGTGTGATTTCTTTCCAGGTGAAACTCAAAAAATTAGAATATCATCCTGGAAGTTCATTTATTTCAGTTAAAGAGGGCCAACTTATGTCCCGGGTTCAAAGAAAGAAAGAAAGAAAGAAAGAAAGAAAGAAAGAAGGAAGGAAGGAAGGAAGGAAGGAAGGAAGGAAGGAAGGAAGGAAGGAAGGAAGGAAGGAAGGAAGGAAGGAAGGAAGGAAGGAAGGAAGGAAGGAAGGAAGGAAGGAAGGAAGGAAGGAAGGAAGGAAGGAAGGAAGGAAGGAAGGAAGGAAGGAAGGAAGGAAGGAAGGAAGGAAGGAAGGAAGGAAGGAAGGAAGGAAGGAAGGAAGGAAGGAAGGAAGGAAGGAAGGAAGGAAGGAAGGAAGGAAGGAAGGAAGGAAGGAAGGAAGGAAGGAAGGAAGGAAGGAAGGAAGGAAGGAAGGAAGGAAGGAAGGAAGGAAGGAAGGAAGGAAGGAAGGAAGGAAGGAAGGAAGGAAGGAAGGAAGGAAGGAAGGAAGGAAGGAAGGAAGGAAGGAAGGAAGGAAGGAAGGAAGGAAGGAAGGAAGGAAAGACGGACAGACAGACAATGATCTTTTGTATAGCGCCTCTCATGATAAAACTCAAGAGGTGCTTCACGAAAACAAATTTTTTTTAAATACAAACAAGAATTTTTTTAATGTGTTTAAAATGACAAAAAAATTAAAAGTTGTGATTAAAAAATCTAAAAAAAAAGGGGGGGGGGGGAATCATACTTTCTGTCAGAGTTCTGAAATTTCTCCATTTAAAAATCCTGGTTTTATTGATTTCGTGAAATTTTCAGATTTTTCCAGTTCCCTCGGTATTTAAGATTCGTTGGACCTGATAAACATGAAAAAAAATTAAAAAATTAACCACTATTGACACATTTTCAAAAATAAACAACTAAAGATAATCAGTTTAAAAGTTATAAATTAAAATTATGTCTCAAAATAATAAAACAGGTCTATTAAAGAGAATAAAATAAGTCGATGCCTACTGAAAAGTGGCCAAATGTTGCAAGAAGCCTATGTAGGGTCTCAGGAGGTTAAAGGTGATGATGATGATGCACTTCTTCAGATGAAGGGTGGAGACTACATAGAAGACAGCAGAGAATTATTTTAATCCGTATTGTTTATTATTTCTAAGAAACATTTGATGAAATCCTCCTTTGAATGGTACGTTTAGCAGCTCTGATCATTTGTTTTATTGTTAATACTTGAAAATCGTTGTCGCCAAGCCCTTTAAATGACGCCGTGCTGAACGCATGAAAGACTTTCTTGTACAGAAGGCTCAAATTTTGTATGAGCTGCTCAACCAGGAAGGAAGGTTTTTTACTCACAAATCAAAAATATTCATTGTAAAAAAAGTTGTTAAAATGCTTTACATGTGACAAATCATCTGATTTTACCACCGACATAAAAACTGTTGTTTAGTCATCGACAGAATTGTTTGTTTACTTGTTTTTTAATATATTTAAACACCGCAGATAAAAAAAATTTGATGTTTATCTTGATATGCACTGAAGATGATAAATAATTATTTTTTCATTGGACAGTTTAGCCTGGAGTCCTGGAAATGTGAAATTAAAATGCAAATTTCATTTTATTTCACTTTTTTTCATTAAAGTCTGAACTTTAAGAAAATCAACAAAAGTGAAAAGCCAATATCTGTACAATTATTAACGCGCTGTTTTTGTTTTAGCCTCATGAATAGAAGTAGAAGAGTTTTATTTGCTTTATGTGATCAAATAACAGTTTGTATTGCTTGTGCATTAATTGTTGTTCAGTTTTTCTGATATTATAGGTTTTATTATGTTTGATTAAAATTTCAGACTAATTTCTATGTTTTCTTGTTTTTATGTAAATTTTTCATTTAAATCAGAGTGTATAATTCTTTCTGAGCTCTTGTTTGGAGCAGCAAAGATTTACCTCATCCAACTCAATCAGGTTCATTTTGTCTCCCGTTAAATGTTTTAATTTGTTATTTAAACTGAAGTAAAATAAATCTAAATCCTGCCTTTGTGTTAAGAAACTCAGACGCTGATCAGATCGACTGGTTTTGTTTAAATGTTAAATAAAAGCTTGCTTAATGCTTTTGTTGTTGCATTTTATACATTTCCTGTTTTCTAATGTTCAACAAGAACCGTGAAAATCTGCTTTGTGGAGCCTTTTTGTCTAAATTTAAATGAACAATTAATTACTTATTTCGAAGTGATACAAATCCACCGCTGTGGTCAGAAATTATGAGGCATAATTATTGAATCCTCTTTGCTGTTTAGTCTTTCATCTGAATCTTTTATCTGTGATCATATGAGGTTAGTACTTAACCACATTTTAGACAGACATATTTTCATAAATATGAATCTGATCAAATGCACATCTCAAAACTTTAATTCCCCAATAAAACATTAAATCCAGCTAATTAATGGCATCTTTACTTTAGCCTGTGACCAAACTTCAGCTGTTTCTGCAATCATCATGCCAGTTTAATTGTGGTGCAGAGCCACATTTTATTTGTTAATACCATTGCCCCACCCCTTTTGGAACATAGCCATTTTTAAATGTGTTTCTGTCTAAAAGGTATGATGTCATGTGAAATGACTGATTAGCTAACTGCTAGTCTAATACCAAGGACCAAAACAACATGCAGATAGTAAATGTTCGGTGAATTGTGCAAACGGTGTTTGAAAGAGAATATTACCTGTTCATTTCACTTTACATGGTCATTTTGTCTGGACCAGACCTCCGCTACACTTAATGTACTACACGTTTCTTCCACTGATACTTGTGGTGGTAAGTAACCATATAAGTCAATGTAAATTACTGTAAAGCTAAAGAGTAGTCTAAAGGTGTATAAAATAGCATTCTTGTGAACTTTAAAAGACTGAAGCTGCTTTTTAAGATTGCAGCCATACACTATGGTTTTTAGCTACACTTTGACTAGCTGTTAGCTCATCAGTCCTACATGACATGATCAGAATTCCTCCAAAAACGATGTTCTAGCAGAAGCATGCTTTAAAATGGCTTTTCCTTTACGGGGGACACAAATTGAGCATGCAAACTGGAAACTGGGACAAAACAAAAATAAACCCAGAGTTGATGATCATCTAAATACCAAGGAGTTAAAACAAAAGTAAATTCCAGTAATCCGAAACTAAATAAAACAGCTTTGACTCCATGTGGACTATTGTCGCAAATTAGCATCAACCCTCAAAGCATCCAGATGGATCATCAGGATTAGTACCTTCATCAATAAACTGTCAAATCCTGTCCTATGCATATCTACTGCCCACTTGTGGAGGATCTAGAAGTTGTAATTGCATTGTTATGTTCTGTAATCACATAATAAAATAAAACAGACTGTTATATAGTTGTTTTATCAACACTGGCTAACAATAATAAGCTTAAAACACATTTTAAACATTTATTATCCGTATTTCAGGTATTAAGGGGTTAACAGAAATTAAGGCAACAGTCAATAAAATATAAAACAAAAATAGCTTATTTTTTTGTCTTGAATTCATGGTTTGCCTTCACAACTCGGTCAAAGCCCAGCAGTAAGATGTTGCAGTAGATTTCTCATTTGTCTTGCTTGCATCACCTGTTTACAGTTGAGTTGCATCAGTGAGAAGAACATTCATCTGTGTTTCTGTAGATAAAACACCCGAAGGAGCAGACCTGGTTTCAGCCTTCTTACATCCTAACATGAACCACATGAAGATCCCAGATTAGAGGAAACAGACAAATAATATCACTCTACAATGGGGAGGACACATAGTCCAAACAAGCATGCATGAATTCAATTTTAATGATACTTTACATCCATAATTCAGTCATATCATGAATATTCTTCTCAAACATATTGCTTCATGAAAAAAATCTTGACAGTAGGCGAGACATAAACATTATTCAACTCTAGCCCTGATGGCCCACTACTACATAAACCCACCTTCTTCTAAACCTCCATCTCAACCTAAACACGCCCATTGTCCAACCATCCAATCACTGAGGATGACCAAAATGCTCAAGTTCACATTATTAGCCAATTACATCTCAAACATGGTACAGCATTAAGGGGAGATATTAATTAACAAGAGAACTGGCGTAATCCAAAAGTGCACATTGGTTGTTGAGGTGTGACATCATCAGATCCTCCATCCAGCTGGTAGATATGGAGGCGTGTCGCGGACTGCAGTAAGGTAGGGAGATAAAAACTAGTAACAAAACTTCACCTTACCTCCATAATCATTTTTGCATCCCTGTTTCTTCTTCCAGCAACAAGACCTTCTAACTACAATGTTCAACGCCACCTTCAGTTCAGGCTTCAACCACACCAACAGCTCTACCAACCTCAGGACTTCTGGTGGACGTTTACTGTGGTACCTCTACCCAGAATGTGCTTCGGCCCCTTACTGCTTTGCTTTCTACTACGGGGCCAAGGTGTTCAACTTATTCCTTGGAACCCCTTGTAACATCCTGGTCATCTGGCAGATAGCAACCAAGAAAACTAACTCTTCCACATCGGACATCTTCTTCTTCAACCTGGCTCTAATAGATGCCTTCTTCTGCTTAATGACACCAATAGACCTCCTCAACAGGATGGTGTACGACAACAAGTTCATCTGGTACATTCAGAGACTAGCTTATGGCCTCAAGGACCTATCACCATTCTTTCTTGTGAGTACAGCTTTATTTTCTTTTGTTCTCTAAATCTAAATTAACTTTTAGGAGTTCAAAAGAAGGTCTTGAATATGTTGGGTTCACGTTATTAGGCTGTAGGGGGTCTATGTTTTTGTACAGCGGTACATTTAAATACCAAGCACCCTATTACGATTACGAACTTGACCAAAAGTCACAAGAATCTTGTTTTGAACTCAAACAAAAAATAACTGATCAACTTTTGCTTTTGTTCCAAATTTTTAATGGACATTTTTTAGGATGATTATTCTGAAATAAAAATGTTAAAATACTATGACATAATACGTTTTGTTCTCGCTTGTGTACTCAGGTGTGTATCTGCCTAGATCGCTACATGGCCGTGGTCCACCCCGTGCTTTACTCTGGTTACAGAGACAAAAACGCCAGAGTTGTCGTTTGTGTAGTGGTCTGGGTTCTCATGCTGCCATACAGCATCACCAAGTCCATCTTGGGAATCTTGAGTGTGACCGACATCTTCAGCGGAGTTATCCTCTTTGCATTTGCAGTTATGGTGTTTTGCAACATCTCTGTCGTCTGGGTTCTCCGTCGCTCAGTGGCGGGAAAGGAGGTGATGCACCCAGTGAAGAAGAAAGCCTTCAAGATGGTGATGAAGAACCTAGCCATCATCGTGGTCAATTACCTGCCACCTGTAGCCATCATGCCATTCTTGTCATATTTCACGGTTGTTGATTACCTGTGTTTTATCAGCATCAGTGTGTTTGGCATCATGGATCTGAGCTGCAGCATTGAGCCCCTCCTCTACATCACAAAGATGGAGAAAGTGGACGCCATTTGCTGCAGGCAGAGCATTTCTGAAAACCCACCTGAGGCTAACGGATAATCATTCAATACTCAACACTGAAACATCAAAATTGACTAATTTATGTAGAGAAAACTGTCCTTTTACATTTGAACTAAATAGAATAATAACAAAAATGCTAAGTCATGATGTAATAACTGTTTTTAAGTTGGTCTAGTTTAAAAAATTTAAATTGTTTTTAACATTTCAGTGATTTGTCACATAGACTAAATGTCAAGATGAAGAACACGGTAGTTTTGCTAAAGCTAACTAGCAAAGCAGTTTACCAGTAAATCATCTAAACTCTGCTAGTTAGCTCCATGAATCTAGTTAACTTGAAGTTTACTCATCATGAGATGTCTGAAAAGCAAAAATCAGAGGTGGAGATAAAAAGTGTAAAACATGTATTGGAACAAAGCGTTAGCCTGGCAAGCCAGACTAAATAAATGTATTATTTAGTCTGGCCACGCTCCATTGACGGCTCTCGGTTGTGGGGCGGGTTCTACCGTTGTCTTTCAAATGATCTCCGCATTCCACTGGACAATGAATGTGACATACTCTTGTTTCACTCTGTTGCATCATCCCACCCACCAGGCATATATAGAGTGCCCTGATTGGCTCACAAAGCCAATAAAGCTCTGTGATTTGTTCGCTAAGCAGATAGAGCACTATGATTGGCCCACCATTATGGACCAATCACAGCTCTTTATGTTTTTGAAACCCCTCTAGAGAGCTGTGATTGGCTAGCCAGAGTCCTGGAAGGAGCTGCTGAGGTTCCAATGGAGCATGCCTAGACCAAACTATGCAAAGCAAGAATTTGGTCTAGTTCACTAGGCTAACAAAGTGTTTGTATTGGCAGCACATTAGCATGCTGAAACTTTAAACTCCATGAGTCTGTTGAGACTTTACTGTAGAGGAAATGTTTCAGTATTATTTTATTCCTTCCAATTTTTGGTATCATTTTACATTAACGATCACTTTATGATGTTTAGTTGATGCATTATTAAATAGTGTTAACTACTTAACCACATTAGGTAATGCGTTACTAAGCAGAAGACAACCCCCACCCCCATTGTCCTATTTAATATTCCTAATTAACAGTTAACATTACTAAAGGGACCCTTGGTTTATTAATGCATAATAATGCACTAAGTTTAATTAATAAGGAGACACTTATTGTAAAGTGTTACCCAATTTTTATAGTTACGTCTGATGGCTGCTGTGAAGGTTTTTGTAAAGGTAGGAAAAAAATATTGATCATTTACTGGACTGCAGGTTGCAGAAAGTTAGTTAGGATCAAGTCTATTTTTTTAATGTTAGATGTTTTTAATTAGTCCTTCTCTGGCAACCAGAAGTAAAAACTCCTAACAGGCTTTAATGATAGCCCAAGGCAATGTCTAATTTACAAAGTACTTTAAAAACACTTAGCTAGTTCAGCTTCATAACCAGCAACTCACAGCGGGACCAATTAGACGTGATGTAACTAATGAAAGATGATAAATTAAATAATTGCATTTATAACTACATACATTTCATGAAAAATGACAAATCTGACCCATTTTTTTAAAATACTGTAATCAAACAAGTACCTAGCACAACATTTAATTGAAACATCCTTGTTATCATGATTATTTCAAAAAGTCTGGACTCTGTACAAATAATTTCAATAAAACTCAGAGCATTTGTTGGTACACAAAAACTAATTTCTTCATTATTAGACTGAGAAAATCATGGAGCACATCAATAATCCTGTAAAATTACTAAAACTCTTTGCCTCAGCAGGAATTCGACAGGATCTTACAGCTTTACGTTTTCAGTAATCTTAGCGTGGATCTTCTCCAGGTTATCTGAACTGGCCTCGGGTCCATCCTCTGATGTGACATATCCAGGGTAAGTGGGGTGAAACTGAGCAGATGTGGGTTTAGTGGCATTATTTTCTTCCACTGATGAAGGAAGAGTTAGAGGTATCAGCTTGGCATGAGCGTAATCTATTTCAAAACCTTCAAAAATAAGCCCTACCCCCCAGGCACCTAACCCCTCCTCAAGGAGCTGCGCCACCTTCTTAGTGGCAAGTACTAGCCCTTCAAAGTCTGTCTTTCCCAGTCTGAATATGTCAGAGGTTAAAGGTCGTCGTGGCACTAACACGGTGAAGCCTGGGGAGTTTGGGAAAGGAGTGAGAAAGGCCACGTGATCTTTATCCTCCCACACTCGCCAGTGTTGCTCCTCCCCTCGAATGATCCGAGAGAAAAGACCAGGGTGAGCCGGATCGTCCCCGAGGAAAGAGAGATCAGGTCGAGCATTGGGGACCAGGAGTTTGGTTCTAATTTTGGTTTGTATAGCAGTCAGGCTAGAGTCACTCCATCGAGGGGCCGTTTTGGACGTGCAATAGCCTGGATCATGGGCGTTGTGCTCTTCATCTCCAGCGAGGTGAGGACGCCATTCTGCATCCAGACCGTGAAGGGGGACGATCCGGATCTATTGGAATCACAGTGAAAACACAGCTGGTCACACCCCTTGCCATTTCTATAACTGGCAACCAACCAAAGTCTCACCTGAGCAGGTATATCTCTGTGTGGTCTGCTAACCAGAGCACACCTCTGGACTCCCAGCCGGTCACACAGCAGCTCTGCAACAGCTCTGGACCCCAGCAGCCAGGATAAGTACTCAGACTCGTTCAGGTGGAAGATGCTGCCACCTGGACTTCCAGGACTACTGCTCTCCAGGATGACTGAACCTGGGGTCCAGGGCCGGGGGTTCAGGTAGGCCACCAGCCCCTCAGACTTCCAGATGACATGACGAGTAAGAGCAGAAGACATGCTGCAAAGCAAGGAGGAAGAGGAGCAGACATTCAAGTCTATGTAAAATTAAGGAATGATAAGGCAGCTGGATATTGTAAAATCAATAAAAATGCACGCACACACGCACACACACACACACACACACACACACACACACACACACACACTGATCAGCTGCTTTACATTTATAACTGTTGAATTTCTTAACAAACAACTAATCAGCTGATCATGTGGTAACTTCTGTGCTTTCAGGCATCTAGACGTGGTGAAAACAACTTTAGCATTTTTTACAATGAAAACTAAAACTTCTAATAGCTGGAAAATGTTTTACATTCAAAAAAGTGTATTCCTTTCGGCAGAATCATAAAACTGTTCATTCAAGTCGTCATACCTCCGAAAACGTAACGTAAACAGCATAAATCTGTCGTAAAGATTCTAAAACCGACCTGTCCTCTTCTACTTCGGTCCGCTGAACGGTCAGATAATAAACACAAACAGCGATTAAAGAAGCAGCAACGGGAGCTTTCAGCCACATGAATTAGAGAGAAACGAAACCTAAGAACGTCTTTTTTAAAAATACAGTCTTCTTCTATGGACAAAACGTCTGCAAACAGGCTAAATGGCGCGTTGTCGCCCCCTACAGGACAAAGCATAAATCATTTTTCTTGTTTGATGCTAAAGGATGAAATTTGAAATAAAATTTGAATTAATCTAGGAGGAAGTCGAGCAATGATCATGAGGTAATAATAATGGTATATTATCAGAGATACGTGGGCTTTTCAAATTCAACCTTTTTTAAAACAAAATATATTATTGCGATTTTTTAAAGAGCAAATCACAAATCACGTGAAAGCACACCCAGTTTATTTTCTATTTAAGTACCTGTCGAGTTTTGCATTTGAAAATACAGAAGACCAGGGTTGGATCAAGCATTCATAAATTTACAATAATCAAACATGTCATATATTAAACTATTAGTTATATTTCAAGGCCAATAAATGGCCACCTACGTCTACTGTAGCAAACAGACACAGATACATTTCTACAGTCATAAAAAATATTTTTGAATGTTGAAAAAAAATTTTAATTCAAAATACAATTTCGAGGAAAAAAAATGTTGAAATGCTGCTTGCGTTAAAAAGTCTGAAACACCAAACCTGAAGTTTATCGACCAGAAAAACAATTACATGCACTTTAAAGTATTGCCAATAGAGGGCGCCATTAACCTATAATGCAGCAGAGAAAGAGATGGCCTAAACTTTCTAATGGTTAAAATGCCCAGAAACAATTAAACCTTGATGTAATGAAACATTTATTCACCACATCTATTATGTAGTTCTAAAATGATTAATCCAGCTGCTCTTTTAATTGAAGACAATTAATTTGTAAGTCACTTAATTCCCCTCCACTCTGTCAACATAAAACCACATGACATAGCATTGCCTACTTCTACTTTTACTATGACCTAAATGACACACACACACACACACACACACACACACACACACACACACACACACACACACACACACTCCTCATTTCACTTACAAGAACCCTCAACTTCCTTTTATTTAATCTTAAACTCTATCTCTTCTGTACGAAACCAGGTATCACTGTGAATTTCCAAATAAAACATTATATTTGTATATATGTATGCTTTAATGAAAGATAATATATTTGGCGTTTAAAAATGACCTTTTTTATCTTATTATATCACTGAAACATATATTTGAGGAACAGAGACAGAATGCCCTCATAGTCTAGAAGCATTCTCCAAACAAAACATTTAAGATGAAAAAATTAAATTTGACATTTTTTAATTTCAGTTCAATAATTTTAGCTTGTTTTAGTTCTTAACACGCAATTTGAAAAATGTGAAACACTTAAGACATAGCTCTAGAAAACAAGTCCTTCTGTTCAGACTGATTTCTTATACTGTATTTTACCTTTTTCTATAATCATTATCATTTTGCTCACAGCCTTACAAGAGGACCATGAATTAGCCTGAACATGTGTTGTCCCACTTTAAAGGACTAAATCTGTCCTAATCTAGAGTTCATGACCTCCATAATGAGCTGAGCTGCTCAGAGAGTCTCTGTCAGCTGAAGACCAGCAAAATGACTCAACAGCAGTCAAGGCGAATGGGTAGACTGCTTGAAATAAGAAATGGAGTAAAATATCCAGAGGCCAGTGTGGTCTATTATAATTGGAGTCTAAGATGTTAGTTTAAAAATAGAATACTTCCTAATTTCCATTAGACAAAGACATCTAAAATATATTTATCAGAATCCCTTTCACTCGCCACAAACCACCAAAATGCTGGGTAAAAAAATTACAGATATTTAAAAATATCTAAAATATCTGTATAGAAATGTCCATTTTTCACAGTTGTCGCAACAGATTTTGAAAATTGCATCAGTACCAAATACATGTAGGGAAACTATCATTTACGGTTTCTTGTTTCTCTTACTGGAACGGGGCAGAGGTGGGAAGTGAAAAACTGTATCTATTTGTAGTTGAGATGTGTGAAACGAAACTAACCTTTAACCGGGGATGTAGAGAAAATAAAAGTTAAAATGGGGCAGCTGGAAAGTTGAAACTGATGGCAATACAACGGAGTCTTACAACATTTCAGAGTGAAGCATGAAGATAAGAAGCTTTCTTATTTAAAGATCATTTAAATTTTTAGCTCAGATGTGCTTGTTTCAGGAACTAGTAGAATGCCACAGCAGAGGAGCTTAATGCTGTAGGATTTAGAGTCATCTTTCCCATGGATGTAATTTTCACTTTAGAAGTGTGTGTGTGTGGGGGGGGGGGGGGGGGGGACACGGGGGGGGGGATCCTTACAGTATGCTCTAATGAGAAACAGGCTTCAACACAAACAGTTGTTTTCCTTCTTGGTCCTAGAGCTCAACCAGTGTCAATTTAATATAGCGTAATATTGTTTTTGGATGGTAAAAAGTGCAGGGGTCAAAACTTGACTTTGGAAAAAGTGGGGGGGATATGTCCCCCTTGTCCCCCCCCCCCCCCCAAAATTACGTCCATGATCTTTCCTGATATTTGGACATCTCGCCTCGGACTGGATAACAGCATTGCAACTCTACCACTGACTCCTCTCTGTAGCAATGATGCTTTCTCTCGGAATTCTACTGTGTGGTGGAGTTGCTAATGCTAACTGTTAGCTTCTGCTGTTTCCTGGAGGCTCACAACAGCCTTACTTCCCCGTCTTGAGTCCAGGAGTACATGAATGTTAAGTGACAGCGACGCATGACGTAGAACTATCAGGCTTTTCAAATTCTCAATCAATCAATCAATCAAAGCTTTATTTATAAACCCTGTCAGGAAGCCCAAAGCGCTGAACTATTCAGCGCTTTGGGCACTGAATAGTTACTACTATTACTATTAACTACTAGTTAATACTACTACTAAATTCTAGTGTTTCAAATATTTTCTGAAGCTAATGCAGCAGACAGGTGTAGGAGACTATTTTCATGTTCAGCCTGCATGAAAAACTCAGAGTGAAATAATCAATAAAATTGTTTTTCAGTGTTACACACCTTTACAATTTGAAATGACATAAAAAACAAGAAATGTACATTTTAATTCCAGGTTTTAAAAATGAACTTGTACTAAAATCAATTAAAGATCTTGATGTAATTCATGTCAATCGGTTCTTTATTTTTAAAGCACCTTCCTGCCAGTCAAGGAGGTCCAAGGTGCTACAATACATAGCGCAAAACCACATAAAACAAGTACAAACAACATCATAGTAAAAAAGTAAAACTATAAGACTGCAGAACAAAAATTAAGATAAAACTGTAAGAAAAAATGGGATCTAAACCAAAGCTCTGTTGTTTCTAGGCCCCAACACTGAAAAAGTATTGAAATTCTATTTTAATATCTGTAAAACAGACCTAATTTATACTTCTCTGTCTGCATCGGTGCGGAGACATGCCACTATGCATCGAAGCAAGGGCTCTCCAACAGACTCACAGAGGCTGATGGAGGTGTGTGCCCAAATTTTTTATCTATCTTTCGAAAGTGACAGACTGCAGTCTTGTGATTGGTCAGGACACCGCTTCCTTTAAAGTCGTGAACAGCACCACCATTGCCCCCTCAAAATATAAAAAGATATTCAGCGGCAGACACGGAACAGATCAAAGGACGCCTCACAAAAAAAGTCCGAAAATGTTTAACGTTTATTCAGCCGTGACTGAAATGACAAGAAACGTGGATTAAGAGGTGCCGATCGCATGAAGAGGAGGAGGAGAACGAGGGAGAATTTTGTTGTGTTAAAAATTCTCTGAAATACATTAAAACACTAAAAACACAATAGTAATTACACTATCTTGGACAGTGGCGTGTCCAGATCTATTAAAACAGGGTGGCCCAGGTGAGGCACAACTTTGTGCATGGGTGGCACCAATGGTTATGCTTTTTTGGTTTTACTCCCAAGCCTTTTGTGGACAATGAAAAGCTTTTTTGAAGGTAAATTAGTGTGGTGACACCTGGGGTGGCCAATCAGATTCCAAGGGTGGCATGTGCTACCCCAGGCCACTCCCTGGACACGCCCCTGATCTTGGACCAGATACTTGAATGTAATGGTGGATACCCCAGAAAAGCGCATCGCCCTCTGATGTCCTGGTGGGGATTTGCTTTGCAACATTCCCCAAGTGACGAAGAAGTCTGAAAAGAAAATGTCTCCATAAATGCGTGGCCACAACTCCACACTCGAGCTGACAGGGAAGTATAAATTAGGCTTTGCAGTCAGTTTTGTTCTGCTAAAGCCTGATGGCCATCTTGAATTGGATTGACTCCAAAATTAAATCACTTAGATCTTGTAGATGGTGTGTTTCATCGAAATCTGTTCAGTGGTTCATGTACGAATAGGCACATGGGCAAAAACATTATCACCTGCATTTCTGCTGTGGGCAATAAGAAAATGTTTTAACAGAAGAATCTTTCAATTCATGTTTATTTATATAGCGCCAAATCACGACAAGAGTCGTCTCAAGGCACTTCACATAGTAAACATTCCAATACAAGTCAGTAACCAATCAGAAAAAAGTTTCCTATTTAAGGACAGCGTTTTCTGGGATGTTTCTGGAACACACCCTCTTCGTCTGTTGCCATAAAATTAGCCAAAATTACATGAGGATTAGAAAAGGGGGATTATTTTACACTGGAACAAACCAGGACTACAACCTGTGAGCGTCTCCGATGTCTTGGCTGTCTCTTTCTCTTACAGTGGACGCTCTATGAATAGCCTTCGCTGGTTTAATCTGTTCTTACTATTTTTCTGTGTCTCTTGTTTTAATTGTAAACACAATTTTAGTCTGTTTTGGTTGTTGGTGTTGATCCTTTATAAATAATAGTGACCTTGGTCGGTCCAGTGCCAACAGTTCCAACAACGAGTGTAAACTAGCTGAAGGTAGTCTTGGCAGCTTGACTGTTGCACAAGACGGAACTAGTTTTACTGGGAAATGAGATCCCGTCATGCAGTGGGACTGCGCCAGCCAACATTTACATGAGCATGTTGATGTTCGATCCAAAGATCATTCCGGGCATAAATACTGAACAAGCTTCTACACGTTTATCTTTATCATCATGTTTGTTTCACTGCTCCTCCAGGAATTACGGATCGTTTCCCTCTGAGCCGCCACACCTACTTAACATCAAGAACAGGATAGGTTTGCTAAAAATGAGCATTTCCTGGATGACTTTATTCCAAGATAATTCAATGACGTTTCAACTGCAGTATGGTCTGAGTCGTGGCTGCGTCTACTCCTTATCCAACTCAAACACTTTTAATTTAAGATCAGTTTACGTCTTATGATTTATCTTTAATCTAACCATCATTCTTAGAAATGGAGCAAACATTGTTTTAAATTGCCCTGCTTCTCTTTTCTCAAAGCTCAGTTTCGTATCTGCGTCTGCTGTCGAATGGGGAAGACCATCTGCTTGAGGTGTGTGTGTTGCGAAAGTTTTTACTGGTAAGGCTGAAGTTACACAGCTGCACAATGAGCTGTGTAACTTCTTTCTTCTTTCCAGTGAGAAGTGTCACTACAAAAACTCGGCCTCGTAAAAAAAAGTTTGCAATAAATGTAATCAGCTGAGCTCCAAGGCTGCTGAGATGTGACATAAACACACTCCCGTTTTAGGAGACTTGGACTAAACTGAACCTCCTCCATTGGCACACACACCTGAGAGATAAGTGGTTTCGGGATTACAAGGACGTTCTCATAAGGCAGCACCCCAGCTGTTTCTTGCCTTTTCTTCTTGTTTCCTGACAGACGGCTGTAATTCCAGCAGTGGCCTGTGACCTCGCCTCTGGGCTTTCGAGCGGAGAACTGACCATGTTCAGCTTGTTTTACGAGTTACGACATAGAAACAGATCTTCTAGATACCTCCTGTGCTTCCATTTATAAACTCCTAATGATGACATGTGGAGGGAAAAGGATAACGCTCCATCAGGGCGTCACATTTAATGGTCCAACGCATTTTTTAAGTCAGTCCTCACACCCTGATCCAGTCACAACCCTTTCTGTGTAATGAATCCAACATCTGGGTACTCTAACAGGATCCTGGACGCAGTACGCAAAGTAGCAATGCGGTATTACTCTGGAGAATGATTCATCCTATCTTCACTTTGGTCCTACTTGTTGCCTCGTCGGTAGATGTAGGCTGAAGACCCGTTTTTCTGTGCCAGCCTTCGGTTGTGTTTATAGTAAGTGGACTAAAGTTTTTAGACATTTAAATTTTTTATTACTTCTTGTGTTTATTTGGCAGAAGCTTTTATCCAGAGCGACGTACAATTGTTAACATATAGGGCAAGTAGTGATCTGTGGGGGAAACCGGACTACCCGGAGGACACCCACTCATGCATGGGGAGAACATGCAGCTCCACACAGAAAGACCGCAGCCGGGTTTAGAACCTGCAACCTTCTTGCTGCGAGGAAACAGTGCTAACAACTGTGCCGCCATGCAGCTTTTTTGGTTTTAGAAACCTATTTTTAAATTTTATCGTGAACGAACTATTAAATAGTGAGTTTTCTGGTGTTAAGCACTTTGTTCTGACGGTGGGTTTTGCAATGTAGACGATGGACCAACCTAATGCTAGTGTAGCTGCATAAAAATAAGGCTAACGTTGCATTTTGAAACTTTTTTCTTGCTTTTTCTAAAATAAACCGGTAGTGCTTTTGTATCCAACATGTGCAATCTTTTAAATCTAAACTTTGACATATTAATAGTAACTAATGTGCTGGTTTTATTTCACAAATGCTATCACATGAAACATGTAATTCTACAAAGTTGAGCAAATATACTTTTAATTTATAACTTATTTACTTGCCAGAAATTTGACATTACACACTGCTATTTAAAGATTTATTAGAAAAAAAAGCAAAGCATTTTACAAGCCAAACACCAGAGCTAACACCGAGCTACTGAAGACAGTCAAGATTTATCCAGCATTAAATAAAAGCCACAACAAGCAAAGGAGAAACCTATTTACAATAAAACTCAAGTTTAGTGCAAGTCACCAATTCAAAAACACAATTAGGCACCTTTCTGGACTTCAAGCTGTTAAGAGGAAGATCAAACGGAGTAAAAAGAAGGAACGTGGAAGTAGTTTTATTTGTAACAGACTAGTTTTACTGCTTTGGTGTGTGGATGTGTGAGGGAACTGATCCAAGTTTAAACTCTACGGCGACTACTCCTGATCTGCATGCCTAGTCTACAGAAAACTAAAACACAACAACCTGTGGTTCTGGTGTGTTGACACATAAAGGGCTCAGCGGGGGACTGAGAAACAAGCATGTACAGATGCTCCACCTGACTAACTCCCAGCCCCCCGCCTGTTACTAATCTCAACTTCTAAAAGCATTTCCCTGCGTTCCTGATAAGAACGTCTCACACACCAACATTTGCTCTGACAACATCTGGCCAATAATATAAATGTTTGACTTTGAATATGTGAACAATGAAGCATAAAAAAAAAAATAAAACCACCATCTCTAAGCAGCCGAGAGGGTTTTTCCACGGTGGTGCTTGCGAACCTCCTCCATCAGGTCTTTGAGATACTGGATCTCTCGGCTGATGGACTCTGCTTTCTCCTTCAGCTCCTGATTTTTACTCTCCAGTTCTTCTCGTTCTGAATTCAGCTGGTCGTGCTCCACCCTCTTCTTCTGCCGGTAGCGAGTCGCAGCCGTCTTGTTTTGCTCCATCTTCTTTAACTTTTTTTCTACCACCTTGGGTGCGCCCGACGCCGACTTCACTTTGGAGGCTTTGGGAGAAGGAGAGGCTGACGGTTGCGGTTTGCTGTAGGGTTTGGTCCTGGACGAACCGGACGTGGGGGAACTAGGGGGAGTCGAGTGACGCTCCGGAGAACCGGCACCTGATTCGATACCAGAGTCACTGTCGCAGTTGTGTGAAGGCGAGGAGCTGAAGGAGGGATTTGAGATAGAAATGAGAGAGGTCTCCTGTTTACTGGAAAGAACTACAACAATGTGGTCTGAAGTACAGAGCATGATGGGACTGGTGGTTTTAATAACTTCACTGGGATTTTGGATAATGGCAGTGGAATTGGGTGTGGCCAATTTGTCATCAACTAAAACATCAACTTCACTTTCCAGCTCCAACGTGTAAACTGGAGGGGAGGAGGGCGGGGGAGAGGAAGGCTCTGACTTCACGTCATCCTCGACATCGGCAACCTCTGTTGCCTTGGTCTCAGGAACGGCAGAGGTCTCCATAGGGACGGATGGGATGTCTGGCAACAGGGTCTGATCTGGGCTGCTGTGCTGGACACCAAGGTCCAGATCCAGATCCAAATCCATGTGGGAGTCCAGGGAGGCCAGGAGATCCTCCGGGGAACTGGGAGACTCATCAGATGAGCAAGAGCCAATGAGCGAATCCAGATCAAACTCATTCAGATAGATTTTTTCACACATCCAGTCCAGGCCATCAAAAGCATCTGCTGAAAGAAACACACACGCACGCAAAAAAACTATTAGCACTTTATACAACCGTCTGCCATCAATAAGTCTACTTTGATAGTCTGGAACTGCTAACCTTTAACATTGTCTGCTCCAACTTGGGTGCCAAGCAAGTTGCTGGTACCCAGCAGGGAGAGGGACATGAGGTCTGTTTCAGATTTAGTCCCCAAGAATGAGGCAGAGTCATCAAGAGGAGAGGATGGTGGAGAGGAAGAGAGCGGGGAAAATGACATGGTCTGAAATGGAGAGGAGGATGCATAAGAGTGGAAGAGGGAGGGCGAAGCTGGCGCCTTCACCTCTAAAGAGGAGGAGGGAGAAAGAGCTTCCTCTTCATCTTGGTCCAGAAGGGGCCCCATGGTGTCAGCCATCAGAAAAGAGGACCCTGTATACAAGAGGAGCATGTCATATCCCAGTTTAAATCGTGAAATACTTGCTTCAAAGTGTTTAAACTCTTCCACTGGACAGTAATCTAATGCTCTACACTTATGTTGGTAAAATGAACAGTTAAGATCCGTCAACCCAAAACCAACCTAGGTACAGGGCCTCCACGTCCTCCATTGCCAGCTGGGAGAGTGTCATGGCTGCTGCTGGTCAGTGGTAGCAACAAGGTGAACAAAGGAGAGTCTGATAACGGGAGCGAGTGGTGAGTTCCGGTACTGCTGTCCACGGCAGCAAAGCTGAGGGTGGTTGCCGGTAAAGACCTGCAAATCAAACATCATTTATAGTAATAACAACACATATGTTTAAACAGGAATTTAGTGACTTTCAGGGGTTTGGAACTGAATGTTAACCATATAAACTGGAACAGAAATGCTTTATTTTGTGCTCTGTTCATATATCATTTTAATTTGTATTAAACTTTATTACATTCTTAGAAACAGTACTCGTTAGACCAGCTTTATTTGTGTGACTTGATACATTTACTTCCTGAATGAAGCTAGAATTCCTGCCCAACACGTCTCGCGCCAAGACAATGCCTGTTTTTTAGTGTTAACTTAACACTGGGTGGGGTGGGAAGGCCAGTTCCAGCTATTCTCAATGCCATGTTGACGAGAAACGCCCCGCCCTCCCAACCGGAGGATAACATTTCCTAATTTGGTCATGATTCAGCCGGTAACTCCACCCTCAGCTGTGAGTCACTGCTGGGTTGTTAGAGGTTAGCCGCCATTTTCACAACAAGCCGTTCGAGAGGCGGGGGAACACGATGAAAACTACTGCGCGCGCCATTTTGGCCACGCCACGTTGACAATGTTTAATGTGTACACATCATAAATAAACACTCAAAGCTGTGTTTCACACGATTATAACAATATCTTAAACATCAAAGGTGAAAATACTGAAAAACAGCTGATGTGCCACACATTTACGTCGAAGTGACGCCGTGTGGGACAACCCCAGCTGTCAGACTGTAAGCGGACACCAACAACTCCTAACCAGGAAACTCTCAAATTTAACTTCTGCCACTGGTAATTTCTGCTATATTTAGTTAATTAAATGAAGTACTATTCAATTACATCTAAGGGAGGTTATTTGTGATCTAACATTTACAGAATCGATTAGGAAATTTTTAAGTAAATATACTTACGCCATTTTGCCGGAAATAGCCAGTGCACTTAGCCGTTGCACTGCCAAGTTTTTGCCGCTGCAAAGATTGCTGCCGCACGCCTTTACACAGCCATTTTCGCGCTTTGGGGCTTCGATCACTAAACCGGCACTAAACACTAAAAGCTCCACACTAGAGAGCATCCAGGCACCCGAGCTTATAAAGGGCCGAAGCACTACCTATGTATCCCTACGCTGTTTCGGTTTGCGTTTGTTTTACCAGAAGACTCCGCGCGGGTGGGTGGAGTTTCCCATTCATTGTACATTTTTGACAAAACACCCACGGCTCATGTCACACGCGACCAAAAATATCATTGACAACTTTATGATGTGATCGTGTTACAGCCCTCCTATCGGATTGGCTGATTTCCACACGTAGCGGCTGACAATATATAGATCCACACGCATAGAGTGTACAGACGGAACTACCTTATGTGTCAAACATAGGTCAAACGTAAACTGTAAACAAATAGGCGTTTTTGAACACTCTGACCCAACCTTATTTTATTACAAAAAGCCGACGATACTATATTTTACTATTGCCGTATAAGTTTGTAGCTCACAATCTGTTTTGTATTTAAATTAGCTTTTAATTTTTTTATTGTGTACACCAATAAATATGGGGTGCCGTTTGTAAAGTCAAACAGTCATAATCTAACAGCAGTATTTTTGGTTATTTAGCATATCATGAGAGAAAAAGTTGTGAGTTCACTTTTTCAAAGTCATATTTTCACTATGTTATTCATACATTTATAAATGTTAAAGTTTCCAAATAAATATTTAGTTAGCAAGCTAAATATTTAATTTATAGTTTAATATTTATTTTGCAAACTAAATATTTAGGTCTGATCTAAATATTTAGTTTGTAAAATAAATATTTAATATTAAATATTTAATATTAAATTTACTATTTAAATATTTATTTTGGAACTAAATATTTAATTTGTAAATAAAATATTTATTTTCCAAAATAAATATTTTGATCCAAGCTAAATATTTATTTTGGAGCTAAACATTTGGTTTGCAAAATCAGTATTTGGGAAATAAATATTTAAGTCTGACCCAAAAATATAAAATACAGTGTGGAGCTAAATAACATTGTGGAAAATAAATATTTAGCTGGTACTTAAAAAGCAAGTCACCCCCAAATCAACTTATTTTTCTGATAAACTATATAAATGCGTGTTTCATCGTGATGCAGACACGTGTCGTCAATAATTTAGTGCTTCAGTGCATCTTAGTTAAAATTTAAATATTCTGCCTAAAACGGTCAGTGTTGCACAGTCGTCAGGTAAAAACTCAGCACTGCATTGGAATTTAAATCTCCCACCGCTATTGGCTAAGACAGAGGTCGGTGACCTGTTCCCATCAAAGAGCCATTATTACCCGTTTCCCACAGTTAAGAAAACACTGGGAGCCACAGCAGCTGCGGCGTTGTGGGCGGGGCCTACCCTCAGACAGCAGAGAGCTGCTCACAACAGGTGACAGCAGCTAGTACCGGTCGCTCGTGTACGTCAAAGTTATCTTTCATAAGACGATAATCAATAAAATGATTTATATAAAATTGATCCAGAAGTTGTAGCCCGCCTCTGCCTACAATATTTTGATATTTTTCACCCTGTTGGCGGTTTTACTGAGCAGGTGCCACTTTTGTCATACGTTTCTTTTTAAAACATGTTTAGACTGTTCAGAATACAAATCCAGGCACTGTCACGTTTGATTGTTGTAATTAAACTTTGTAGGTGGGGAAGGTCAGAAAAGGATCCGATCAATTTGTTTTTCCCTCGTTTACAGCGACGGAGATAAGGGTGCAGTGCGCCTGGCTCTGGTGTTAATCAAGTTAAATTATATCTCTTTGCAACAATTTTCACAAGAAAACAGAACAGTTAAAAGCAGGGCTTGTGTTTTGTTGACCGGACAGTTCCCGTACTTGACCGTTTACTTTGACGGAGAAAGAATAGAAAGAATTACCCCGACGCATGCAGACGAACTGACATTTTTATTCGTTTCGCACATCGCAGATGTAGCTAAATCACTCAAGAAAAGATTCCCATCTGAACATCTGAGCTGGACACTGCTCAGCGCAGCTCACCGTCAGCGTGTACTACATAAGGTCCACAGGGAGCTGAAGTTGTGGAGAGGGGCTTGGAGCACGTCGCAGAACCAGAGCGCATGCAGGAAGATTCCTCCGACTGAAACGAGACTTGTCACTTAGAAAATGTTCCCTGATTATGAAACTTTGGCTGAATAGCGCTTGTTCCTGTCTCCAATGTGGCGACACATCCAGGAGTCATCTGAGGAGAATCCCAGAATCTCACATCCTCTTCAGCTCAGAAAGCGCCTATATGATTACGCACAAGCGTGACCCGTCAACCCGGTCTCACAGTCAGACCGGGTTGGAACTGTTCAGGTTTACGCAGACAATCTTTACATTTAGAATTGGCATACAGACGTAAAATTAATGCAGTAAAATATAAAGCATTTTATTTAAATATCCATTCATTATTTTACAAGCACAGAGAGCCGCATCAGATGGATGGAAGAGCCGCATGCGGCTCCAGAGCCGCGGGTTGCCGACCCCCGGGCTAAGAGGTATGCTATGATGTAAACTGGTACATTATGATGTCACAATGCCGTTGTGAGCCTGTGTGTGTGTGTATTTGTTAGCAGCTCCGCCCTCTCAGTCTGCTAGGCAACAGCATTTGTTGCATTTTTCAAACATGAAGAGGGAGTGAAGTAAATTTCTTGTAGGGGGTGACTTGCTCTTTAAACATTTAGCTAATATGCAAATTCGCTTGCCAATAAGCAGAAGTTGGTTACCAAAATAAAAGCTGGATGTCGCTAACCTCTTTATAAACTCTTGCTCCGAACCAGAACTTGTTTTATCTCTGGTTCTATTCTTCTGAACAAGTCCGACGTTTCGTTTGCGGCTGCAAACTTCGTCAGGCTGACGCTGATGGTGGCGTCACTTCCTTCTCCGTTTCTCCGCAGGCAGCAGAAGACGTTGTCGCCCTCTGCTGCCCGCTCTCCCCTCTCCGACTACGCAGTCCCATGCGTGATCCAACGAGTAAACTCATCGTCCCTGTTCATGGTCCGGCCCACATCCAGGTCTCCTTATCTCGATAGCTTCTTTTATCCATCTTTTGTATTTCCGTTGTTCGGCGTTTATGGTCCTTGTGTTGTCCCAGTCCATTACATGGTTTTCTCTTATGCAGTGATCTGTTATGGCTGACTTCTTTATTGTGCTTTCTGCTTCTTCTTTTGCTGCTCTAGTGTGTTTTCGACTTGCCTCTTTCTCGCACTCCTTTCTATGTTCTATTGTTCGTGTGTTGAGTTGGCGTCCGGTTTCTCCTATGTATGTTTTATTGCAAAGTTTGCATGGGATTTCGTAAATGACTCCACATTTAAGTCCAGCTGGTATCTTGTCTTTTGGGTGTCTGTTTCTAAATGTCGTGTATGGTAGTGATAAGTGCTATATAAATAAAATGTACTTACATACTACATATAAAAAGATATTCCAGATGTTGGTCACTGGCTGCGGCTGCTCCCCCCTGGGCTGCTGGACGCTGCAACAGAAAGATTAAAATACCATCAGTTCTGGGACTTTTTAAAGGAAACACTTAGCTTCTACAGCCTGAATAAAACCAACACAAACATTCACATAAAGCATATTATCACACATGTAAAGTTAATCTAAATCCATTCAACAATCAAGCTGTGGTGACACATCACATCTAATGATCCACAGGAATGTTTCTTACCTGCGGAGCTAGCGGCTGGCTCCTCCTTAACACCTTTTGCCTTCTGGCCCCCAAAACACACACACGAGTTTTATATCAGTAAGTGTTCATGAGCATCCGGTGTGTGAGGTCATGGTGTCTGAGCAGAGTGTACGTACGCGGTTGTAGTTGGGGACCCAGGCCGGGTGCTGCTGCTCGTGGAGCCTCTGTTCCTTGTGAGCCTGGTCGAAGTAGACGTTCTGCTGCTCAGGAGACAGTTCCCTCCACTGTGAACCGAAGACAGCGAGACAAGCTGTTGGTGAACAATAATCCAAGGAAGCAAAACCATTATCATTCTGTAGCAAACACTCTTACCCTCTGGCCCACGATGGCGTTGACAGCAGCGCTGTCTGTCAAATTCAGCTCAGCCACCACCTTGGGCCTCTGGTCCCGCAGGAAGATCATGAAGGCATTTGGTGGCTTCTTCACATAGGGTCGGTCCTCCTGCTTGGGCTCACGCTTTCTCTTGCTGCAGAGACAAAACACAACACAAACCTGTCAGCATCTACATCCTGGAAATGTGGTAAACTTTATTATTCTGAAACGATCGATTCAAAACTTACTTTGGGTTGGAGACCGGAGCAGAAGCAGGAGCAGCAGGTGGAGTGCCAGGAAGAAGGGATGATGGCAGAGAAGGGGCAGTGGGAGTATGAGGTGAAGGCAGAGAAGAAACAACAACAGGAGGAGGGGGAGATGAAGCAGGAGAAAAAGAAGGAAGGGAAGGTGAGGGAGGATGTTCCAGAGGAGAAGATGGAGGAGGAAAAGGAATGGGAAGGTGCTCCTTAAAGATCTCATCCAGAAGGGAGAAGAACTCCCTCTCTCCCCCGAAGTCCTCCATGTACCTATCAAAACTCAGGAGGCGCTTGTTTTCCTCCATCTTTCTGTGACACAGGATGAGAAGAAGAAGAAGCTTTAAAACCCGTCACAAGACGTCAGACATCATGGCATCAGAGACATCAAACAGGAAACGTCACCTCCACTGTTACTGGTAACAAACTGATCTCTGATCCGTTTCTACGGTCAGATCCATGTTTATCACGGTGACTGAGGCAACAGCTGCCGTTACATGTGAACCGTTTCATCTCCAACACTCTGTTTAAACACCAGTTTCTGAAAATCATTGTTGTGTTTTTACTTCACTAAGTGAAAAGTTTGGATTTCAGTTGTGAATTAATTTTATTCTTCATGTTTTAACCCGACCCAGTCTCACTGGAGATACTTTATGTTTTTGTCTCAGCAGGGTTCAGATTTGTGAAGAGAAACTTTCAATTGTGTTGGGTATTTTTTTTGTGTGCCTTTTTTCCTTTTCCGGAACGGCGCTGCTCTGGGTGGCTGCATGTTGGAGTAGCTCTGTTGACTATTTGTAAGTTTTGCCTTTTCTTGGACATTTTTCTTCTAGTTTCTCAAGAAAAACTGTATTTTTTTGGACACTTTACTTTTCTGTTTCTGGTGCTGTGAAGCTTGGAGGATTTTTACTGCTATTTTTTAGCTTTTTTCACTTTTTGAGCATTTGTTATGATGCGTAACCATGGCAACAAGCTGGTTTACAATCGGGAGCAGCTGATTAACATTGGAAAGGCTGAAATAATACCTCAACTGAAGCCACAAATCCCAAATGAGCTAAAATGTAAAAAGCGTGAGTGCAGAGCGGGAGCAAAACGGAGACAGAGAAAGAGGAAATTCAAACCATCTCTTCCATCGATCATAACGGGCAACGTGAGATCACTGGCCAACAAGATGGAGGAACTCCAAGCCCTTTCAAGGACTCAGCCAGAGTATCAGCAGTTTCTGAACCGCTGGAGGAGATAATGCAAAGAAGGATTCTCCAGAGAATCAAGAAAATGATGGACAACCCTGAGCATTCTCTTCACAAGACTGTCCGACAACGGAAGAGTGTCTTCAGTCAGAGGCTTCTTCAGTTTGGCTGCAACACTGACCGCTACTGGAGATCCTTCCTGCCAACAGCCATTGTAACATACAATAACTTTGATGACTTGATTATTATTATTATTCTGAGCTACTACAGCAATCAATTTCCCTCTTGGATTAATAAAGTATTTTTGAATTGAATTGAATTTACATCAGCCTGTGCTTCGTTTTCTTATTGGCTCGTTCAGAAACACACTTTTAGGACAAAACGGAGATGGAAACAAAAATGATTTCTGTTCACATCCTTCTGCTCAGTTTTAGGTCAGATGTGAACGAAACTGCCACCGATCCCAGCTGAGGGTCAGCATCACCACAGCGAACAGATCTACCGTGTGTAGATCTAGATAAAAGCACAGCTGGAGAAATCACTTCATTCTACTCTATGTGGTTTATTCAGCAGACTTTACTCTTTTTAATCAGGAACTCATTAAACACTAGATCCATTTTTAAATGTAAACAAGTCAAAATAGTTTGTTCACTTGATGTTATTAAAGTTATGACTTATTCACTGATGAAAATGTGGCATTTCTTTCTATTTCTGACAAGCTGGTGCAGAAATAAAGATCAGTCCCTTCTCCAGACACCACTGCTGTACACGGCAGATAGCATGTAGGTCTAGTTGTAGAAATGTACGTTTATAACTCATATTTCAGATTCAAATGAGTTTTATCTTGACTGTTTATTTGCTCTCTGACCTGCTTAAGGGTTTTTTGTTTATTTTGTTTTTTCCAGCAGGTGTATTTTATATATATGACAAAACCAGTTTACCTTGAGGGATGTTAAAGTCTCCCAGTAAAGCACAGGAAACACTTCAGATAAATCTAAAAGTCTAACCATGTCAGATGTTGGGCTGGATTGTTTGTGGGTAGTTTTATTACCTGCTAGAGCTGCTCTCTGGACGACTAAAGTCAGCAAACACAGAGACCGCAGAGAAAAGGTCCTAGTCTCTCGAGATGGAACTTACACTGAAGTCTGAAAAGTTCTCGCCTTAATAATAAAGCATTTTAAATGATGCACCTGAGCTGTAACTATGGTAACGCAAGATTCCATAGCTTTTGACAGTCTGTCATGGGTGACAGACAGCGCTCCATAGGGAGCCTAAGTCATGCCCACCTCCGGACCACGGGTCCCCAGAAGAACAAAAAAATGAATGCAAGTCAACGGGGCTAAAAACGCTATTTTCTGATTCCGCTTGTTATGTGCCATGGATTTCACATATGATGTCCGTGAAGATGCATTCTAATACCAAGAACGCGCTTATTTTCAAAAGGGGGGAAATGCTATTATAAGTTTTGGGGGCTGCATGGTGCACAGTGGTTAGCACTGTTGCCTCGCAGCTTGAAGGCTGCAGGTTCGAAACTCGGCTGCGGCCTTTCTGCTTGGAGTTGCGTGTTCTCCCCATGCATGAATGGGTTTCCTCCGGGTACTCCGGTTTCCCCCACAGATCGCAACATGCCCTATAGGTTATAAATTGCAAGTCGCTTTGGATAAAAGTGTCTGCTAAATAAATAAACCATAAAAGTTTTGTGTAATAAGTCCAGGACTACAAATGCTCTTTATGAAAGTAGCATCATCGAAGCAGACACGGAGAAAAACAGGGAAAATGGCAGAGATTCTGTGAAGACGTCATATATGCAATGTGCCGATGTTGGATTTGTAGTCATGCTAGCATCGAACTTTTACAAGCTGATACATTTCAAAGTACGTGACTGGCGTGCACACCCATCGTTGGATTACATTTAAATTGAAGTACAACATGTGTGCGATCCAGGACGTAAGGCAAAGCAGATTAGAAAATAACACTTTTAGCCCCGTTGACTTGCATTCATTTTTTCGTTCTTCCGGGGACCCGTGAGCCGACTGGAAAGGGAGGAGACCTAGGCTCCCTGTTGTAGTGAAGCAGGAAGTACAGATAGTGGCTTTAAAAATTAGTGAAGTAAAAGCAAAAAGTAGACCTGAAGAAAATAAGTAAAGTACAAATAAAGAAAAGCTTTACATATTATATTATATTCAATAACTTTATTACTTTTTAAAAGATTTATTTTTTGTTTGCATTTTAAATTCGGCCATCCTGTCCCTCTAAACGCGATTTAACATAAAAGGAGCCATCATCAGGTGTACCTCTTATGCATAATAATGACCGAATCACAGACCAGATGTTTGATGACGTAGAAATATATTAATAAAAAGATATCAGAACTTAAAGAAGACGATACAATCCTCTTCAGACAAATAACAAACCGTTTGACATCAAAGAAATGTCTCTTTGGTCTTGATGCTCACATAGCAGTAAAGGTTTTAAATATAAACAGAGATTTCAGTTTTCCTGGTAGTGTTTAATCAAAGAGCAATGTGACAAAAACTATAAGTTACTTAGTTAAATTCATACATAAAGATAACCTGCAGTTGAGCCTCTTGACTTTTCTGTTTGCGAAATCAAGCCAAATGACTCTTCTGTTAGCTGATGGATCCATTTTTAAACGTAAACAAGTCAAAATAGTTTGTTCACTTGATGTTATTAAAGTTATAACCTATCCACTGATGAAAAAGTGGCATTTCTTTATATTTCTGACAAGCTGGTGCAGAAATAAAGATCAGTCCCTTCTCCAGACACCACTGCTGTACACGGCAGATAGCATGTAGGTCTAGTTGTAGAAATGTACGTTTATAACTCATATTTCAGATTCAAATGAGTTTTATCTTGACTGTTTATCTGCTCTCTGTCTTGCTTAAGGGTTTTTTGTTTAATTTGTTTTTTCCAGCAGGTGTATTTTATATAAATGATAAAACCAGCTTACCTTGAGGGATGTTAAAGTCTCCCAGTAAAGCACAGGAAACACTTCAGATAAATCTAAAAGTCTAACCATGTCAGATGTTGGGCTGGATTGTTTGTGGGTAGTTTTATTACCTGCTAGAGCTGCTCTCTGGACGACTAAAGTCAGCAAACACAGAGACCGCAGAGAAAAGGTCCTAGTCTCTCGAGATGCTTACACTGAAGTCTGAAAAGTTCTCGCCTTAATAATAAAGCATTTTAAATGATGCACCTGAGCTGTAACTATGGTAACGCAAGATTCCATAGCTTTTGACAGTCTGTCATGGGTGACAGACAGCGCTCCATAGGGAGCCTAAGTCATGCCCACCTCCGGACCACGGGTCCCCAGAAGAACAAAAAAATGAATGCAAGTCAACGGGGCTAAAAACGCTATTTTCTGATTCCGCTTGTTATGTGCCATGGATTTCACATATGATGTCCGTGAAGATGCATTCTAATCCCAAGAACGCGCTTATTTTCAAAAGGGGGGAAATGCTATTATAAGTTTTGGGGGCTGCATGGTGCACAGTGGTTAGCACTGTTGCCTCGCAGCTTGAAGGCTGCAGGTTCGAAACTCGGCTGCGGCCTTTCTGCTTGGAGTTGCGTGTTCTCCCCATGCATGAATGGGTTTCCTCCGGGTACTCCGGTTTCCCCCACAGATCGCAACATGCCCTATAGGTTATAAATTGCAAGTCGCTTTGGATAAAAGTGTCTGCTAAATAAATAAACAATAAAAGTTTTGTGTAATAAGTCCAGGACTACAAATGCTCTTTATGAAAGTAGCATCATCGAAGCAGACACGGAGAAAAACAGGGAAAATGGCAGAGATTCTGTGAAGACGTCATATATGCAATGTGCCGATGTTGGATTTGTAGTCATGCTAGCATCGAACTTTTACAAGCTGATACATTTCAAAGTACGTGACTGGCGTGCACACCCATCGTTGGATTACATTTAAATTGAAGTACAACATGTGTGCGATCCAGGACGTAAGGCAAAGCGGATTAGAAAATAACACTTTTAGCCCCGTTGACTTGCATTCATTTTTTCGTTCTTCCGGGGACCCGTGAGCCGACTGGAAAGGGAGGAGACCTAGGCTCCCTGTTGTAGTGAAGCAGGAAGTACAGATAGTGGCTTTAAAAATTAGTGAAGTAAAAGCAAAAAGTAGACCTGAAGAAAATAAGTAAAGTACAAATAAAGAAAAGCTTTACATATTATATTATATTATATTCAATAACTTTATTACTTTTTAAAAGATTTATTTTTTGTTTGCATTTTAAATTCGGCCATCCTGTCCCTCTAAACGCGATTTAACATAAAAGGAGCCATCATCAGGTGTACCTCTTATGCATAATAATGATCGGATCACAGACCAGATGTTTGATGACGTAGAAATATATTAATAAAAAGATATCAGAACTTAAAGAAGACGATACAATCCTCTTCAGACAAATAACAAACCGTTTGACATCAAAGAAATGTCTCTTTGGTCTTGATGCTCACATAGCAGTAAAGGTTTTAAATATAAACAGAGATTTCAGTTTTCCTGGTAGTGTTTAATCAAAGAGCAATGTGACAAAAACTATAAGTTACTTAGTTAAATTCATACATAAAGATAACCTGCAGTTGAGCCTCTTGACTTTTCTGTTTGCGAAATCAAGCCAAATGACTCTTCTGTTAGCTGATGGATCCATTTTTAAACGTAAACAAGTCAAAATAGTTTGTTCACTTGATGTTATTAAAGTTATAACCTATCCACTGATGAAAAAGTGGCATTTCTTTATATTTCTGACAAGCTGGTGCAGAAATAAAGATCAGTCCATTCTCCAGACACCACTGCTGTACACGGCAGATAGCATGTAGGTCTAGTTGTAGAAATGTACGTTTATAACTCATATTTCAGATTCAAATTAGTTTTATCTTGACTGTTTATCTGCTCTCTGTCCTGCTTAAGGGTTTTTTGTTTAATTTGTTTTTTCCAGCAGGTGTATTTTATATAAATGACAAAACCAGCTTACCTTGAGGGATGTTAAAGTCTCCCAGTAAAGCACAGGAAACACTTCAGATAAATCTAAAAGTCTAACCATGTCAGATGTTGGGCTGGATTGTTTGTGGGTAGTTTTATTACCTGCTAGAGCTGCTCTCTGGACGACTAAAGTCAGCAAACACAGAGACCGCAGAGAAAAGGTCCTAGTCTCTCGAGATGCTTACACTGAAGTCTGAAAAGTTCTCGCCTTAATAATAAAGCATTTTAAATGATGCACCTGAGCTGTAACTATGGTAACGCAAGATTCCATAGCTTTTGACAGTCTACAACCCAACTAACAGCCCAACTACAACCGCGTACGCACACTCTGCTCAGACACCATGACCTCACACACCGGATGCTCATGAACACACTGATATAAAACTCATGTGTGTGTTTTGGGGGCCAGAAGGCAAAACGCGTTAAGGAGGAGCCAGCCGCCAGCTCCGCAGGTAAGAAACATTTCTGTGGATCATTAGATGTGATGATGTCACCACAGCTCGATTGTTAGATGAACTTTACATGTGTGATAATATGCTTTATGTCAGGGGTGTCAAACTCAAACTCACACGGGGCTGAAATGAAAATCTGGGACGAAGTCGAGGGCCAAACTTAATATTTTTTGAAAAAGTGACGGCAAATTTGCACATTTTCTTTATCAACATTTATGCAATTCTGAACCTTTTAATTTGGAAACACTTATTTTTGCATTAACACTGAATGTGGAATAACCAAATTACACACGAGCAAGTCAGTTTTAAATAAAACGCATCAGTGGTATTCATTACTTGTGGTATATTCAGCATTTTAAAAATCTATTCGGGATTTATGTTTTCTTGTTGTTTATTCATTTTTCTTATTTTTGATTCTCCTTTTTTTCTCCTGTAATAAGTGTCATCGCTGCTGTGACGTCTAGCTTTCCCCACTGAGGAACAATGAAAGGATTTTCTATTCTATTCATCTATCTGCAGCCTTTCCACTTCCTGTTTAATGGAGGTTAAATCTTTTCTCACGGGCCAACAACAAAATAAAGATATCATTTTATCTTAAATGAAAAATGGTGCCTGTACGTTGGGGTTTACCCCAGTGAATGAGAGGGTAGCCTCCCTCCACCTACGTGTGGGGGACGGGTTCTGACTGTGGTCTGTGCTTATGCACCAAACTACAGTTCAGACTACCCACCCTTTTTGGAGACCTTGGAGGGGGTGCTGGAAAGCGCTCCTTCCGGTGACTCCCTTGTTCTGCTGGGGGACTTTAACACTCACGTGGGCAACGACAGTGAGACCTGGAGAGGTGTGGTTGGGAGGAACGCCCCCCCCCCGATCTGAATTCGAGTGGTGTTTGTTATCGGACTTCTGTGCCAGTCATGAATTGTCCATAATGAACACCACGTTCAGACATAAAGGTGTCCATATGTGCTCTTGGCACCAGGATACCTTAGGCCGCAGCTCGATGATCGACTTTGTTGTTGTTTCATCTGACCTGCGGCCGCATGTCTTGGACACTCGGGTGAAGAGGGGGCGGAGCTGTCAACTGACCACTACCTGATGGTGAGTTGGCTCAGATGGTGGGGGAGAATGCCGGTCAGACCGGGCTGGCCCAAATGTATCGCGAGGGTCTGCTGGGAACGTCTGGCAGAGTCTCCTGTAAGAAGGAGCTTCAATTCCCACCTCCGACAGAACTTCCAAAATGTTCCAGGGGAGGCGGGGGGACAGTGAGTCTGAATGGACCCTGTTCCGTGCCTCCATTGTTGAGGCGGCCGACCGGAGCTGTGGTCGCAGGATCGTCTGTGCTTGTCATTGTGGCAACCCCCCAAACCCACTGGTGGACACCGGCGGTTAGGGATGCTGTCAAGCTGAAGAAAGAGTCCTATCAGGTCTTTTTGGCCTGTGGGACTCTGTGGGACTCTAGAGGCAGCTGACAGGTACCGTCAGTCCAAGCGGAACGCGGCTCGGGTGGTCGCCAAGGCAAAAACACGGGCATGGGAGGAGTTCGGTGAGACCATGGAGCAAGACTTCCGTACGGCTTTGAGGAGATTCTGGTCCACCGTCCGGCGCCTCAGTGGGGGGAAGCAGTGCACTACCAACACTATCTATAGTGGGGACGGTGTGCTGCTGACCTCTACTCAGGACATTGTGGATCGGTGGGCAGAATACTTCGAAGACCTCCTCAATCCCTGTGTTCCAACTACAGGGGGATCACACTCCTGAGCCTTCCAGGTAAGGTCTATTCAGGGGTTCTGGTGAGGAGGTCCATCGGATTGTTGAACCTCAGATTCAGGATGAACAATGTGGTTTTCATCCTGGCCGTGGAACACTGGACCAGCTCTATACCCTTAGGGGGATCCTGGAGGGTGCGTGGGAATTTGCCCAACCAGTCTGCATAAGTTTTGTGGATTTGAAGAAGGCATTTGACCTCATCCCTCGGGGGGCCCTGTGGGGGGTACTCAGGGAGTATGGTGTACCAGGCCCTCTGATACGGGCTGTTAGGTCCCTGTATGACTGGTGTCAGAGCTTGGTCCGCATTGCCAGCAGTAAGTCGGGCTCGTTCCCAGTGAGAGTTGGACTCCGCCAAGGCTGCCCTTTGTCACCGATTCTGTTCATAACCTTTATGGACAGGATTTCTAGGCGCAGCCAAGGTGTGGAGGGCATCTGTTTTGGTGACCTGAGGATCAGGTCTCTGCTTTTTGCAGATGATGTGGTCCTGTTGGCTTCATCAGAACGTGATCTTCAGCTTTCACTGGAGCGGTTCGCAGCCGAGTGTGAAGTAGCTGGGATGAGAATCAGCTCCTCTAAATCTGAGACCATGGTCTTGATTCGGAAAAGGGTAGAATGCCTTCTCCGGGTCAGGGATGAGGTCCTGCCCCAAGTGGAGGAGTTTAAGTATCTCGGGGTCTTGTTCACGAGTGAGGGAAAACTGGAGCATGAGATCGATAGGCGGATTGGTGCTGCATCTGCAGTGATGCGGGCGTTGTACCGGTCTGTCGTGGTGAAGAGAGAGCTGAGTCAGAAGGCGAAGCTCTCGATTTACCGGTCGATCTACGTTCCTACCCTCACCTATGGTCATGAGCTTTGGGTAGTGACCGAAAGAACGAGATTGCGGATACAAGCGGCCGAAATGAGTTTTCTCCGAAGAGTGGCTGGGCTCTCCCTTAGAGATAGGGTGAGAAGCTCGGTCATTCAGGAGGGGCTCGGAGTAGACCCGCTGCTCCTCCACATCGAGAGGAGCCAGTTGAGGTGGCTCGGGCATCTGGTCAGGATGCCTCATGGACACCTCCCTGGTGAGGTTTTCCGGCCACGTCCAACCAGGAGGAGACCTAAAGGTAGACCCAGGACACGGTGGAGGGACTATGTCTCTCACCTGGCCAGGGAAGGCCTTGGGATTCTCCCGGAGGAGCTGGCCAAGTGGCTGGGGAGAGGGAAGTCTGGGCCTCTCGCCTTAGGCTACTGCCCCCGCAACCCGACTCTGGATAAGCAGATGAAAATGGAAATGCAATATCTCACCTGTTAACTTTCATGTTGTGGAGCAGAAAAAGAGCATACAATCAAAATATTTAAAGCTCAGTTTGCTCCACTGATTCACTGTGATGCTCACCTGCAGGACCGGATTATCACTGCAGCGGCCCCAGGGCACAATGTGTTCTTTAATTAGGAAACACTCATGAGAAACTGTTTTAAATATTTTAAAGGCAGATGAACTTTTCTCATCCTCCACAACATTTATTTAAAAACAAAATCAAAACATCCGAAAGGTCCTATGAGACAGAATGTTTTATACTAGTGGAGATTAAATGTGATTTTTCAGAAAGGCTGCTGGTTAAACCTGTCATCTTTCAATTCATTACAAAAAGCATCATTCCATACTCTTTACAAAGTACAGACAAAGGTTTATTTCTAGAAAGCATGAGTTGTGTGAAATTCCAGGAAGATACATGGTATTAATTTTACATCCCTTTTAATAACAGCTGGATTAAACAATGTGAAACATCTGTCCATGCTTTACAACAATAGCTTTTCATTGAGCTTGTATGAAAAGAGCAGAAGGATCATGGCGACGCAACAAGTCAATCTGAACTGTATGACGCGGTAAACTGAAGTTAATTTAATCTTTTGAGTCAATCATTCAGTTTATTCAAAAGCACATACAACAAAGTGGATTTTTCCCTGAAAAGATACATTATTTCCAACATTCCAACCATAAATCTAAACATTTGACTTCCCCAAAATGTGGCCAGATGAAAACAAGCATAAAATAGTTCAACAGACATTTTCTGCAAAGTTGAGTATAAGAAAAAGGTGACAGTTACTCAGTAGGCCTTATATGAACCCTTAACTATAGTCTGTATGTCTTTTACAAAACACAACGATTTTCCTGTGTGGTGAAGTGGGAATGACTTCCAGAGTCATCCATATAATCCACGTGACACTGTCCTCCTGCTCTGGCTGCAGCGGCTCTTATGTTAGCTATCATTTCCTCTTCTCAACAGTTCTGCCAAAGTATTCCTTCTGGAACTCCTCGAACTCCTCCTCCGTGAACACAGACTGGGTCTCTTTGGCCTTTTTGACGGGTTTGTCGGTGCAATTCCTTGACTGCCTTCCTAAATTGTGGCTCAAAATCTAAATTAGACAGAAATCAGGTCAAAAATGTAACAAATCTACAAGTCACACTAGCTCAATTAAATTATTTAAGATACTTAGATCACTGTTTAAGAATGACATCTTAAAACTTAAAAGCACTGCGTCCGATGCTAAAAGACGTGCTTACAATATTAGCGATGATAATTAAGAAAGTCAACATGGATGGTATGTCAAAAGTAAACCCTTCTTTACCTTTAATGTATCAGATTCTGTTGCTTTGCTGCTGGTTGTTGTAAAGTACTTCAGGTTGGCACTCATCTGGCTCTGACCCTGCTTCTTTCGGAACTCCTCTGCAAAATAAATAAATAAATAAATAAATAATTAAATAAATAAATAATAAAAAAGAGACATTATATGTCATGTTCATTAAGCTTAAGCATCTAAAGATGTGGCCAAGGCTTTGAGTTTCTTGATTTTATGCACTTCTTTTAAATTTAGTTAACACAAATAATTTGACACAAGTACTTAACATCTTCAGAAAACAGTTAAGATGTTACACACAAACACAATAGAGCTAGCAGGGGAGAAAATGACACAGCAAAACAAATAAATAAATTAAAAAACACATAGGACTTCCATACTTCCGTGTAAACATGCATAGCTTCTGAGGCTCCTGCTCTTCTCTGGACTTTAAAATCAAGGTGTCCCTGTGCCATTTGTGTGTTTTGATAGTGATTTAGGAGCAGATATGATCCATATCTACACAATTAAAAGGGTTTCCGTACCGACTGCTGATTTGATCCTCTTGTCTTTGACTGTGGCTTTACTCTTTCCAGACCCGTGGCGACCCTGCAGCCTCTTGACCTGCTTGGTGACCCCCTGCCTCTTGGTGCTCACCAGCTCCATCACTGCAGCTGAGCTGGGGGTCTGCTCCTTCTTTTTCTTCTTCCCTTTACCACCATCTGGGAAAATAAAAATGAAAGGAAGAGAATACCCAAGTTTATAAAAATGTTGCACAAATTCAGGTGATTCTAATGTAAACAGCACTTTTGTGACAATAGTAGAGAAGCAATGATTTGCCTAGTCTTTAAAATAACAAGTCTCTTTGGTGCAAATGTTCACGTTTTACTTCTGATTCTTTACACTGAAAGTTTGGTTTGATTGTCCCTAAACTCTCAATATTTGCCATTAGTCTTTTAATTATTCAGCCTTTTTTAAAATAAGTTCTCTGATCATAAGACATGTTTCACTTCTTAGTAGTTAGCAGAAGAAATTCCTAGTTTGATGCGCAAATTATTTTAAATAAATCCCCAAAGTGCAAAAATACATAATCTCCACAATTATTTTGCGGCACATTTTCTCAGGTGAAGTAGCAGTAATGAAGGAAGTAATGAGCAGTTTATTTATTATTTAAATTATTTTTGAACAAACTCATAAAAAGACTGGGCAAAAAGTGAAGCTTTTTTTCTTTTGCTTTCCTCGTGCTTCGTTTTAACCCTAAAAAGCATAACATCACAGACGTCACCGCCTTTGACCGTCATTAAAACAAGCTAACAGGCTAGAACTGACCTTTAATATCTTCGTTCAGCAGCTCCAATCCTCTCCTTATCAATGACAGCGACATACTCTGTAATATCAACAATTTATCCGGTAAAAATCTATATTTAAAGTCCTCAAAACCTCAAGAGGAGCGTGTAAAAAAGGATAACATCCGGTTCGATGTGTGCACCGACTGAAAGACTTCCCCGGAAAACAATTTACAATACACAAAGTTCCCACTTTACAATAATAATAATAATAATAATAATAATAATAATAATAATAATAATAATAATAATAATAATAATAATAACTAAACTAACCGTGTGAAAATGGCATTGTAAATAATTTTTGAGTACTTTTTGAGAAAGCTGAAACAAGAAAGAATGGATTATGTGCCGAGTTGATGATGCAAAAGTCCTGGATTTACAGATTTCTGGGACCAGTGTGACGCGCTATAATGACTGACTGAACGTTTGTGTGCTTTTTATGTTTATAGCTTTCTGATTCACAAAAGAACGCAGAAAGATTCCGATTTGAATTAGCCTACTTGGTGCACCTCAGTATTCCTGTGTGGGTTCTACTTGCACATCAGCATACAATTAATAGTTAAACAGGCTTTTACCATCAATGGGACTCTAAAGATGTTAGAAAAGGGATCTCTTCACCTTGCTTTTATTTTATTTGACTTGGCTACACACTTTATATAAACCACCACATTTATCTTTAGATTTTAATATTTAGGTTAATCTTTATATATTGAAATCTGCATTTAATGAAATGTGAAAAATAACACAATTTAGTGTTCTATTGTACTCTCTTATAATTAGCACCCCATAATGTACAGCTCTTTTACCACTTTTTATTATTTTAATACTTTGCTCTAATATTTGATCACTTATTGAGGTTTTAAAAACATCATCCCTTTTTTCTCCTTCTGACGGACAGATAAGGAGCCAGGTCACATCCCCGGCTCCATCAACATCCCCTTCCACTCCCTCCTGTCTGCTTCGGGTCACTTCCTGCCAGAAGAGAATCTCCAGGATCTCTTCATCCGTGCTAGTGTGGACCTCAGTCGACCCATGTGTGTGTTGTGTGGTTCTGGTGTGACTGCCTGCCACGTGGCACTGGCAGCCCACGAGTGCGGACACCCAGAGGTGTCTGTGTATGACGGAGCGTGGTTGGAGTGGTACACCCGTGCGGTGCCTGAGGATGTCATACCTGAGGGCAGAGGCAAACACGTGTGACAAGAGTTGGATTGATGGTGTGACACCAGATCAGAGTCATTTGGGACTTTATGCTATAAATTATACTATAACCAGGGGTGCACATAATATTTTTGGGTTGGTACTCAGGGTACCTATGGTAGTTGCTTGGTCCTCACATTTTTAATGCACTTAATTCTTAACCCAACTCACAATAGGAACAAAACAGAGTAACGCGTTGACGATGCAACATATTTAAATTTTGGCTGAAAACAATAAGTACAACTGGTACATTTTGCCAGCTTAACTTAAACCTTCTAATTTTAAAATAACTTGACTGAATTGTCTGAATGTAAAACACAATGTGTAAACAGCTGCTTTTGTGATGACAAAAATCAAATAAAATACATTTTAAAGCACTTAACAAAATTACTATTTCAGAGCACTGAAGTTTTTTAAACGGCATAAATGCTGTTTTTATTTCTACAGACTCTCATCATCCTCCTCACTATCCTGACTGGCTTCCTCCAGTTCACACACAGCAGAGGATGTAGGTTCAGGCTTACTCCTTTTCTTCTGGTTCAGCCAGCGATCAGCTGCGGACCACTTATGTGCACACCTGGCTATAAAGCTCCATTTGTGTGCATAAAGACAGAAGTGAAAGCAACTTGACTCTCCTCTTTAAAATTAAAACAAGAGCCTTGGAGCATCTTCGAAAAATCAGATATGCCACTTTTTTTTTAAATCCATGAATAAAAATAAAAGTGAAGCCACTTCCTGGCTTTACACATCTGTTAGCTTCACAAAATTCACAAAAGAAAAACCAAAGCTAATAAGACTTACAAGTAGGTTTTTAGAAGTTTTCAAAGACTCTGCTCTATACAAACACTAAATTTAATGTTTAATTTTACAGCTTATTTAAAACGAACTATGTTTATTTTTTCTGAAGAGCTAACTGACATTTCACGTTCATGCAGCCTCCATTAAAGTGTTGGGGTGTGGGTGTATTTATAGGGGTTTAACGTAAGCCCTAAGGGACTCATCGCTGACCTATGAGCAGACAAGTCTGACGCATGTGGTGATAAGGGAACAGTAACTGACCTGTAGGATGATCGAATATGTTATATAATGAAAAAAAAAGTTTCCAAAACCTTTTTGATATAGTGAGAATTGATTGATTTACTAAATTATCATTTTAAGGACAATTCAGGTCCAGCATTTTAGACATCAGCTATGTCTAACACAAAAAAATGATGTGTCATTAACACTTAAAGCCATTTTAACCAATTTCTTAGGAAACTGCTTGACCTTACAACGGTGATGATTCACAACAGGAAGTTGTTCTTATAGTTCCTTTTTTTTGCAAAGCTTAGCAAGAGATTCGTGTTCAGATCTCTTTTTAGAAACAGAGTAACCCTTTGATGCATGAATTATGAAATCTTCAACCATGATTTTTTTTTTACAATTTTTTTCATTCATCTTTAGGTGTGAACAAAACAAATTTCAACAAATATTTGTTGTAAAATTTTATAATTTACAAATAATTTATTACATATGCACCTTGGTGGACAACGTGCATTCTGAACATGAAATATGTTGGCTTGGCTTACTGAAGTCCAAATGGAGGGGCTCAAATGCAATAAAGTCTTCAACAGCTGTGCTTAATAGCAAAAACAAATAAATAACAATTTTGAGTACCTGTCCACAATAGTGACCATTATGCATCAAAGGGCTAAATATCGTCTTGTGCTGTTTTTTTCTATCACATTTTCAAGGAAGGGTCAACCCAGTTATTCATCTATGGCACTGTAGCTTCAGAGAGCAGCTGTCTTTGTATAAGTGGTGAATTTTATTCTTGCAATGATATTAACTGTTCAATGAAATTCATTAAATGGTCTCAGATTTATCTGGTTTTATGATAAATACCTAAAACATTGCCTATTTACACACAAAAGTGCAAACATGTAAAGGACATCTGAAAAGTTTTTTTTATTACAGTAGAAATATTTTTTAAGAGTTTCACTTCCATGTTACAGATTTAAAAGAAGTGAAAAAAGACAGCAGAATTTCCAGAGAGAGTTGTTGCTATGAGACAGAAAAGACCCAAAGGCTATTAAAAATGACAACAAATCACACACACACACACACACACACACACACACACACACACACACACACACACACACACACACACACACAATATATATATATATATATATATATATATATATATATATCCAATCCAATCCAATCCAATTTTATTTATAAAGCGCATTCAATAAGGCATTACAACCAAACAAGGCGCTGTACACTAAAAATGTTAGTTAATTAAACCAGCAAAAAATTATACAATCATGTCGAACACAGATAAAAGATAAAAAGGAAATACAACAAAATTCCCAGAACTAACAGGTAGAAATCAATAAAACACAGGGAGAATAAAAATTAGAAAAACATTTAAAAAAAGAACCAGAATAATGCGGGAGTTGATATTGTGAGTTCCATTTTTTAACAATGCAGTTGTGACTGAGGTTCATAATTATGTGGTATAAGCTAGGTTAAAGTAGTGAGTTTTCAAGCGTGATTTAAAAATGCTAGCTGTTGGTGCTAGCCTCACTAGCAGTGGTAATGCGTTCCACAGCTTCGGTGCACAGACAGAGAAAGCCCTCTCTCTTCGGCTTTTTAAACGTGCATTCGGAACAGCTAGGAGGAGCTTATCTTCGGACCTGAGAGCACGCGGCGGGTTGTAGTAATGGACAAGTTCACACAGATATGGAGGAGCTTGATGGTTCAAGGATTTGTAAGCCAGATCACTTACTGATGCAGTGATATCTCATAGTGTGAAAGGCCATGGGTAATTTCCCCCAACAGAGCAGATTTTTCATCTGTAATCGTGTCTGTAAACAATTTAAACATTTAATCGTGGTTTCTTCATCAAAGATCTTGAGACGGCAGCAACTGCGCTTACCAGGACTTTCAATACTTGTGATTCGAAAACAAGAAGGGATTTCATGGGCCAAGAACAATCCAGATTAGATTGAACAAAACTGTAACAGACAAGACAATTCCCCCAGGAAAGCACGGAAGAGGATGAGTGATGATTTGCAGATGTTTTTTGCCATTGTTGTAGGGTATTTGATTCTAAACCACCTTGGAAAATTAAGGAAATTTATTAGTAGATCTTGACTTCATCATCTGCAGGACGATGACTAAGCATGCCACATTTTTCCAATTTTAAACCAATTTTACAAAAGAAAACAAAACAACTTACCTGTCAAATGACTTCAACGATGGTGAGCAAAAGGCACAAATGCACCCATAAATGCAAAATGAACTTTCTGAACGTAAATGAAAATACAAAACAAAGATTAATAAAGGACTTAAAAATGCAGTCGTTATTTTACTAAAGTAGATTTCCCTTTTGAGTTTACTGATGTTTTGGATTTACTTTGACTGAAGCTATGCTGAATTTTCCTGGCATTGTAATAGCAATCACACCTGTGGATTTTGATTTGATCTTGTACAGCACCTTGGGTTTTCTTGCTGGTGCTCGGAAGGTGCTGTACAAATAAACAAATTGAAATGAATTAGATATTTTAGCCATAGCAACGTGGTTTAGTTTCCACACGAGGGCAGCACATCAACACCTGAGGAGTTTGTTCATTTCAAAATTACTAGTGAGGAGTTCCACGGTTAGAAAATACGATGAGCACTCTATTAATGCAAACAAATGCAAAATGTTGCAAAACTGGTCATTCATATCTGTCAACGCTGTATTTTAAGTAATGCAAAATTGAAACCTGACATTTCCTCTTTGGTTTAGTGTTTTTTCCTCTTTTTTTTTTTTTTTTTTTTTTTTTTTTTACAAAGATGGCCTCTGTCTGCTCTCGTAGCCATTTAAAGTTAAAGTCCCATTAACTGGAGTGTGAGATTTGTTTTCCACATTTGACCCATTCCCTGGGGCAGTGGTGAACTGGACTGAACCATTTGGTGGTTGACCCCCTGAATGATGAGTGTCAAATGGGGAGGCAGTGAGTCCCACTTTTTAAAGTCTTTGGTATGACCCCACCGTGGATTTGAACCCACAATCTCCCAGTCTCAGGGCAGACACTCATACCAGTAGGCCACTGAGCTGGTTTATGTTTTACTGTTTCATAAAGAAACATTCCTGCCATTGAAAAAGTGTCCCTTATTGGCCATGATCTACTATAATAGTCCGGGAATTTTCTTGGAAGGGTTTAAAGGACAAATCAAATCAAATCAAATTTATTTACGAAGCGCTTTTCATGCAAGTGCAGCTCAAAGCGCTTTACAATATTAAAAACAACCAGACAGCAGTCGGTTTCCCACCCCTTCCACACAGATTCACATACGAGATCTCCTTCGTATCTCCCTCCTCCCACCCTCAATCCCATCCCAAGCAGATGCAATCTCTCTCTCTCTCTCTCTCTCTCTCTCTCTCTCTCTCTCTCTCTCTCTCTCTCTCTCTCTCTCTCTCTCTCTCTCTCTCTCTCTCTCTCTCTCTCACACACACACACACACACACACACTCCGGTGAAATGTAGACACGTGCATACAAAGATTCAATATAATCACCCAAAAGTTCTGATAGTGTACGAGACTTGACGCTAAGAGCTAGCTTCTGTTTGGTGAGCCATGTGTTGGTGTAGATTTTCAGTCTTTGCTTGCTGAGCAGGACATCAAAAACCCTTAGTGATTGTCTAAGTAGCTCACACTATTAAAGCTCTCACTACAGTTGGCTTGGGACTCTGAACTTTTCCCTAAAGTATCTCAGGAAATGATGCTCTTGCTGGATGACACTTGGATCACATGGAGCTGGTGTCTAACAGCGATCCCTGGGCAAGAAGCAGGGGACACCCGTGGGCCACACCGACTATGCACACACAATCATTTCCAGGCAAGATTTGGAGACAAAAATGAACCTGACATGCAGATCTTTTGTCTGTGGGAGACCACTGGAGAAACCAGACATACCAATGCAATGCATGGGGAGAACATGCTAGATCCAGAGCCAGGATTTGTACCTGCAATCTTGTTGCTGCGAGGCAAACGTGCTGCTACCACGCGGCCCTGATTAAGAACCTTCGTTAGCAAACTAGACAGTCTCTGCAAACCACAACAAGCCAGAATAATTATCAGTAAAATAAAAAAGAGAATAATTTCAATTTTAGGGGCTTGTTATGTCACAATTAGATGATTTTCAAACCAGTTCTGCTTTGGAAAAGCACACAGAAAACTTGTCATGTGCTAAAAAATTTTAGCTCATTTAAAAACTTTCAGCATGTCGGAACTATTTAGAACGATGACGAAGAAGGAACAGAAAACAAAAGGGTTGTTTTTCACAATGTTGTCTCTTGAAACTAGTTTTTCATTCAGTTACCATCAAGGAAACCACGTAAGCCACAGAGTTTTTTTTTCTCCTGTACGTCACTTCTGCAGATGAGGCAACTTCAGTTTTCTAACAGAGACACGTTTTATCAGATGTTTCAGTGAGAAACATGAAAAAGGACACATCAGTCCCTTCAGAGTTCACGAAACAGCCTAAACACAGAAAGAGCTCTCTGCACTAAGACGGTAAGGCTACTTCAGCTTTTCTATTTTTAAAGGGGCCGTTTAACGGAGACCGAAGAATAGCAAGTGTCCGTTATAGTAAGAGACGAATGAGTCTGCGGAGAGAAGTCATTTCTTTGCTCAACATCCTTGATAGGGACCGTAAAGTGATGAGTGTGTTAAGGACTGATAAGAAATGTGACTGTTAAGAAAACAAGATATGGTTGCTAGTAAAAGATAAAAAGGTAGTTCAAGATAAACTTGAGAGGGATTTGTTTCCCCCTTAGGGTTTTCCACATGTCTCATAGTTAAAAAAACAAAACAAAAACAAAGACAGTGACATGTTTTAGGAGACTGAGTAGATTTGGGAAAATCTGGAAATCTTGGAAAAGCCATTGTTTAAATTTAAAATAAAGAATTTCTTCTCCACAAATATTCACTGGTCATTAAAATACTGACTATTTAAAGTAACACAGTTTTATTTTAAAAAGGAAATAGCAAGATTTGTGTAGTTCTACGATATGATAGATGTGGTAAATGGAGGAAGCTAGCAGGAAGTGTGACAAGTGGAAAACTAAAAGACAACAAGGGGAAGGTGTCTGACAAGGTCAACCAGAAACAGATCTTTACGCATATCAAAAGGATATTTTTACTACTAAAAGTTAGATTCATAGATTTTTTTATTAGTATAAATATAAACAAATAACATATTGGGTTGAATCCTAAATCATGAATATATGTTCCACATGATGAGGCACTTGATGAAAACAAGCCCACACTTTTGTTCCACTAACTCATCACCAATGCTTCTGCTGCTAACTCCCCCAGGCTGCTGCTGCGCCTTCTGGTTCCTCCCACCTCCATCTCATTCTGCTAGGAAATGAAGCCACGTGAACTTTATCATCAAACTACAACCTTAGATTTGTGTCAGACAGGTTTTTCCTAAAGATTTTTGGACTTGACATGTAAATAATTTGCTGTGAAATACGTGAACTTGAGTGCTACTTTAATTCTCATGGTTGGCATGAGTTACAACTAGCTAGACATTATGATCATGGATAATCTAGAGCCATGATATCCTGTTAATGGGTGCTATCATGTCGAAGTTTTGACACAAAAATAGTGAGGCTGAAAGTCCCGCCCACCACACGTGGTGTTTTTTACTAAGGGATTAAAGAGGATGTAAAACTCACTTTTGCATCCTTTTGTGCTGTCATGTGAGTCTCTACTGTCTCTATAAACACTTCTAACTTGAATAGAAAATTTTTATCAGTTTTTTTGTCAGTATTATGTGCCTGAAACAAGCCGTTTCAAAAAGTCCCTCGTTGTGATGTCACAATAAAGGAAATTAGTTTGGAACCACCGTCATCTGTTAATGCTGGAGGAGCAGTGGCTCTATTCCAAGTCATTTCCAGATATTTGAGCTCCTCACCTTGAAGCAGCCAATAAGTAGAGGAGATCAATTTCCCTCTGGGATTAATAAAGTATTTTTGAACTGAATCGAATTGTGAGGGCGTGGCCAGCAAGAACTAGTGGTGTGTTCTATTTACCTCAGACGTTGGATCTTGGAACTGGGAATGATCACACCATGGTTACCATAGTTGGAGAAGCTGGGATTCTAACAAGGCCACGCCCTCGTAAATGGCTGTTTTGTTAGCTCTCATTGTACACAAACGACACACGCAAACACTTTTAGTTTGTTCAGCTAAGAGTTGCAAGCGCTACACGCAACATTGATTTTAAATGCACTCTTATAAGTGCGTCTTGTAAAATATACACATTTGAACCAAAACTTACTGTTGTTGATGGTCGAGCTGCCACTTTGGATGTCGGTGTTGTGAAATTCTTCAGCGTTTCCGACCGGGAGGTCCGACTTTTGGGGGCGTTTCATTGGATCTTTCCTACTTAGAAGTCAGGACTTCCAAGTTCCGAGGGCAAATCAAATGCTCCACAGTTTCCCTCAAAGTGACAAACGGTTCATTCTGGAATGTACTGAAAATATCAAAGATAAAGCAGCTGAAATAACTCTGTGAGAGGAATTTTGTGCAAAAGGCATCATGAACATGCTTTGTGTCGATCACAGAACTAAAGTTATAACATGGCCCTTTTAAATAACTAATTACAGCTAAGAGTATGAGAAAAACAAGACAATATACAAGAATACAGGAAACCTACACAAATCAGCTGATGTTGACGAAATGTTTGTGAGTTGAATTATTTTTATAAATAACACTGTGTCTGAATCCTATACTGAAACCAGCCACCAGGGGGACTTTTGACCTGTTCTGACTTTACTACGTGATATGAAGTTTCAGTGGCAGCTCCAGAATTTTTTTTCTGCAGGTGCTATGAGGGAGCTAGTCTTTTTATTGAGGGTGCTATGAAGGAAGTGGTCATGTATACCTATTGTTCTCTAAAACACCTTCAACACTAGCAGATACACATGCGTGCACAAAACCTCAACAACACCTGAAGCAATCATTGATATACAACATAAACATGTGAACAATCGCCAACTTTTCCATGAAATCATGAACACATACAGTCACACAGAAAACCATCTACAGTGTTGCAAGGTTAGCTAACGTTGGTGTTAGCATTTCCAGCGGCAAAACCCTCGACTGCTGCGGCGGTTGAGGGTTGACTCTCTTCATCCAGATCCGTAGGTTTTTGTGGGTCTGAGATCACTTCCAAAGGTGAATTCGTTTCTGACAGAATCCGTGGAAATTTGGGCAACAAACACCGATCCATTTTACCACTAGCTCTACCTTTCACTCGTTTACAGGTGGAAAATGAGGTCAAAGGTTAACATCAATTTCCTGTTTTGGTTAAAGTTTTTACTATCTATATGATAAGTTACTGATTATTTTTGTTTTGTGTGTAAAATATTATCACATCCACACGTTAAATTAAAATTAAATTGTAAAAAGAAAAAAATCTAATATTTACTTGGGGGTGCAATGTCCAGGGGTAGCTATAGCGCCCCCCTGGCACCGCCACTGGCGCCGCCACTGGCAAGTTTATGTCTAATATTTGTTTATATTGATAACTCAAACTTAATTATCAGACAAAATCAGCCATTGCTTTAATACAAGACTGCACACACACACACACACACACACACACACACACACACACACACACACACACACACACACACACACACACACACACACACACACACACACACACACACACACATTGAAACCTCGATCTGAATCAAGCAAGTTAAGGACAGTTAGCGAGTCACAGAGAGCCTCTAGAAAACAGTTTTTTTAACACAGACTGCCACAGAAACCACAATGTGGATCACCTTGGAGAGAATCACAGATTTAAGTAGTCAGATGAAACATCAGTGTAAGATACCAGTAAAGACTAGAGAGAAAAAAAATAATCAAGCAATCAAATCTTGTTTTCTGTGAAAGAAAAAGGGGCTAGGAAGTGGTTTAGTTTGTCTCTGTGAAACAGAAAAAAAAGAAAAGTGAGTTAAAAGAAAAGTGTTTTCATTTTTCGGCCAGACTAGATCAGGGGAAGTCCAAATGTCAGAGGAAGATAAACATGCAGAGCTCAAATGTTCCCTTATCAAAGGCAATTTACAGAAGTGCACAGTTCCCTAAGTTAGAAGGAGATTTTGAATCTCACTGTGCAGAACTAGGGGATTTGTGAGGTCTGCGGAGGACAGTCATTCAAATTTCCAGAGTTCACTGACATTAAACAGCGTTATCAGTCATATGACAGCTGATTAAAGAGCCACATGCTTTAGACAAAATAATCCGTTGAGTTACTTCATACCTGCTTTTTCGATTCAACATAGAAATAAAACAAGACGGAGTAGAAGATTTAGCTTCCTCAGTAGGTTATTTTTTTTACAAATTCCTTAAGTATTATTTTCTTATTGTGCCTTTAATAATAATAATAATGCATTGAACTTATATAGCGCTTTTCTAGACACCCAAAGACACTTTCCACACACTCTCACATTCACACACTGCTAGTGATGATAAGCTACTTGTAGCCACAGCCGCCCTGGGGAGGTCTGACAGAGGCGAGGCTGCCATTTGGCGCCGTCGGCCCCTCTGACCACCACTAACACAGGCAAGTTGGGTGAAGTGTCTTGCCCAAGGACACAACAGCAGGATACCCCTGGCGGGAGCTGGAGTCAAACCCATGACCCATGATCATGAGGCAACCCGCTCTACCACCTGAGCTACTGCTGCCCCTTTGATCAGTTCCAACTAAAAACAGTTTCTAAATCCAATTATTTTAGCTGCCTTTTGAGACATGAAAAATCTACAAATGGGTCTTTTTGACAATTTTTATTGAACAAATTATTGAATGAATGACCCGCACTTGTATAGTAAAAGCTAAAGTCCCATTAGTCATCATCACTCTGGTAAAAAATAAAGCTCTGCATTTGACCCATCCACACGGGGAGCAGCAATGGCCACGCTCGGGAACTACTTGGTGGTTACTTTGTGGTAAATATGTATTACTTTTTCATTAAAAAACAAAAGGCCTTTTCATCCAACACATTCACCTCAAATCTGAGAATCATGTTGCTGAAAGTCCATTCTATTTTCGTAAATAAAGAGTCTGGACACGGGCTGTCGAACCCACCCAGTCTTGGGGTGAATCTACTGGCACATTTATGGGCCATTCCCATCTGTACCGGGTCGGCCCGGGCCGGGTAGCCCCAGTCGGCCCCAGCCTGGCCCGGTTGATTCCACACATCCTTGCCTTAAGCCCATGTGGGCTGATTCTACCCACCAATCAGAGGCTTGCTCTAATGGAAGGTGTGAATGGGCTGATTCTACCCACCAATCAGAGGCTTGCTCTAATGGAAGGTGTGAATGGGCTGATTCTACCCACCAATCAGAGGCTTGCTCTAATGGAAGGTGTGAATGGGCTGATTCTACCCACCAATCAGAGGCTTGCTCTAATGGAAGGTGTGAATTTGCTGTCAGCAGTGGGCGTGTTGGCCCTGGTCGGCCTGAAGCAGTACCCCTCGGGAAGAGGGCCGAGAATGAGCCTTGGTTGGCCCGGGAAAATTCCAGGCCACCCAGATATGTAAACAACCTACGCTACCCGGCCCGGGCCGACCCGGTACAGGTGGGAATGGGGCTTTACATCTGGGTCGGCCCAGTCCAGTCTTGGTAGCGTCCGGCCGGTCACACACAACCAGGTTTTGTTCACACAACCTTCTTGGGAACACGGAAATCTCCGAGCACACACGGAGAAGACCATAGTGTCTTCCTTAATTAGTAAACAAAGACGACTGTGCAGTATTGCTTTTGGAGGCTCTGACGCTGATATTGCATCCTGCTCTGTCTCTCAGTGAGAGCGCTGTGTGCGCTCTTTCCAGCAGTCTGTCCTTGCACTGGAGCTGCAGCTCCCAGCAGCAATCTGAGGAGATGTTTACTCCCCAGTCTCCTGACTGCTGCTGTGGGAAGCCCCTGCTGGCTGATTTTACCCGCCAATCGGAGGCTCCCCTTGAAGGTAGGCATGGATTTCAGCCGGCCAATCAGTTGGCAGTGGGTGTGTTAGGTCAGTTCAGGCCAAAGTGGACTGCCGGGAAAGAAGGTCTGAAAAAATGGTCGGTTGAGCTCAGAAAACGCACAGATGTGAACAAAAAATACCCTACTGAGGTCAGGCTGTGCTGACCCATACGTGAAAGCACCACACGGTCTCTTCACGCCTTTGGACACATTTGCACAGCGCTAAGACCAATCAGAGCAACTAACAATGTGACCTATTCATCGCTATGGATGTCGGTCATCGGGGCGTACACCATCAAAGGAGAATCAAGTGAATTATTTTTCTATAATGACCTAAGTGTGGTTATCTTCTCATGTGTCAAAAAAATCTCTATAGTCTAAATTATTCAAGGTTGATGCTAAAGCCGCTTCAAAAGAGCGCCAGTCCTGAGCCAACTCAATCTTTGTTGTTTTTCTCTGTTGTAGCTCTAGGGTTAAGCCCACCTAACAAGCACAGAGGGCTGTGATTGGCCAGACAGAAAACTGGCAAGGCCAGTGGTGTAACTGCTGAGGCTACAATGGAGCGTGGCTATATCGACCTGCAGTGCAACATCTTTTTGCTTTTGATATTGTTGGGCTAGATTTCTAGGCTAAGAAACAAACATTTCAGGAAAAAAAAAAGAAACGCATTTCAAAGTTTTTTTCTCTCTAATTAAACTGTTTATTGCTGTTTCAGCAACAACAAAAAATGCAACCAACTATTGGATATATATTTAAAGGTGAGCCTCAATGACATGCAGATAAATTCAAATTTATGTCTTGATTAAAGAAATGTGAACAAAAATGTGATTTATTAAGGAGGGGTGGTATAAATATGTTATCTACAGATCTGCTTTGTAAAAAAGGTTTTATAAAAGAAGAACTAATTTCACTCATTTACAATCAACTCTACTTCTCCTTGTTTCTCCTAACGTGCGATTAGACACCTCCTCATCCTTTTTTGTGTTTCCTTCTACGTAGATAACGACTAACGCTATTTCTAATCTGACTATAAGTGTTTATCGAGTGCGCGGTAAGTGTCAACGGCAGGATGTGCACCTGTCAAAATGTTTGGAACATTTGATGATTTTCAGAGAAAACATTCTGACCTTTATTAGACATAAAAAAAACACATCAGAAAACAGGTGACCCAAAAAAGCGAGGATGCGGACTTCCCCTCAGCGTGGAAATGAGACAAAATATAATCAGCGCTGGGTAAAATAAGGTGGTTTATCTGTTAGCAATCTGAGTTTAGAAAGCTTTTGCTGTCAGACCCATCTTTCTTTGCAGTTTTAAACAGTTTTTTCACTTTCTTTGTATCTCTCTAGTTGTACATAATTAAAAGCGTCATTTTAGAGTGAAAAATGATGAATCCACATCAATTTTTAATATTTCATGCAGCGATTGTTTAGCTACATTCACTATGCCATTTAAGTGGTCGTTTCGCCTGCAGCACAACTTTTCTGCTCCGAGTGTTGAAATGTGCAAAATAACATAAAAATGTGCTGCAGTTCAAATCAAATTGCACTTTTGAAACAAAATAATAATAATTATAGTGACAAAAACTGTTGCAGAAGCAGCACTTAACCCATATTCTGACCACATTGTGGGCTTCTTGTTTTTTCCTGTTCCACCTGCATGCAGAAGCATGTTCTCAATAGGAGCTAATGCTGCCGTTTATGTTTTAGGAGACGGGTGACAGCAGACGAACTTCTCTCTTGCATCATTGTAATAATCAGTTACCGGTTAATTTAGCTAAACGTATTTAGACAAAGGGGACTTTTTTTAAGCGCATCTGAGAAGAGATCTTAAAAAAGAGGTGACATTTCTTGAGTCTGAGTCTAAATATGACGTCTGTTATAAACGCAAGGACAGTGGTTAATGGTGTGAGATTTTCAGTGATATTTTTGTTTCTTCACAGGATATAAGACGAGCATTGCCTCTGCAGCTTTGACCAGACTCTGGGCAGCTTCCCGAACAGGTAAAGCAGTTTTGTGTTTGTTTCTGGTTCAGTCATTTACGGACATGTTGACATGGGTTTGTGCAAAAAAGCAAAATGAAGGAGTAGCTTACTTTAACTCAGCTCTGTGATAACTAATTATCAGTGAAACAGTGCATTAAAATGCGTTGAGGCTTTTTCTGGTGAACTACACCTCAGTTAGAAATGTGTCCACCCACGTCTAATAAAACGCGTGGGTCTGGTTAGTTTCACATTTATTAAACAAGTCGGTTCTGCTGTTGAAAGAGCACAAACGTCTTAATCATGGACGTAATTTTCACTTTAGAAGTGGAGGGGACGGGGGGGGGGGGTATCTTTACAGTATGTTATAATGGGAAACAGGCTTCAACACAAATGGTTGATTTCTGCTTGGTCCTAGAGCTCAACCAGTGTCAATTTAATATAGCGTAATATTGTTTTTGGATGGTAAAATGTGCAGGGGTCAAAACTTGACTTTGGAAAAAGTGGGGGGGACATGTCCCCCCTGTCCCCCCCCCCAAAATTACGTCCATGGTCTTAATTAAGTCAGTTTTCACAAAGTGATTAGCATGAACCAAATACAAATAGCATTTTTTTCTTCACGAAACAACTCGTTACAGCTATAAAACAAATAAATAAATAATCAACACTGGTGGATCTCTGACCTTAAATTAGGTTTATGCCAGAATGCTTTTATTGTTTTTGGCTTCAAGGTGGTTGGAAAACTTCTCAAGAGAAAAACCTCCACTCCTGAAACTTCTAACATGCCTCTACTGCATCTCACTTCTCCTTTCTGTTCCAATGGACTTGCTGTTTCATACTAGGGGTCTCTGATTGTGCTGCAGCTTGCAGACAGTTTCTCAAACTGTGAATTCAAATGCAAAACGGACAGAATAAGCTAAAGTAAGTCCAACTGATTTGTTTTAGAGGTGTCAAAGTCATACAACCTGTGATGCAGTGATTTAAAAATCTTAAATGGAGAGTTCAGATCTTTGTTGGTGAGAATTTGGTGTTAAACAGGAGGACCTAATTTGACTCCTAAGTGAGAATTTCAATTGGTGACTGATTTCTGCTGCGGGTAGAAATCCCAGCAAGTCGGCAGAACATGGATCTTTAAGTTGATGCGAGTTAAAAATGTTCTTCTGATCATTTTTTGGGGTTTAATTTAATTTAAGTCCAAGAAAAAGCAACTTTTGCCATTCAGTAATTCTAATTATTAAACAATAAACATCAGATTGCAAAAGACAAAATTTCAGTTTTAATATATTTTTTTAAATGCATTTTTTGATTGTTTTCTTTAGGTGAATAAATAAAATTTGACTTATTCTTCGTAAACTGATCCCAGAGCAGTTTTATTGCACTTTTATGTCATACTTCGTCGTGTGATATTTCCCATTTCTGTGATTCAACTGTAGCTTAGTTGGTGTCATTTTCAGAATGTGTGTGTAAAACCACAGCAAACAGCTGAGGCAGGGTCTACAAGATCTCACTCTCCACTTCTGAAAGCTCGTCGGACATTTCCGAGTTTGTTTGAGAAAAAATTCAGCCGACAATTTTATTCTCTCTCTCTCTCTCTCTCTCTCTCTCTCTCTCTCTCTCTCTCTCGTCTCTCTCTCTCTCTCTCTCTCTCTCTCTCTCTCTCTCTCTCTCTCTCTCTCTCTCTCTCTCTCTCTCTCTCTCTCTCTCTCTCTCTCTCTCTCTCTCTCTCTCTCTCTCTCTCTCTCTCTCTCTCTCTCTCTTCTCTCTCTCTCTCTCTCTCTCTCTCTCTCTCTCTCTCTCTCTCTCTCTCTCTCTCTCTCTCTAGGATGAGGAGAAGAAGGAAGAAGCAGTGAATTGAAGAGGAAATATAATCCATCGGACTTGCACAATCACAGAGGTTTAAATTTCACCCAAAGATGGAGCAAAAGAAGAAATCACATTTTCTGTTGCTTTTATTCAATCTGCTTCACATGTGCAAAAGTGAAGTTTGTCCCAAACAAAACGCGAGTAAGTGTTTGCGCTGTAAGGTTAAATTTAAAAATATTTTTGTAATTTGACCTGATCTTGACTATTTCCCGCAGATCTCATTTGCTACAATGACTACAGTCATAACATCACTTGTGTTTGGAAAAGCTCATCCGGGTCTGATCTTCCTGGTGAAAAGTGCACATTACACGGGCAGAGGACCAAAGGAAATTTGTAAGAAACTTAACATGATGATCAAGCATAATTTACAATTAAAACACTCAAATAGCATCACAAGTGGAAAAGTAAAATTAACACAAATATTACAGTTACACTGATTCCTGCACTCTGCAGCCGTTTGACGCCTCCAGACCAGGTCTTAAAACATGCTCTCTGATCCTCGGCCCAATTTTCACCGTAAGTATAACCAAACTGTTTGTTTATATCAGATCTGTGTAAATTAATGCACATTTGTAGTTTAATTCTACCATTATTTTTAGATATTTTGATTAAACGTTTAAAGAGTTACCATCCGGCTCTTGGAGAGTACAGATGGTTTTTTTCCTCCTCCCCTCCCTATCTTATCCCAGGGCTCTTTGTCTGTCTCTGGGTGTACGGCGCTTCTGCATTTTTTCTGGAAACTGGAAATTATTAAAATGGACCTGGTCAGCTGGTCACTCAATGTGATTGACTACATTTTTTCAACGATGAGAACGGGAGAAGCGGCTCCCTGGTGCCCCTCTGGGACAGAGCCAGCTGGGCATATCATGGACTCCTGGAAACAGTGGAACCTGATTTGCCTATCTCAGATGTCTGTAGAGGATTCTGAAGACGTCTGGATATTCGTGGTGTTGGTGTCAGGTTTCCTGCTCTTTGGCCTAGGAGGCTTCCTGGCTTACCAGAAAATTAATGAGCTGTCGAGGAATACCGGCGCTCTCCCCGAGCTCAGAGATGGATTACTACACCGCGCTGTGAATTCACAGACTCATATAATTGTCGAGATGAGGCGTAAGCTTGGAACTTTGGCTGAGATTCATGCGCTGGCACAAAAGATGGATGCCATCAAGGAGCGAGTGGACGGATCAGCACGGATTGGGATAGATTAATTTACGCCAGTATTGGGATTTTGAGAGGTTGAGGACCAACGGAACTCTAAGACAGAGAGGAAATTATCTCTGTCTGGCCCCAAAACAATTTCTAATCTAAATCTTGTGCCCTTGAGCTGTGAGGCTGCAACGAATACTCCCCCTCAGAAGAAATGTGCAATGCTGCTGTCACTATGGCAACTCTGTCTCCCTATCCCAGCCTGGGCAGGACTGCGGGCTGTGAAGGCCGCTGAATCGTTCCAGGAGTCACTGTGCCCTGTAAACCCCAACAACCTCCCTCCCCTGTCCAGACTGAGGTGACGTGTGCTGCTTATTATGGCTGCAGCCACTGACTTGTGGAGAGTCCCAAACCCACCACCCCACCTAGTGGACACTTATGCTGTGTTATGTCTGAAGTCTGTTGCATTTCTGTGAGAGGTGTTTTTTGCATAGCAAAGCGGCCCTCCCTGTGGAGGGTAACTCTGAAGTGCCTTTTTTCCTCCACCTGAACCAATCCTCATATATAAACCCTCTGATCTCTATTAAGGTAGCGCGACTCGGGTTGCGAATGACCACAGTCACCAATTCTTGTCATGTGCCTTTGCCTATGTATGTCTGATCTCTGAATTGTGTGTACTGAAACTCTAATTTCCCTCTGGGATTAATAAAGTATCTTTGAAATGAATTGAATTTGAAACATTTTCCAATGAGTGCCTGAACTGATAAATCTGGAGACTTTCTTATTCAGTGTTTTATCTTTTTTCTGGTTGTAGTTTGCAATATATGATCGGATCCTCGTCACTGTGAGCTGCCTCGCTTCAAACCACAGCGAAACCATTCTCTACAAACCAGCTTGTTACAGTGAGTAGCCTATAAAAATAATAACTACCCTGCTAGTGAATTATCTGATAAAATACTTAATAAACTTTGTGCGATTTTACAGTTAAATTGAGTCCTCCAGAGAAGCCTGACGTTAACATCAACACTGTCTCCTGGGTCCCCCAAGTTGAAGAACATGATATGATTTCAATGTATGCCTCACAGCTGGAGTGGAAACATCAGGATCAGTCATGGAGTGTATGCAAATGTTCCTGATAAAACACAGTAAAATGTTTTTTACCGCTGACCTATGTTAGAAGGATTTCAACACATAACTTGATGAGAACATCCACCTAGTAACCATCCACTTATTGTTATTCCTTGTTAGGATCCCTCTGTTCAGGAACAGAAAAAGAGCAGTATCCATACATGGAACTTTAAGGAAAACCTGGATCCTGATTTACTGGTTCAGGGTGAAACGTACGAGGCCCGTGTTCGTGTGATGGTGGAGGAGAAGGGCTTAGAAGGAACGTGGAGTGACTGGAGTCCCACTGAGTCGTGGGTGTCACAAGTTGGGAAAATCAGACAACCATCAGGTAAAAATGCGAAAATAAACCCAGCAGGTTTACGTAAACCAATCCAGTGGGTGGTTAACAAGTTTGCACGTTTTTAAAATCAGGAGTCTGTTGAGAAGTAGATGAAAACTTTAAAATAGAAAGAAAATAGAAACAGAACGAGCTACTGTTGCTGGGCAGACATCCTGTATGGCCATGACCCATAGACAGAGCTCACTCATGGAGCAGAATCTACGGTTGTCTTTAAAACTGTTTCCGCATGCATCTGGACAGCACTAATATCAGAGCAATGAAGGACGTAAAGTATTCATCGCTACGAAAATTGGTCGGTGGGGCTGTCCGCCATACACCGTTGAAGTCCTACAGGACTTAGGTGCCTGTAAATTCTCATGTCTGAATAGTAAGAAGTTGATGCAAAAGTAAGTAAGTAAGTAAAAGTTTATTTATAGATCGCCTTTCACAGATATAAATCACAAAGCGCTGTACAACATGATAAAGATCACGGCAAATACCTCTAACCAATAAAAACATCAGAAAAACAAAAGCAGTGATAAAATAGAAAATAAAATCATGAGTATAAACAAAGTGAAGGTGTGAACAAGAACAAAGCCATCTTTTTGAAACATTTAGGGAGGGAATGCCTGGATGAAAAGGCGAGTTTTTAGATGATTTTTAAAGACCTCTACAGTGTTAGAGTGACGGAGATTTGAAGGTAGACTGTTCCAAAGTCTGGGGGCAATAGACTGAAAGGCCCTGTCCCCTTTGGTTTTCAGTCTGGTTCGAGGAACAGCAAGGAGGTTTTCAGATGTGGATCTAAGGTTCCGAGAGGTGGTGTGTGGGGATGAAAGCTCAGATAGGTAGCTTGGAGCCTGGTTGTTAAGAGCTCTATAGGTCAGGACTAAAACTTTAAACTGAATTCTATATTCTACCGGGAGCCAGTGGAGGGACTGTTACTGATCTGGGTCAGGCAGAGTACAAGTGTGGCCAGCCATTCCAACTGGTGTGGCATAAAGCCACACCAGTTGGAATGGCAAAAGCCATTTCAAAGGAGCATCGTTCCTGAGCCGAAGCCATCTTTGTAGTTTTTCATCCGTCTAGCTCCACCCAGTGTCTCTATAAGCTTAGAAAGCCGTGATTCGCCCGGCCCAAACTTAGCAGAACCAATGGTAGACCTGCTGAGGCTACAATGGAGATTGGCTAGAGCAAATTCTTTGTGTGTCTAGATTTCCTGGTTAAATGCTGAGAAAAATGAGTGAGGCATTATGGAAAAGGAGTCTTGCTCAGAGTTCATGTGACTTTGTCTTCAGCAGGGATATCTGTGAACATTTTGAACGTGTCTGTTTTTGGCTTGGCAATGTTTGGTTTGATGCTGCTTGTTGCCACCATTGGGACAAAGAAAACGACTTGGTAAGAACAAAAAAATAAACAAACAGTTTTTTAAATGCTTGTCTGACAAAAATAATAACTGATATGTGTTTGCTTTCTTCAGGGTTTACATGGTAAGGAAGATGACAAATCCACCCATACCGAACCCTGCAAAATCTGCACATTTTCAGGTATGTTTGTGGATTTTTATTGAATTCCATTCCATTTATTTGATAGAGCACATTTAAAAACAGCATGTGAGCTGACCAAAGCACAAAGAACCAAACAAGAGAAGTCAGTAAAATAGGTAAAAGAATAGTGTAAATAAACCTAGATAAAATAGCTAAGCAGTAAAAGCAAGGGAACAAAAGTAAGTCTTTAAGCGAGACTTAAATCCCTAATAGAGGGGCAGAGTCTGATATCCAACGGGAGATCATTCCAGAGTTTAGGAGTGCAGACAGAGAAAGCTCGTTCACCACGGGTTTTGCAGCGTAGACAGGGAATCTGTAGTAGGTGTAGGTCACCTGAACGGAGAGTCCTGCCCGGCATATAAGGAGTGAGTAACTCGGACACGTAAGGTGGTGCTAAGCCATTCAAGGCCTTAAAAACAAGCAATAAAATTTGAAAATGTATGCGACAGTGCACAGGAAGCCAGTGAAGTCTTGCTAAAATTGGAGTGATGTAATGCCGACAGCCGGTATTACTCAGAAATCTTGCTGTTGCATTCTGTATCAGCTGAAGGCGGGATAATGCAGCTTTTGAAATACCAAAAAGAATTGCATTGGAGTAATCTAACCTTGAGGTGATGAAAGGGTGATTGTCTCGAGGTGGTGCCAATTCAGATGGGTTTTAGTTTGGAAAGACGTATCAGCTGATAAAAACATGATTTAACCATGTGATTAACATGAGGGTCCATTTTTAGAGCCGCATCCCTTTTAATTCCAAGATTAACAATTGTTTGACTAATTTTATAAGGAAGAGCAGAAAAATCAGGAGCGGAGGAAGACAAGCCATTAGGAGTAAAAACAATCAACTCGGTCTTAAAATCATTCAGCAGCAGAAAATTTGTTGCCAGCCAGTCTTTAACCTCACTCAGGCAATCAAGGAGCGGCTGGATGGAGGTAAAAGCCTTCAAGGGAACATAAATCTGACGGTCGTCCACATAAAGATGAAAGTTGATGTCGAACTTCCTAAAGATCAGTCCCAGTGGAAGAATATGAATACAAAATAAAAGGGGGCTGAGAATAGACCCCTGTGGCATGCCCAAGGGAAGAGCAGCAGAGGGAGATGAACAATCGTCCATCCTAACTCTTGTAGACCTGTTGTAGAAATAGGAGCGGAACCAGTCAAGCGCAGATCCCTTAATGCCGACCAAATTCTCAAGGCAGGATAATAAAATGTCATGGTCAACTGTGTCAAATGCAGCTGAGAGGTCCAACATCACCAAGGCAACATGTGAACTGGAATCAGTGGCTAAAATATTATCATTAAAACCCCTGATGTGAGCGGATTCTGTGCTGTGATGTTGTCTAAAACCAGACTGAAATTTATTCAAGACCCCAAAATTGTTCAGATGTGGCATAATTTGATTATAAACAGCCTTTTCCAACACTTTTGACAAGAAGGGGAGCTTTGAAATTGGGCGAAAGTTCCCGAGGACAGTTGGGTCTAGGCCAATAGTGGTTGAAGCACGGCATGTTTGAAAAAGGAGGATATAATTCCCGAAACAAGGCTGGAATGTTTCTGCACCAGCTGGTCAAACACATGACATTATAAATCATTCTGGTAGATGGATATACCAGCAAAAACCAATCAGGGTAAACTGATATTTTTGAACATGGAGGTAGATAGCATCAACATGACAGATGGACAGGAGGAGGCAAGTCCAAGTGAAGAGAAGAAGAATGGAGGGGATGGGATGAAGGTAGATCATTTAAAGTTGGTTGGGAGGAGTGGGGGCAGAATTTTATTTTAGCTTTCGGACTTTGTTCTAGCATCAAGGTCTCATCAAATCTGCAAAAGCAAATCTACAGAACTAGGTAACTTTTAAAGGAAGAAACCCAAATTGTATTAATCATTTCAACCACATTAATTCTTATTGAACACAAATAAATCTAGATTACGTAACATAACACATCATAGATCAGAAAAGACACATAAACAAGAGGGATTGAAAATCTTTATAAAGGACACAGGTATTATACACTTGAACATCACCCAAACCCTAACCCTAATTTTGGGATCCAGTAATGACTAACCAGTCACTTCACATGTCTAATTCCTTCCTCTTCCTCTCTTTTACAGAACTGGTCAAGTCCAAACTTCACCAGTGAGTCCATTCACTCCTTCCTGAAACCAGTGGAGATCGTCTCTGTTGAAGTCACCTCCAGCGTGGATGCCGTCACGTTCTGTGAACCAGATATGAAAACGATGCCAGAAAGCATCAGCCGCGAGTCCTCTGGTTCCAGCTTCTCCAACCCAAGCTACTCTGAGCTTTGTTCTTCTTCCACCAAGTCCTCAGCCGCAGCTGGAGACCTGATGCCCTGCTCCATGGATGCTCCTTACAAGCCTGTTTGTGGCCAGGGAGAAGAGAAGAACCCAGAACAGGGTAGAGAGGGAGCTTCAGAGAAAGACATGGAGATCATGAAGTTAATTCTTAATGGCAGTAGTGACAGCAAGGCGGTGAAGATGATTTCAGAATACGAGAAGGTTAAGGACGTCCAGGTGGAGCGTTTCAGGCTACGCAGTGTTGATTCAGGCATGTGCAGCTGTGAGGAGGTCAGTCAGGAGAGCATGGAGGTAGATAGCATCAACATGACAGATGGACAGGAGGAGGCAAGTCCAAGTGAAGAGAAGAAGAAAGGAGGGGATGGGATGAAGGTAGATCACTTAAAGTTGGTTGGGAGGAGTGGGGGCATGTTGGGCAGAAACACCATTCAGGTTTGTCTGGATTACAAACCATTCCCAAAGCTGCAGGCTGGAAGTCCCGAGCTTCCAAGCCTGGATTCAGGAATTAGCTGCAGAGAGGAAGAGCGTGAGAGTCAGGATGATAAACCTGCTCACTTCCTGTCCCCTCCCCATCCTTCCACTCAATTTAATTTTCCGAGTCCACTTCTGCCCGCCCTTCCATGTATGTTTGAGAAGATTCCTCTGATGTCAGACAGCATGCCGCTGCTGCTCTGTGATGACGGCTACAAGCCGGTGAGACAGGAGCAGGCCTAGAAACAGACAGCAGGCCTCACATGAACATCTGAAGGATCCAGCAGACCTACACAATCAGATCTATGAACTTAGTCCTCAGGAATTGTTCAGTGTTTAACAACCAAAAGTGAAAGGTGGTTTTAATTATTTTATATATTTTATTTGACATTTTAATCATGTCTGCCTTTCATATTCTAAATTTTAATCAAGATCACTCATGAACATTTGGTGTCCAGTTAAGGGCAAGAAATTCACAATTTTTTTGCTTTTTTATTGCTTTTCCCCTAATTTATGATCAAACAATGGGTGCACAACTGATGCTGGTTGTACGCTGCTTTTTCATAGTCAGTAACTGTTTTTGTCAGCAAAGGCAGTTTTGGTTTTATGTCTTGCAACAGGACTGAAGTTTAAATCCCGCATATTGCAATTAAATATTTTTCCTCCTACCCAACCCGTTCGTGCCACTTCATAAAAAGTCCCATAGCATGTCATAATTACGAAAATGACTTTCAACTTCATGATTGTGAGACTCAAAGTCAAACTTGAATGCCACAATCTTTGTTATTTCTTTCTGGAAACAGCCTTCTGCAGTTTCATGTGTGCTTGGCAGCTATTATACATTTCACTGATTTGTCATACTTGCAGAATGACCAACAGAATCCACAAGATAAAAGGTATTTAAAGTATCCATCCATCCATCCATCCATCCATCCATCCAGTGTATGAATTTGCTACTAGTCAGGTCCTCATAAAGACAGCTGGAATGGGCAGGGTTTTACAATCAAAAATAAACAGCAAGAAAAAAAATTGGAAGGCATCTATGAAGACTAGTTGGACATACAGTATTTACTTATGAATTCAATGTTCAAAAGTTTTGAAACATTTAAAACTTATATATTGTGACTGCTCAAATCAACACACATCAAGAGTGTGATGAGAATCAGCTCCCCTAAATCTGAGACCATGGTCTTCAGTCAGAAATAAGTAGAATGCCTTCTCGAGTGAGGGCAATATCAATAGGGAGATTGGTGCTGCGTCTTCAGTGATGTGGGCTTTGTTCTGGTCTGTCGTGGTGAAGAGAGAACTCTGGATTTGCCGGTCGATCTACGTTCCTACCTTCACCTATGGTTACGAGCTTTGGGTAGTGACCGAAAGAATGAGATTGCGGATATAAGCAGCTGAAATGAGTTTTCTCCGCAGGGTGGCTGGGCTCTCCCGTAGAGACAGGGTGAGAAGCTCCGTCATCTGGGAGGGGCTCGGAGTAGTACCGCTGCTCCTCCACGTCGAGAGGAGCCAGTTGAGGTGGTTCAGACATCTAGTTGGGATGTCTCCTGGACGCCTCCCTGGTGAGGTTTTCTGGCCACGTCTAACCGGGCAGACACCTAAAGGGAGACTCAGCACACGCTGGAGGGACTATGTCTCATGGCTGACCTTAGCATTTTCCCGGAGGAGTTGGCCCAAGTGGCTGGGGAGAGTAAAGCCCGGGCCTCCCTGTTTAGGCTACTGACCCCGCAACCCAACCCTAGATAAGCAGCCAAAATTGAATAGATGGATGGATGGATGGATAGAAGGATGGATGGGTTCTGTTCATGGTCATTCTGAGCTTTGGAAACATGAGGACAGCTTTATTTAAACACATGTTTTTATCTTATTTTTTTTCTGTACATTAAAATTTTGTTATTTTACTGTTTTTCCATCATTTTTAATTGCTTTTAATATAAGACCTTCAGTCTATCTATCTATCTATCTATCTATCTATCTATCTATCTATCTATCTATCTATCTATCTATCTATCTATCTATCTATCTATCTATCTATCTATCTATCTATCATCTATCTATCTATCTATCTATCTATCTATCTATCTATCTATCTATCTATCTATCTATCTATCTATCTATCTATCTATCTATCTATCTATCTATCTATCTATCAATCTATCAATCTATCAATCTATCTATCTATCTATCTATCTATCTATCTATCTATCTATCTATCTATCTATCTATCTATCTATCTATCTATCTATCTATCTATCTATCTATCTATCTATCTATCTATCTATCTATCTATCTATCTATCTATCTATCTATCTATCTATCTATCTATCTATCTATCTATCTATCTATCTATCTATCTATCTATCTATCTATCTATCTATCTATCTATCTATCTATCTATCTATCTATGTTTTTTATGATTGGTGCTTGTTGTTCACATGCTACTTGACTGATAAGCACAAGGTTTGTCCGGTGCTCATTTCTCAATAAACTAAATATTAAATTGAATGTTTCTTTCTGCCTTTGGATGCATTTGTTTTTGGAGTCAGATGCTCCGGTTAGCTTAGCACACAAACCTAGCTTGAACGCTGACTTGATATCAGTCTGTAAACTTCAAGCTTATTGTGGAAGAGGAAGGAGGGAAATAATAAGGTATTTATCTTTAGTGTATTGGAGCTAAGTGATTAAGGTAGCGTTCATCCCCACACTACATCAGACTACTTTTTTAGCCTGTTGTAGCTTTAGCTCCCATCGCAATTGCTGATTCTTGCAAGTTTTGGACATTTCCCTGCTTGAACACGGCAGATTTGATTAAAACGAGGGATCAGCAGCTCCTGCAGAACCTGATGAAGCCTGATGAGATAATTCAGAAGGTAGAATCAGGTGTGTCTGAGCAGGAACATGTCAAAAACATGTGGACACAGCAGCCCTCCATTAGCACCACATTGTTATTCATGTGTGTTTGCGTGGAATGTAGCAAAGGTGTGACCAAGTCACTGCTTTGCAAGTCACAAGTAAGCCTTTCCAGTCAAGTTTCGAGTCGAGTCAAGTCCAAGTCAAAGACAACCAAGTCCAAGTCGAGTCCAAAGTCAACGATATGGAAGTCCAAGTCCTTAACTTTGGATTTTCAAGTCATAATCAAGTCATCTGTCCAACTTCAATTTAATGACAATGATAATAAATAAATTCCAGAAATAAAGCTTCTTAAAGCTTCATTTCTTTGCTTAAACAAGCAGAAAATGCAACTGAAACTGATTATAAACAAAGTGCTGCTGGATTTAGCAGTACAAGATCAAACCCAGAACGAAGAATGATTCATGATTTTTATCCATGTCGTGCCACTTTTGTGCTAAAATATCCAACATGCTCAAGTCATCATCAAGTCAACAGATGCAAGTCGATTCAAGTTGCAAGTAATTGGCATTCAAGTCGAAGTCAAGTCACAAGTCTTTATAGATTTTATCAAGTCAAATGAGAAGTCATTAAAATAATGACTCAAGTCTGACTCGAGTCCAAGTCATGTGACTCAAGTCCACACCTCTGGAATGTAGCGTGGCTTTCAGCTCCTTCCAGAAAGAGAGGTAGCTACAGCCCTTTCAGATTTGAAAATCTCCTCTCCTCGATGATCTTATGCCACGGTGAGCCGACCCATTTATGGAAATGTCTCATTAAATCAGTTGCTGTGCTGAACAGTACTATCTCAGCACCAGCTTTTTGTCATTAGTATGGGCAGAACTAAGCTTGGTTTTAAAAAATTGAGGTTGTTCACATGATCATTGACAAAACATAAGATATTTAGCATTTATGAAAATCACACAGAAACCAAATTCAAAAGATTAGAACTTTTACCTGCTTTTGTCCATCTGAGAGATTTGTCTCAGTTCACCTGTCTGTCGATCTGTCAGTTTCTTTTTCCTCATGCATTTACAACAGCTTTAGCTGCCCCAAATAGCTGTAAGAGAACAAAAACACGAGCATTAAAACAACTATCAACAAAAAGAGGTATAATATTAGAATTTCAACATAAAACTAAAAATGCAACAAATCTAGACTGCAGGGGTCTTCAACTAGATTTGTTCAAGGGCCAGAGTTTTTTCCCCCCAGATGTTCTTCTCAAATAAATTTCAATTATTAATGTGTCTTAAAGTATTAAAATTTGATATATAAATTTTTCATACAAATTTCAGTTTTTTTTTAGCATTTGTCTGTATTTGTGTCCATATTTCCTTTACTAACCAAGCTACTAGGGGGCAACCACAACATTTTAGGCTTCCTATTTGTGAAGCAATTCATTCTCCCTCCCTTTGACCAAAAAGTGCTAAATCCCTAGTTATTTTTTCCAAGAGAGCATTTTATGTAACTTTATTTTACGTATTCAGCTTGTGTCCTTCCTTAATTATAATTCCTTTTGTTGGCTCTGCCCATCAACATGGTAAATGTTGTTTCCTCATACATTTGATGCTCTCTTCCCGTAAGCGTTTTTTGTCAAGGTACCGCAATTGTGTGCTTTTATAGTGGAAAGTGCAAAAATGGAGAATCTAAGAACTGCTGCAGATTAATTAAATATGTTGAATGAGAGCTGAGTTTGGAGTAATTTCTGATTAAAGTCTGTTTTTCTGATTGTTTAATTTGATATAGAAAATGTAGAACATGCACCTTCTCTATTCCTGATTCAGTAATAACAGGTGGAAAGGTCTGGTGGGTCAAGTGTGGCCCGTCAGTTGACGTTTACTGCCATACTGGGTTGGCATGGTCATTCCTTCTAGTGCCAATCAGCAAGTGTGACACTTCATTCAGTACCAGCTGAAGTCATTGCTAGAAGGACTGGTCCAGATCAACGTGGAGGGAGAGGCAGTACTCCAGCCAACAGGAAACACACATGTTCAAAGACATCAGCAGGAAGATATTGCTTATTCTTAGCTAACCACCTTAAATGAATAAAATTGTATTGGGCTACTGCACTCACCTGCTATTAAGCTTTAAAGAACCATCAAAAGAGGATTCTGAGATTTCTTACAGAGAGGAAATCCTCCTCTGTAAAATAAGAGGACTATCAACATCATTTAAAAGATCCTGATTGTCAAAAGTACATTTTTATCATTATATATTTCAGATTTAAGAACTTGATGAACATGCTTAGCAACCTCAGAGCACTCTAATGGTGCTTTCACATCTGGATCAGCACGGGCCTGCCTTGGAATGGTTCATTTTGGGTAGCCTGTGCGTTTTCCATGCTTAACCAACCATTTGCTCCTCCCCGGTGGTCCGCTTTGGGCTGAACTCACCAAACACACCCACTGATGTCTAATTTGCTGGCTGAAACTCACACCTACCTTTAGCGGGAGCCTCTGATTGGCGGGCAGAATCATCCAGGGGTTTCCCGCCTGCGCGATTCCTTATCACTCTTGATGCTGGGAAGTAAACATGTCTGACTAGAGCTGCTGCTCCAGCAACAGTAGCACAAGGATAGACCGCTGTGAGGAACACACACAGCAGTCTCACTGGGAGAGAGAGAGAGCAGGAAGCAAAATCAGAGTCAGAGACTCCAAAAGTAACACTGCTCATGGCCGCCTTTGTTTAATAACTTTAGGAGGACACCTCAGACTTCTCTGTATGTCTTTTGCCTTGCCTACGTTTTCCACGTTCCCGATAAAAGCAGTGTGCACAAAACCTGGCCGTGCGCGACTGGGCCGATGTGTTGGTGGTGGTCAGAGGGGCCGACGGCGCCAAATGGCAGCCTTGCCTCTGTCAGACTGCCCCAAGGCGGCTGTGGCTACAAAGTAGCTTACCATCACTGGCAGTGTGTGAATGTGAGAGTGTGTGAAAGCGTCTTTGAGTGCCCTAAAAAGCGCTATATAAGTTCAGTACCTGTGTCAAGTTTGAGGGGCAAATAAATGTAAAGGTTATTGGAACCTAATGGCAACATATACTAAGAAAATAGTGCAGGACCCAAAATGGAGGCTTGAGGTACACCTCTGGACATGGGTGTTATTTTACAGGTAAAAGGGCCAAAGGTCGTTCTTTTTTTCTTTCTTTTTTCTTTCTTTCTTTCTTTCCGAATCCTGCAAGAACCCCCCCCCCCCCCACACACACACACACACAAAATATTTGTGGGTAATTGACTTGCAGCAGAATTGTTTGCTTCTTAATTCATTTTGACAAAAATTATCATTTTGACAAAAATTATCATTTTGACGGTTTTTATAAAATGTTCACTTGAAGCAGAGGATGTGTGTTTGCCCACGTGGGTGTCTGTTGATCAGTGTGAGCTGCACTAACCACACACCACAAATACAAGTTGCACATACATATAGTTTTCATCCTGTTTTTCAGATACTTGAAATGTCAGAGGCAAAAGGTCTTATGGCTCAGTATCAGCAGAAAACCATAAAACAAGGAGATCTACCAGCAGTCTTCCTGATCTGAGATCATAACGTCTAGGCTTACATGCTCACTGTTCTGCTGTCAGTGTGTTTAAAACCCGGGAAACACATAAGGAAAAAGAAGAAATACAGGAAAATGGATTTTAAAGGGTTAAAAACCACTTGCAGAAACATCCAGCTGACACAAGTGTTTTCACCACAGGGTTCTTTTTTCTGTTTAACCACAAGAAGATTCGTGGGCACAGACATCTGTTTTAATCTGCATCTCTGGAGAAAATGTTGAAAAAAATTCTCAGAGGTGTGATCTTAAAAAAAGAGGTGGATGGAAAGAAAGCCGGTGTTTTACCTCATACAACCAAGCTCAAGCGTCGGGACTCATTTCTGTCTGATCGGTCGACAGGAAACCTTCTTCTCTTGTTCACGTCGTCTTCAAGACGTCTGCTGGAACAATTTAAGCTTTTTGGAGAATAATATGAGAATATTGATGAACAGGTGAGTGTTACATTTCATCTTTGTTTATCTGGGAACTTTTTAAAAACAAAAATAAGTTTTATTTTAGGTGATTTAATAAAGAAGAGTAATTTTTCATTATGATGTTGTTACCAAGTACGTGAATATGTGTGTGTATGTGTGTGAAACGTGCAACTGAAAGGTTACCAAAGGCTTTTCAGGCAGACCACACGTCATTTCACGTCCAAACCTCGACAGAAACAACGTGACACTGGTGAACAAACGGATCATTCAGATACTCATCAAAGTGGTGGGGAATTATCTTGTGGCTTTTAAGTGCCTTTTAGCAGCGTTTATTTTCATTAAATAATTAACATTTAATACATTCTATATTAAATTCAAAATAAACATACTTCCTCCAAAAGTCTTCAGGTGCAAATGAACTGATGATCCTAATTCCACCAACATGCCGCTGTCAGCAGCTCTTGAGTGAATTTGGGACAACTACTGTATATTTACTATGGAGCAAACGTCTGATACACTGGAAAAAAGCTTGTTTCACGTTTGGCTCTCAGCTGGAACCAGAGTAACGAGGGATGAAAGAGGGCCTCGAACAGGTTTTTTTTTTCATCTGTGAATCACTGACCACATTTTGTATTATCCAGCCCGTCACATTTCTCTTCCTCTACACCTGTTTTGTGACATTTTTAAAACACATCTGTGGGCCATTTTACACCGACTGTTTCAGATATATCACAAACTAGATGCTTTTATTTAGAATCAAAGAGCTGTCGAAACCAGATTCTGGTCCTGAAACACTACTGGGCCTGAACTCGCGTCATTGTTGAGTCCAAAACCGTTCCCTTCATCTGACTTTCATGTTAAACAAATTCAGAAATATTATTTATGTGTGTTTGAATCATTTTTAAGAAACCACAAAATAACATTTATGAACAGAATCCTCCAGAATAAAACTGAAAAACCGTCCTGTTCTGTGATTTGACTCAAACGATCTTGACCAATCAGATGTGAGCAGGTATGAATTCTAGAAATCTTTTTTTAACAGAAAATAACAAATAAAATGAAAAATTAACTTCAGTAAAGCTCAAAAAAGATTTTTTTATGTTTTTTTGCTGAACCACGTTGTTTTATTGCTCACTTTTAATAAGCAGTCACAGTTCAAATCTGTTCATCAATCACCAGAAGATGAAGGAACATCAGCCATTGCTTCAAAACCAACCAAAGCGATTGATCTAAACTCTTTGATTTGGGACGTTTCTCTGAAATTACTGGATAGATTTAAGTCCTTAGACTGCTATAAGATCCAACTCTTCACCAGCCCTGAGAGCTAAAGGACACGACCCTGCAAACAGTTGACCTTTCAGTTATCCACAGACGTCAGCATAGTGACATCACTGATCAGCGCCACAAGGCATCCACAAACATTCACTGTTTAATTCTGTCAAATATGCCATAATTTAATCCCTTTAGGCGACGAGGAGAGTGGCTTTGTGACGTAAAAAGCAGCGTGACCATATGAAGCGCCATTTTTTAGAGCATTCTTTAGAAACAATGGTTTTAACCGTCCCACTGTCCTCATCGGTGACCCCGCCAGGAAAGTTGACCACTGAGCAGGGTTGATGGTTTATCCCTTGAGGTCTATATGGCAACATGGACCTCAAGGGATAAACCATCAACCCTGCTCAGTGGTCAACTTTCCTGGTGGGGTCACCGATGAGGACAGAGGGACGGTTAAAGCCGTACATAGCCCAACACATACTCGGTTGGTCCCTGAAATGGCCCGGAAAATGGTCGTTTGGGATGGCTCCATGAAATAGAGGCAAGCGTGTGCCGGGAAGTTCCGGTAAAATTACCCAGAAGTTCCGATATTGCAAACAGGCCAAGAATGTCCAAAGTTGTCTCCAGTTTACCAAAGGGTTTTGATTGTGTTACATCACAACAGGAGTAGGGAACCTCAGGCCTTCGGGCCATATGTGGCCCTCAAGAACCTTTCATCCAATCCGCTAATCAGTTTCAAGAGAACAAACAAAATACTGAAAATTATTAAAAATCCACGATGAAATCGGCAGTAATGCATTTAGCCGTGCTAGGATCAGGGTCAGTGAACGCAACATGAGAGGTCAGGGGTTAGCGCTGCCAAATGAAGCTGCAGAAGTAAATATTAAAATTTAATGTTTGATTGCAACAATACTAACTGTAATTAACAATTGAGATTTATGCTAAAAACTCAGGAAACTATTATAAATTCGTAATTGCAGCAGTTAGAGACGGAGAGAGGAACAGATTTAGGCAAAGGTATCACCTCTCATGTTTCTGGCATATCAAACATTGTTTACATTCAGATTTGTGTTCCTTCATCACTTTACACTAGATGTTTGTCACATGTGTATGAATCAAATATGCGCGTGTTGTGATTTTTCAGAATAGGAAGTAAAATCAGTGAAGCGAGTTCCAGAGTATTTGTCTTTCATGCAACTAAATAAATGCCATCAGCAGCACGTGTGGTGAAACGGGGTTTGTCTGAAAGGTGTGTTTGACTCCTTGTTTAAAAGAATAGAAACGGCAACAGTTTGTGTTCTCTCTTTTCCGTTTGTCAACCACAGAATGAGAAGAAAAAGGATGCTGTGACTTTTACCATGAAAACAAATATAACCCATGGAACTGGCACATCATTACCTCACCTGCTGTGGTTTCAGAGCTCCTACAGACAAAAACTGATGATGCCAAATATGAAACGAAAAAAGACACGTTTCCTGTTTTTTCTATTTCATCTTCTTCAAATGTGCAGAAGTGACACCTGTCCCAAACAAAACAAGGGTGAGTGTTTATGCTGTGGAGTTAAAAATTGGTTTACTCTTAACGTTTGAGCTGATCTCGACTATTTCTCTCAGATCTCACTTGCTACAACGACTACAGTCATGTCATCACTTGTGTTTGGAAAAGCTCATCCGGCTCTGATCTAACAGACGAAGAGTGTGAATTAGACGGGGTGAAGGTGCTTGATGGAGAAGAGTACGAAACACAGTACAAAGCATGAAAATCTAAAATCATTTTCAAATAGTATCCCATTTAAAATAAAGTCTAATTAACACAAACGATATTTTTTTAAGGTACACCACTTCCTGCACGCTGCAGCCTTCTGACGCCTCTGGACAGAGCCTTAAAAGGTGCTCTCTGGTCTTCAGTGAAACTTATTTTGTGAGTGTAAACAGTTTTTTTTTACTGTTTCATCTGAAAATGTGTGTGTTCACTTCCACCGTTTGGAGAGGTTCTTTCTGAATATTTTCATTAAACATTCAAACATTTCCCATTCAACATTTTCTCTTTTTGTCTGCTATTAGTTTGTAACATATGATGAGATCTCCATCCATGTGAGCTGCCTCCCTTCAAACCACAGGGAAACCTTTCTCTACAAACCAGCTTGTCACAGTGAGTAACCCATAAAGAATGATGACTGCCCCACGGGTGAATTATCTGATAAAACATTTCATAACTTTTGATTTTACAGTTAAACTGAGTCATCCAGAAAAGCCAGATGTCAACATCACCACCGTGTCCTGGATCCCCCAAGCAAACAAACATGAAAATGTTCAGCTTTACGTCTCACAGCTGGAGTGGAAACGTCAGGATCAGTCATGGAGTGTATGTAAACGTTTTAAACCTTTGTGGACTATCATTGCAAATTAGCATCAAAGCCCCTCTGGCCTTAAATCATCCAGATGGAGCATTAGGATTAGTACCTTCATCAAAATACAGCCCTATTTGTGTCTGCTGCCCTCTGGTGGTGGAGCTATTGGGGGCAAGTGCCAATTTTATTTGTGTAATTCTGTTATGTTATATATACATAATAAAATAAAACTGATTATATTGTTGTTTAATTAACATTAGACAGTCAAAGGTTCAGCCTAAAAAGATTTTTCACCTTTTTTTCAATCATGGGGTGTAACTAAGACCTTCCCAGTAAGCTGACCGATTTCCGCACATAGAATGGTTAAATAACCTGATGTGAAAATCCACCCAGTAACCTTACTTATTGTTTTTCCTTGTTAGGATCCCTCTGTTCAGAAACAGAAAAGGAATATTGCCTGTCCATGGAGCTGTGAGGTAAACCTGGATCCTGATTTACTGATGCAGGGTGACACGTACGAGGCCCGTGTTCGTGTGATGGTGGGGGAGAAGGGCTTAGAAGGAACCTGGAGTGACTGGAGTCCCACTGAGTCATGGGTGTCACAAGTTGGGGAAATCAGACCACCTACAGGTAAAAATGCCAAGCAGCTCTACTACAATTACTCTGTGGGTTCTGACTTTCAACTGTCACAGCTGTGAAATGTCAGAATTTAGTCTATTTAGAGAGATAATGAAACAGCACTACACGTTTGCAAATGGAGCATCACGTGTTATTTGAACTAAAAATGTGGAAAATAGAAAATTAACATAATTTAACAAACATTCAGTAAGTTCTGAGTCTCCAGTGAACGCCTTTAATGGATAAAACAGCATTTAGTGTCATTAAAAATGTGCAAAAATTAAAAAAAAAAACATGATATGAATCAATACGACTATGATGTATTCAGATCTGATAGAACACACTGTTCTGCTTTTATCAGGGATTTCTGTGGTGGTTTTAAACTTGTCTCTCGCTGGCCTGACAGTGTTTGGCTTGCTGCTGGTCGTCATCTTCCTCAGAATGAAAAAAAACACTTGGTAGGAAGAAACTGAACCACTTTTCAGAGATATTTCTCAGTGTCTTCTGTCAGCACCGTTGAATATGAAAAGAAAACCAAATGTTTGCTCATTCTGGACTTTAATTTTGTTTATATGTTTTAGGGTGTATGTGGTGAAGAAGGTCTCGGGTCCACCTATACCAAATCCTGCAAAAGCTGCACACTTCCAGGTAGATCTGTACGTTTGTCTCTGTCTACAGTGGAAAGACAAACCAAAATGTAACATTAAAGTGGACAGACACTCATTATTTCGCTGGAGCGGTTCGCAGCCGAGTGGGAAGCAGCTGGGATGAGAATCAGCTCCTCTAAATCTGAGACCATGGTTTTGATTCGGAAAAGGGTAGAATGCCTTCTCCGGGTCAGGGATGAGGTCCTGTCCCAAGTGGAGGAGTTTAAGTATCTCGGGGTCTTGTTCACGAGTGAGGGAAAACTGGAGCGTGAGATCGATAGGCGGATTGGTGCTGCATCTGCAGTGATGCGGGCGTTGTACCGGTCTGTCGTGGTGAAGAGAGAGCTGAGTCAGAAGGCGAAGCTCTCGATTTACCGGTCGATCTACGTTCCTACCCTCACCTATGGTCATGAGCTTTGGGTAGTGACCGAAAGAACGAGATCGCGGATACAAGCGGCCGAAATGAGTTTTCTCTGCAGAGTGGCTGGGCTCTCCCTTAGAGATAGGGTGAGAAGCTCGGTCATTCGGGAGGGACTCGGAGTAGACCCGCTGCTCCTCCACATCGAGAGGAGCCAGTTGAGGTGGCTCGGGCATCTGGTCAGGATGCCTCCTGGACACCTCCCTGGTGAGGTTTTCTGGTCACGTCCAACCAGGAGGATACCTAAAGGTAGATCCAGGACACGGTGGAGGGACTATGTCTCTCACCTGGCCAGGGAACGCCTTGGGATTCCCCCGGAGGAGCTGGCCCAAGTGGCTGGAGAGGGGGAAGTCTGGGCCTCTTGCCTTAGGCTACTGCCCCCGCGACCCGACTCCGGATAAGCGGATGAAAATGGATGGATGGAAGGATGGATGGATGGATGGATACACTCATTATTTCAATACTTCTGGTGTGTTCCAGTATGAATGAATGAATGCCTTGTGAGTCATTTTCTGTGGGAAAAAAAAGCTCTGGCGCTCCTGTATCAGGAAGTAGACATTAGTCAGGAGTGTTTTTTTTTCTTTTCTTAGTCTTATTCATTCAAACATCCAGTCTCTGATTGGCTTACATCAACACAACTCTTTGGCTGTCTTTGTTTGATTCACAACGTTGATGTTTTATCGCCGCAAATAACACAAACCCAAACTGGTTCTACCATGCTCATGCTAACGGTTAGCTTTTACTAGCCGAGACACACTCTGCTCTCTCTTGTATGCTAAATCACCAAAGTCTTACGCGTTTGTGAGCAAAGGTGGGTGAGTCCATGAACATTGTGACATATTAACTCGCTTTGCCTGCTGCAGGTGGTCAGAGGGAACGATGGCGCCAGTGTATGGCAGGCCTCGCCTCTGTCAGTGTGCTTCAGGGAGCATCATCCTTACCAGTGTGTGAATATGTGTGTGAATGGGTAAATGACTGATTTTGTTGGGAAGCACCTTGGAGGGTTGCTGTAAAAATACAGGCCATTTACCATTTAACCATTTTGTGTGGCTTTTTCTGACTCGAGTGATTCTCCATCTAATTTATTTTGGCAGCTAATGCAGAGAATGAGGCTAGAAGACATTCAGCATTTTTTTTGTAGTTTGTGTACATAAAGTATATCGATGTGAGGTGAACACTGAAGTTTGCACTCACTGTGAGTCCTTTGGGATTTATTTAGCTGTTTATCAGGAATAGCTTTAAAAATTGTGATGATAATAATCCCTTTTTGTGTTGTTTGGCTTCAAAACATTGATCAAAAGTCTCAAAACTGAGCAGCAATCTAAGAATTTGACACATTTAAATAATTCAAATAATTTATGAATCTCTTTAGAAGTGTATTAGTTTGATATTATAACCAGAAATAACCAATATTGACTTCACACTAAACATCAACCAGATTAAACGCAGATTAACTTTCTGAAGGAGCACAGACTAAAACGTTTCTGCATTTCCCAGGTCCTCCACGTGTCTAACTCCTTCCTCGTCTTTTTATTTTTATTTTTATTTTACAGAACTGGTCAAGTCCAAACTTCACCAGTGAGTCCATTCACTCCTTCCTGAAACCAGTGGAGATCGTCTCTGTTGAAGTCACCTCCAGCGTGGATGCCGTCACGTTCTGTGAACCAGATGTGAAAACGATGCCAGAAAGCATCAGCCGCGAGTCCTCTGGTTCCAGCTTCTCCAACCCAAGCTACTCTGAGCTTTGTTCTTCTTCCACCAAGTCCTCAGCCGCAGCTGGAGACCTGATGCCCTGCTCCATGGATGCTCCTTACAAGCCTGTTTGTGGCCAGGGAGAAGAGAAGAACCCAGAACAGGGTAGAGAGGGAGCTTCAGAGAAAGACATGGAGATCATGAAGTTAATTCTTAATGGCAGTAGTGACAGCAAGGCGGTGAAGATGATTTCAGAATACGAGAAGGTTAAGGACGTCCAGGTGGAGCGTTTCAGGCTACGCAGTGTTGATTCAGGCATGTGCAGCTGTGAGGAGGTCAGTCAGGAGAGCATGGAGGTAGATAGCATCAACATGACAGATGGACAGGAGGAGGCAAGTCCAAGTGAAGAGAAGAAGAAAGGAGGGGATGGGATGAAGGTAGATCACTTAAAGTTGGTTGGGAGGAGTGGGGGCATGTTGGGCAGAAACACCATTCAGGTTTGTCTGGATTACAAACCATTCCCAAAGCTGCAGGCTGGAAGTCCCGAGCTTCCAAGCCTGGATTCAGGAATTAGCTGCAGAGAGGAAGAGCGTGAGAGTCAGGATGATAAACCTGCTCACTTCCTGTCCCCTCCCCATCCTTCCACTCAATTTAATTTTCCGAGTCCACTTCTGCCCGCCCTTCCATGTATGTTTGAGAAGATTCCTCTGATGTCAGACAGCATGCCGCTGCTGCTCTGTGATGACGGCTACAAGCCGGTGAGACAGGAGCAGGCCTAGAAACAGACAGCAGGCCTCACATGAACATCTGAAGGATCCAGCAGACCTACACAATCAGATCTGTGACTTCATTTAGTAGACCATGTGAAGAGAAGATTCAAACGTGGGTGACTTTCATAAAATTAGGGACATTTATTATCTTACATGCTGAAAGTAAATTTCTCAAATTTGTAAAATTCTGATCGGATTGATAAGCTAACGGACAGTTGCAGCAGCCACTGCTACTGTCAAAAGATCATTCATGGCATTTTGTGTTGATGTTAAGCTTTTATATCATTTTAAATGTTGTATTTTGGGATCATTAACATGGGGAAACAACAAGTTGTAGCTAGCCAGCTCAATGGCCTAGTGGTAGTGTCCACCCTGGGACTGGAAGATTTGTGTTCAAATTGCAGTCGGGTCATACCAAAGACTATAAAAAATGGGACCCAATGCCTCCCTGCTTGACCCCCGTCTTCATGGGGTTGGATTGGGGGGTTAAACCACCAAATAGTTCTTAAACGCGGCCGTATCTGCAGCTCACCGCTCCCCACAGTGTGTGACAACTATGAGACTTTAATCATTTAATCTTCCTGTGCAGCTTCCGTCGCATCCCACGGCAACCTCAGGCTACTTCTGCTCTAAAAACAGTAAAATTTAAAATGCACATTAATATGTTGGGAAATTTTCATCTGCATGAGATCTCATTTTTTAAAAGACTGATTGTGTTTGTGGTGGCAGTGGTTGTAGGCTCATCCCTCTTTTCTGAATTAGTCTAAATAACTGGCGTCAAATCCACAAATCCTGCTGCTGGTTTTAATCACACGTCAGGAAACCCCTGGAGAGGTCAGAGGTCAACACCTCCTAAAGATGAAAGCTTTGCTTATTTATGTGAGAAGTGATCATTTCTGTTATTTATTTCAAATTAAAAAAGTGCAGTGTGTTTCTCTTTTACTGTTCTTTGTATGAAGTTGTATTTTTAACAGATTTTGCATTATTGGGAAAAGTGTCTTTTTCTCATAAAAAATAATCAATAATAACCTAATATTGTAAAAATAAAAATTTAAACAAACCCTTGACTAACTGAGGATAGTTTTTTTTAAAGAACCAACGTTTTTCTGGATTTGTTCCCAACAGACTAACCTGTACTGGGAGTTGCATCACTGTTTCCAGGTGCCTCCTGGCAACAGGTGATGCCTTCAACAACACTGCTTCACACCTGACTTCTCAACACCAGTATGCTCCACATTTAGCCAAAGTAGAGTTTTTTATTTATTTATTTTTTGATGTACAAAGACAACTCGGCTGGTGTCAATGTACAAATCCAAAAAGGCTTTAGGGAACCTTTGGACTTGCAAACAATCCAGGAGCAGAACTGTGGCCATGAATGCAGCACGTCTGGTTGAAATTCAAAGTGTCTGTGTTCTACGTTCTGACACACACCAGTCCTTTAGGATTGTACAATGATTTTTCACAGAACAAGTAACTTGGAGTGATTCAATGGCACTCGGGCACGGCTCGAAGAAGTCTCTCTCATGTGACCAGGAGGTCACACCTGCCTCTCTGAACAATGAGGTTAGTAAGCCCTAACCCAAAAATATGTACTGTATTGTTTGTGTCTACGGACTGGTTTTATTATTAGTGTTAAACAATAATAGAGACAAAAGTCTTCTTTTGTAAATGGAGAAAAATGCAGCGTTTCTTGTGGTTTTAACTGCTAATGGAAAGAAATTCTCACAATGAAAACCTAAAGAGGCTTTTGTTCCACACAGTTTCAGGTTTCTTTATGTAAAAAACCTCATCCTGTCGGATGTCTCTCAGCGTCGCTGGGCCTTGTGTTCTAATTCATTTTCACACGTAGCAATAACCCAAGGGAAACTACACTTAACCCACAACAAAGTCTGGTAGCACCTTGTGGAAGATGAGCCGTATGTCGGTAAAATGTTGATGTCAAGCAACCGTGCCTTAGTCAGACTCTGATTTTAACAGAAACGAAAACAAAAATGATAGGAAACCAAAACCAGAGTAGGCAATCCACTCTCCTCGTCCACTTGAAGGAGTTGCGGCCTGAGACAAGCATTTGCTTGTTTTGTTTTAGTGATTTATATTAGATTTTATGTAATTTTTAAAAATTTAGTCTGCAGTGTACTTTGGTGGCCTGTTTGTGTCTCAAAAGTTCTGCATAAATAAAATTTGGGCCAAGTCAAGATGGTGTTGACAATCTTCTTTTGTGGATTTATGCAAAACAAGTAATCTGAGTGAAGATGCTTGAAAAAGCTAATAGCACTGCACTGGTTGCAATTTTATTTGATTAATGCTCAAAAACTATTGTGTGTGTACTTTGGAGGGAACGAGGTGGCCCTGATCATGTAAACATGTTATGCTATACACTTCCTGGACAAAAACTGCCGTCACCAAAAGGTCACACACTCTAATATTTCATTGGACCGCCTTTAGTTTTGAATATGGCACACATTCACTGTGGCATTGTTTCACCAAGCTTCTGCAATGTAACAAGATTTATTTCCATCCAGTTTTGCATTATTTTTTCACCAAGATCTTGCACTGATGATGGTAGAGTCTGAATGCTGCATAAAGTCTTCTCCAGCACATCCCAAAGATCCTCAGTAGGGTCAGGGTCTGGACTCTGTGGTGACCAATCCATGAGTGAAAATGATGTCTCTTGCTCCCTGAACCACTCGTTCACTATTTGAGCCCGATGAATCCTGGAATTGTCATCTTGGAATATGGCCATGACATCAGGGAAGATGGAATAACCTGGTCATTCAGTATATTCAGGTAGTCAGCTGACCTCAGTTCTTGGAGAACATCCTGTTGCTGAACCTAGACCTGACCACCTGCAGCAACCCCAGATCATAGCACTGCCCCCACAGGCTTGTACAGTAGGCACAAGGCATGATGGGAGCATCACTTCATCTGCCTCTCTTCTTACCCGGATGCACCATCACTCTGGAACAGGGTCCATCTGGACTCATCAGACCTGTTTTTAATAATGCATTGGACAGTTCTTAACCCAATTTTAGTAGCTTCTGCAACCTCTTTAGATGTTTTCTCTGCTTGATGCATGCCAATGATCTGACCCTTCTCAAACAGACTCACATCTTTACATATATACCCATACATATTCCCATTTCACACAAAATTCTAATTAGTATTTTATTAGGCTAACTTATTTTTTGCACCTTAATCTGGCTGTGTGTGTGTGTGTGTGTGTGTGTGTGTGTGTGTGTGTGTGTGTGTGTGTGTGTGTGTGTGTGTGTGTGTGTGTGTGTATGTGAGTGAGTGAGTGAGTGAGTGAGTGAGAGAGAGAGAGAGACATCTATTTTAGCCTTGTTATTTTATTTTACTACCTCTTACATGAGCAGTCTTTAGTGAGCTCAAAGTCAGTTTCATTGTACACCTGTGGAATGACAAAAAATTTAATCTTGAATCCATAAGTTTCTGTTTCTTCTGAACAGGAAGGAGTTACTACAAAAAATGTGACCAGAAGAACAAGGACCTGTAAGTGTCTGCTCGCCTTCCTCGTCATCTTCATCATAATCCTCATAATCACAGGAGCCACAGTGGCCTGGTACTTCCTGGGTAAGGAGTTATTTCTCTTTGTTTACATCATGCCAACATGGGATTGCTGTCAGCACTCTGGAGTAAAACAGCACAGCAGGTGATGAGCACAGGTCCACAAATCAGCTGCTACATGAATTTCAGTGTCACATTTTAGATTTTGTAGTTCTCTATTGCATCTATAAACACTCCAAACATGAAAATAGATCGTCCATCCATTTTCTGTCAGTGTTTGGTTTTTGGAATAATGTGCCTAAAACATGTTGTTTCAAAATGATGTGACATCACAAATGGGGATATTAGCATTGAACCCTCTCATGTGCAACAGAGAGCTGGAGGATCAGCAAGTTTGGAGGGAGTGGCTAGCTCCAGATAGTGCTGAACACTTGTTTATTCAATAAAACATTTGCAGTGGTCTCTTGTAGTAATGAATGCCTTGTGAGCCACTCAGGGTTCATGTTTTATCTCCACAAATAACACAAGCCTGGAGGTGTTCAGCAGTGCGGTGGAGTTGCTAATGCTAACAGTTAGCTTCTACTAGCCGAGACGGTCTCTGTTTCCTGGATGTTGAACCAGCAACAGACTTCCCCGTCGCGAGTCAAGATGTGAGTCCATGAATGTTAAGTGACAGTGTAACGTAGATCTGTCAGGCTTTTCTAATCCTAGAATTTCACTGTCTATTTTCTATCAGAAGCTAATGCAGGGGATAGGCGTAGGAGACTATTTTCATGTTCAACCTGTATGAAAAACTCAGAGTGACTGGTTATAATCAGAAATAATAATTTTAAAAAATGTGTTTTCGGTGTTCCATACCTTTAGTGACAGATTCCTGAAACTGCTCATTCTGGAAGGTACTGAAAATGTCAAGAAGGAAACTGCTGAAAGTCGCTTCACATGAGAGGGATTTAGTGCAAAGAACCTCATCAACTGTGTAACATCAGATGTAAAAATCTTCAAATTATGCCATCTTTCAGACAAAAACATATAAAGTTAGGAATCAATTAAAGTTATTTTAAAGACTAAAAGAAAGAAATCATACAAATATATAACATAATACATTTTAAGCAGAAGAAAAACATCTGACTTCTGACAAAGGCCGATAGCACCAACGTTAATATTTTATCATACATTGTGCCTACCTTTGTTCTCAAAGGTTTAAAATAGCACTCACCTTTAAAATTTCACCAAATATCTGTTCGGGTTTCTGAAAACAGAAACGGCCACACTCATCCTCCTGGTTAAGGTGTTATTCTTTTATGACAGAATACAGAGTTTGGATGCTAGAGCCTCGTGTTCAGCAGCAATACACCGCCTACATCACCATCCTCAACAGGAACTTCTCTGCTGAGTTGTCCTCTCACAACAGCCCAGCGTTCAGGACAGAAGCCAAGAGAGTACAGAACACGGTGAGAGGGGATTGCCCTGAAAATGTAGTTTAACAAGAACAAACTGTAAGTGTTGTATCTGCCTTGAGGCCGTCACAGGAAACCTTAAAACCTGTGATTTAGGACATAGAGCACTGCTAAACTGTTGTAGCACCTGCTGCAAAGCTCCTTAAAATAAAAACACACGCCCATATTTGGGCCACGACATTGTCTCTTCAAAGGAAGAGGCTACTGGATTAACTTTAGGAGATTTAGGATCAGGAAGAAGATCAATCTGACATTCAAAGCAAGTGTCCAGTCTATAAATGAGATGTATGATATGACTGCATGTGTTTGTGTCCTTTAGATAAATATGATGATGAAAGTCTCGTCTCTTTCTCGATACTTCAACTACACCACTGTCTTTGCTTTTGGGTATGTGGACTTTCCCTTTTTTGACTTAGATTTAGAACCAAAAAAAAGTGAGTCAGCCTGCACTTATTTATGCTATCATCCAAGCATGTTCTCTGGATGTTCCACTTCCCTGCAAAGTTAATTTCTGAACCAATTCTTGGTGTGAGGATTCGTGACTGCTTCCGCAACGGACGTTCAATGTGTCTTTCCTGGTATAACGCTGGGATCCAGCCTCTTGAATTCCTAAATTCAATTCAATTCATGTTTATTTATATAGCGCCAAATCACGACAAGAGTCGTCTCAAGGCACTTCACATAATAAACATTCCAATTCAGGTCAGTTCATTAAGCCAATCAGAAATAATGTTTCCTATATAAGGAACCCAGCAAATTACAGCAATCCTCATACTAAGCAAGCATTTAGCGACAGTGGAGAGGAAAACTCCCTTTTAACTCATTCACTGCCAGCCGTTTCCTGATCACTAACGGCCTTTGCTGCCAGCGTTTCTCACCGTTTTTACTGTTTTTTTTAAGAGTCACAAAACGTTGCGCGCTAGCGTGATGTTGATGCCAAAACAACCAAAACAAAGTGGAGACTCACCTCTTACATCAGGAAGAAGCCGCGTGTTTCGAGCGTTATCCGTTCTTTCATAATCCGTTGTCGAATTGTGATCGGCAGAGGCTTTTCCGGTTCGCGCCTCACTTTTTTTTACAGGAACGGCCCTAAACGATCTCCAAACACATGGATGTGTTGCTTCCTGATCATGTGATCCGTGACGTATGCGGATGAAGATCGGCTTCAGGGCTGAGATGTTTGTTCTCTCAGTGCGGGGGCTCGTTCCGATGCTCAAACAGTAAAAAATGCAAATGACGACTTTAGTCGTCAGTGGCGGTGAACGAGTTAACAGGAAGAAACCTCCAGAGGATCCTGGCTCAGTATAAGCAGCCGTCCACCACGACTCACTGGGGATCGAGAAGACAGAACACACACACACCAACACCAGCCAACCCGTACACAAACACACATCCACACACAACATATGGACACAAATGGACACATCCTGAGTGAAGACAATGAGTCTGAGGAGTGAAACTGGAAACTACCCACCATCATTAAGAAACAAATATAATCATGAGCTTCTTTAGAGATTCTGTTAGAAAAGGCCAATGAAATTTTAAAAAAGAGAAAATTGATATTTCACAAATTAGCTGCATCTTTACTGATTTGTGAGCTGTCTGTGTTTCTGTAGGGAAGGGAGCGTGGTCGTTCACTTCTGGATAGTTCTGTCTGTGCCCAGCAGCCATGATGGAAGAATCACAGTGGAGAAGCTCAGCAGGAGCCTGGAGGAGAGCCTGAACTGGTACAGAGGGCCAGAGGTGGAAGAGACAGCAAGCGTGGCTGATTATCTGTTCAACCGGTCCACTTTATCAGTCAGTGGTGAGTGTGTGTGTGTGTGTGTGTGTGTGTGTGTGTGTGTGTGTGTGTGTGTGTGTTTGATATCATTTTATTTAATACGTTTTCCTGTTTTTTGTTCTGCTGCCTACAGAAACCGACAACAAAGTCATAGAACTTTTGAAAGCTTCTTTTGGTATCACTCTTTTATTCACGTCTATCTTTTTTCTTCTTCCTAATAATTTTGAAGAATTTTGATTGGACAAAACATTTGCTTAAAATGTTGCTTACAGATGCACTGCATGTGCATTTAGTATTTCAAGCTATTTTATATCTGTAGCCCACTTATGAGCTACATGAATACAGAGATTTGATCTCATTTAAGTCACAGAAATAATGTTTGACTGATTTGTTGAGTAATTATTTGCAATTTCAAATTTTTTCATAACTTGTTTGATTTTGCTGGCATGTGAGATCAGATTTGTTTCTTCTTTAATAATCAATCAATCAATCAATCAATCAGTCAACCTACTGACTGACCAACCAATCAACCAACCAGCCATCAGCCAACCAACCAATCAATAATTCAGAAACAAGGGATCCTTTTAAAAGAAAGCATATAAAAAAAAATAAAACATACAATTACATTACTTTCTATACAACAACTTCTCCATCGCCTCCAAAAGCAAAAGTATTATGTAGATCTGCTCTTTCTAAGCATTGTTAAGGACCTTTTTTTTTCACTAGCAGAAATCTCAGTTTATATTATTCATTTAAATTAATGAGACCATTTGGGTGTTTTTATGTGAATACAATAAATTTACTGTAGCCAAAAGGTCATCATGTCATTTAGTTTTTCAATTTTTGAAATTTAAGTTTCCAAATGAAAGTTCATTTGGAAACCTAAGAATACTTAAAAAAGACGAATAAATAGATCATCTAACAATCTGTCTTTATTAATCTGACAGTATTTTTGTTTTTTCTTAATTTATGGACTAAAAAAACTTTCCCCAAAGATGAAAAAAATGATGCTCTAAAAGCCATGAAAAGCCATCATTTTTATTGCCCATGTTTTTGTGAAGTCAGGAGAACATGTTTCTGGAGAATGGGGCCATTTGTGTTGCATGCTGTGGCTCAAGAAGAGAAAAACGTTCTTAGAAAATGTTTATCTCCACAAAGAATGAAAAATAAGAAGTAAAAAAGAAAATTGTTCACATAAATGGAAAAGTGGATTTACATTATTTTTTCATTATTTCAGGGCTTCAGTAGTTGAAACCTGTGACCTAAAATCATTCAAATGATCCTAAGTGACCTAAAAGTGAGAAACAACATTTTAGGATCAATAAAAAACATTTTCATAGCATTTATTGTTTTAGAATGGAGATGTTACTAATGTGCAATAAATCTTTTTCTATAACACCTTCCATCTTTGTGTGTTTCTCAACAGCCTGTGCTGATTAGTTTAATTAGTTCTCCAACAAATCTATATTTTTATCTGATTAGACTGCTACCGCTATCAGAAGGTGGAGTCTAGCAGCCCCAGATCTCTCCGTGGCCCCGACACACACCGCTCCTCCTGCCTGTGGCACCTCCAGGCTCCCCTTGGGTTCCAGCTGGAGCTCCACATGGAGTGGCTGCTGCCCGAGTGTCGGGACAGGCTGGTGGTCTACAACTCCCTCACCCCCTCTGACAATCACCTCATCACATCGTGAGTTCATTCAGCTTTTACAGTAACTGTTCAACTATTAAGATCAGGGCGCAGTGGGATCCAAATATAACTTCAGCTTTATTGTCTATGCATGAGGAATGAACTCAATTTGTTGGTCTAGAACTTTTGCATAATCTGTGATGCACTGAAGCTCACCAAGGTTATAAAATCTTGAATATGAAACATGTATATGAATAATCTTACTAATCCCAGTGTATCTTAATTTTAAGACACCTTAATTTTTAAGAGATTCAGAAAAAGCTAAACCAGCTTTCCTGCTTGTGTTTGTTTTTCCTCTGAAGTGTGTACGGCTGCAGCAGACATGAGAGAGTCATTCGCGTCCTGTCATCAGGCGAGTGGATGACGATGGTTTGGAAACAAGGCCTTTACAATTACAAGGACCCCTTTTCCTTGTCTGCCCAGGCCTGGCCCCAGCGGGGTAAGATGGAAAATGTTATGCTAAAATAAGAGAGTGAAGGTTATTCGTGCTTCAGTCATAAAAAGATTTCCTATTTTAGAGAAAATATGGTTATCAACATGAACATTTGCAAAGGAAACCTATAATTTTGTATTTGTACTATCATTTAATTTCACACATTAATTATTAATAATGTTCATTATAACAAAATGGGCAGTAGAATAAGATAAGAGATGGAGATAAAACAAAGTCAACTTCAAAGGTGCAATATGTAAGAATTTGTGTGAAATAATCACAAAACAGTTTAATGTCTCAATTGGGTTAGAAGGAAGGTTACATTGAAACAGATTTCCTTCTCAGCCGGCCGGGTGGTTGCCAGTTTCATCTCTTTTAGAAGAAGAAGAAAAAGAAGAAGACAATATTTTATTTAGCCCCTCTCAAGATAAAAATCACAAGGTGCTTCACAAAAACAAAAACAAAAACTTAAGTATAAAAAGATTTCAAAAATGGTTAAAAAAGATGTTTAAAAGGTGAAAAGAACAAAAAAATGTAAGGACAGGGAGAAAGAAAATGAATAGGAAGGAGGGAAATCAAAGGATGTTGGAAAAGGTGGAATAAGAACAAAATAAGGAGAGGATGGTGACAAAGGTCACTCAAAAGCCAGAGGGACCTAGCCTTTGTTTAACATCTATCTTGTGGCGGGGTTTCCAAGTTTGCACCATTTGTAACTCGACACCAGCTGGCAAAAACATCAGCTTTGTGGGAAGAATGTTAGCCAGTAAACAGGAGCAGCCCAGAAGTTGTTTCTTTTACCCCTAAGAAGCCCCATCGTCCTTTTTGATTTACTTTAATATTGGGTAAAAAAGCTAGAGGCTAACATTGAGCTAACAATGCTAACAGTGACTATGAAAAAAATAGCCTAAATTTTTTTTCTAATTTTTCAGTTACTAAAAACTTGATGTTACAGTGAAATTATCCTATTTGTCAACTTAATGTAATTTGTCAGCTAGAGTCTCCATAACTGGCAACGTTTTCTCAGCACAAGCTCATTTGACCCAAATTTCTTTTTTTCATGCATCTAGAAGAAATTTTCGAAGTTTCAAATTCTGTTTTTCAGGAAAATGACAAACCCGTCATTTTAAACCAAAAACTACCAGATTTAACATTATTAACCATGTGAGATCATTAAAAAATAATAAATGTCATAGTTATGGAGACACTGAAGATGCAGGAAGGAGGATTTTAAAACGAGGAGGAGCTAGCTGACAGGAAATAGGAATAGGAAATCTCTATCTGCAGTGGCAAGCTGCACTGACTTTACCAGACAAACGCTTCAACTTATTCTTTTAATTGCTGTCTAATTCTCAAAAGGTTTGTAAGTTTTAACTCCTATTTCATCTTATTTTTTAATTTCTCAGACTGCAAGTCCACAATCCAGCTGAAGGCAGAACCAGGGGTCCAGGGGACTCTCAGGACCCCTTTTTTTCCAAGCTACTACCCTCCAAACAGCAACTGTACCTGGACTTTTACGGTCAGTGAATATTTTACTTAAGTTACATAAAATCCATCTGCATTCAGCTCTCTCTGATCATCATTAATTACTGTCCATGTCATGCCAGATTCCCAGTGCAAAGATAGGTCTGGCTTTAGAGTTTGAGGGCTATGAGCTGAGCAGAGCCACCTACAACCAAGCCTGTACCCAGGGTCAGTGGGTCATCCAGAACCGAAGGTAAGCCAGGTCCAACTGAATGTGGTTTTAGATTTTTACTTTGATTTCTAACACTCAAATCAACAAAAATGGTAAGAAAAAAGTAGCAGGTCATCCAGAACGCTTCTGCCAGGTTCTTGACAAATATGCACCAACATAACCATATTACCCCTGTCCTGGCACATCTTCACTGGCTCCCTGTCATTTTCAGAGTACAGTTTAAGTAACTGACTTTTGTATTTAAAGCACTCAACGACCTGGCACCTCCCTATTTCTCTGACCTCCTCATTCTCTATGTACCCATGCGCACATTGAGGTCGGCTGACCTCCTGCTGCTGTGCACGCCCCGGATAAGATACAAATTGCGGGGTGAATGAGCATTTGTACATGCTGCCCCAAAGCTGTGGAACTCGTTGCCCATTGGAGTTCATCAGGCTCCGCCATTTGCAGTTTTTAAATCTCGTTTAAAGACCCACTTTTACGATGTTGCTTTTAGACAGTGACTCGTTTTAGTGTTTTATTGTGTTATTGTTTGAATGTGTTCTTAGTGTTCCTCATGTTTTATCTGCTTTTGATTGGTATTTGTATCTTCTGTTTAAGTTGCTTAGATTGGTTGTGTTTTGGTTTAGCCTGTGCAGCACTTTGGGCAGCTCCCATGCTGCGTTTTAAACGTGCTATGTAAATAAACTATGGTATGGTAACATATGATTAAAATATACTATATAATAACCAAGCCGAGCCAACTTTATTTATATAGCACCTTTCAACAGTAAAGAACTGACCAAAGTGCTTCAAATACATTAAAACAATACACAGCATAAAAATACATAAAAACTAAACTTAAAAACTGGAATTAAAAGACTCTCATGCTGATTTAAAAGCCAAAGCGTAAAAAAGGGTTTTCAAAAGAGATTTCAAACCAGACGGAGAAGATTCTGACCTAATGCAGCACATTCCAGATCCTAGGAGCCTCTGCAGAAAAAGCCCCGTCACCTCTGAGCTTATGTCTCGTTCTTGGGACTTCAAGGAGCATCCTGTCAGCTGACCTCAGAGACCGTGCAGGGGAATGAAAAATCAATAGCTCAGAGAGGAAATCTGGAGCAAGGCCATGCAGAGATGTAAAAACCCATAAAAGTACCTTGATCTAATCTGATGATGGATAATATATAATTGGTTCCATCCATACCACATAATAATGATTATTTGAAAGACTACATTTTTATATTTTCTCACAGATATGGTGTAATTAGTGTTTTTGAGTCAAGATGGCGCCGAGTATGGCTGCCCACGAAGCAACAGCTGTTTTTTGTGTTTACTACTTTTTCTTTTTCTTTATTTTTTCACGAGTAGCACGTGTATCCTTTTTACATAACTGTATTTTTTGCACAACTCTGTTGCTGTGAAGCTCGCACACAAGAATTTCACTTGCATGTACTGTACCAGTGTACCTGCACATGTGACGTGACAATAAAAGTTATTTGATTTGATTTGATTTTTACCATTCAAAGCAGGCTTATCTTTTCCTGAATATGCCCAAATGTAACAACGTGCCTGGCCTGGCCTGTGTGCAGATAGATTTTTGGACAACACATATTTCTTCTTTTAGTGTCCCCCTCAGAAACACACAAGTCACATTCAAGTGACTGTAGAGCTGATGGCAAAACAATATATGAGCAAACCACAAGGGGGCAGTATTTTGACCTGATTTATTTTTTATTTTTTTTTGCCATTGGAGCAAAGGCTCATGGGATTGTTGAAGTATTTTAAATGTGTGGAAGAGTAAAGAAAAACGTTTAAAATCTTATTTATGATTATAGCAGTTAATTTTTTTATGCAGGATGAACATGAAAATAATCTCCTACGCCTATCTCCTGCATCAGCATCTGAAGTGTAGGAGTTGAAAAGGCTGACAGATCTACGTCAGACTTAACGTCCATGTACTCACTCATCTTCATTCGCAATGGGAAAAGGCTGTTGTGGGTTTAGCGTCCAGGAAACAGCAGAGAACGACTCAGCTAGCAGAAGCTAACCGTTAGCATTAGCAACTCCACAACATGGTTGAATGCCTCCAGGGGTTTTGGAGAGATAAAACATCAACGTTGCAGAGCAAACAGAGTCAGTGGCAGAGTTGTGTTGCTGTTATCCAATCCAAGACAAGATGTCCCAATTTCAAGAAAAAAAGAGTCCTAATCCTGTTCCTGAAAATGGAACAGCAGAACTTCGTTTCCTCAGAGTAAGACTTAGAAGGCATTCATTCCTACTAGAGATCACAGCAAGTACTGATTAAATGAGCAAACACATCTTTAATACATTTTTGTGAGAAGAGTAGAGAAAGAGCTTTTGAGTCAGAGGTTGCAGAACTTGACCTCTAAATTTAGCCAGATGTCTTAAGACAACATATATTTTATGCTCTTATTCTGTTATTTTATATTGTTTTCTTTTAATTGTCCTTGCTGGTCTTATATGTTTTATTTTAATTGTACAGCACTTTGGTGGCATGTTTCATGCCATTAAGGTGCTTTATGAGTAAACGTCGATTTGATTTGACATGTAACAAAATAAGCAGTATGGCACATTTTGATAGAAGTGTAATTTAGTTTATTCTTATTGTATGATTAACAACAATTAATATCTGTCAGCTAGCATAAAAACAGGCAAAAAACAATAGAATTAGAGACTAAAAGATTAAATAAATAGTTTTGAGTCTTTTGTTTACGAGCTGAAGAAATCCTCACCTCTCTACAGCGTACTGGACAGCAGGGGGCAGCATTGTCTCAATCTCAGATTGGATTTGGTCTATTTATTTATTTACTTGTTAATTATTTCAACCATTACCTGTCAAGGAATCATGGAGTTCCACAGAATGGCATTTCTATTGAGTTTGAACATCATCTTTCATTTTTCAGACTGTGTGGCACCAGGGGTCTGCAGCCATACTGCGAACGCCTTTTCCTCCTCTCAGACATGACCACCGTTGCCATGACATCCGAGGTGTCACTAACGGGGCCAGGCCTTCAGATGCAGTATAGCGTCTTCAACCTTTCAGACCGTAAGTTATAGCTTTGAGAGGAATATTCACGCAGACTTATGAGCAGATTCATAAATTATCAGACTTGTGTGTGTGTGTGTGTGTGTGTGTGTGTGTGTGTAGCTTGTCCAGGTCAGTTCCTGTGCACTGTGAGCGGCCTCTGTGTTCCTCTGTGTGATGGGATCAAGGACTGTCCCAACGGACTTGATGAAAGGAACTGTGGTACGTAAATTACTTGTTTTAATTCACACTGAACTAAATGATGTATTTCCAAGTGAAAACAAATATTTATAGTTGTAAAAGGCTAGAAAGCCACAAAGAGCAATAAAGCTTCATACTCAATTTAACCTCATCGTGCCCACTCTCCCAGTGAGGCCACTTGCCACACTTCAGGATAAGTAAAGCTGCCGGATTCGTATCACACACTCAGCTGAGGGTAGGATTTTTCAAGCAAAACCACGCAAGCTGGATCACAGCATGAGTTATTAATGAAAGCAAACCAGAGGCTGATCTTGATCTAATCTGATGAGTTTGGCCTTCCTAAATCTCATTAATCTGCTTGGAAATGCTCTCCCATTTTAAAAATGAAAAGAAAACCAGATTTGCCAGCTTCTAAAGCTACAATACTGATCTTTAGTCACGTACTTAAAATTTTTTTTTTAGAAAAGTGCAAGTATCCATCTAAAATTTGCTTCTACTTTAACCCTTCGAGCCCGAGCGTTCCCTAATCGGGGGACAAGCAAGTGCAGCAGTGACAGCCTACAGGACCCAAAGGGCATTTTTGCGTATATTCTACATACATAATGTAATAAAAGGGCAAAAGTCAATTATGTAGCCCATTTCTAATGAAATTACAAACTTAGAAACACAAACTAAAGCTTCCTTGTTGATGTTTCAGTTTGTGTTGCGCAGTACACATGCCCAGAGGACAGTCAGTGTGTGGACTACTACAAAGTGTGTGACCAGCACCCAGACTGCCTCAAGGCCACAGATGAGATGAACTGCACCGGAGGTAACACACTCACCTCCACACATAAACAGAGTCACAGCCTTCAGCAGCTCCCTCACTAACACAAATGTATATTCCACCTTCTCTGTATGCTTAAATATGAAAGAATGAGCTAAAGAAATGGCTTCAGTAAATATATTAAATGCATGTGTGTGTGTGTGTGTGTGTGTGTGTGTGTGTGTGTGTGTATGTGTGTGTGTGTGTGTCCCCGTCCAGGTGTGGTGTGCACTGATATGACTTATGTGTGTGCGGATGGAACGTGTCTAAAGAAACCCAATCCTGAGTGTGACTCTGTGACCGACTGTCCCGACGCCTCCGATGAGAATCAGTGTGGTGAGATTGTTTTACAGAGCCCATCAGGGGTCAGGTGGGGGATAACTCTGAGGTCGCAAGAAGCCGTTCCCTCAGTTTAGTGAAACGAGTGTTGTTATTTTATGTTCGGTATGTGAGTGCTGACAGAAAGAGTTATGTTTCTGGTTTTCCCAATGTCACATTGTTAAGACACTGCTGGACAAATATCACCCTCTCGTGGCAATTTAGTGGTATTACACACAACTAATGTGGCAACATGCTACCCTGGCCTGCCAGACTCCTCCTCTGTTTAATGCTGCACAGAGAACGGGTCTAGTAACTCACAGGCTGAGAGGCACATGGGGCGGGACTAGGCAACTCAAAAATAATAAATCAGAAAAAAGACGGAAATGCTGATTGTACCGCGCGACGCTGTAGTTTTTCAGCTGTAGCAAAAAATGGTGTCTCACAACGGCGCAAACGTCTTTTATTTTTAGAGCATGGACGTAATTTTCACTATAGAAGTGGGGGGACACGAGGGGGGGGGGGGTATAGAGTATGATCTAATGGGAAACAGGCTTCAACAGAAACTGTTGTTTTCCGCTTGGTCCTAGAGCTCAACAAGTGTCAATTTAATATAGCGTAATATTGTTTTTGGACGGTAAAAAGTGCAGGGGTCAAAACTTGACTTTGGAAAAAGTGGGGGGGGGCATGTCCCCCCCCCCCCCCCCAAAAAAATTACATCCATGTTTTAGAGGAAAGGCTTTTAGCACTTCTACTTGTTGTGGTTTTAAAGACATTCAAGTCATTTAGAACAGAGGAAAGAGCCGCAGCGAACTCCGCCGCTGTCTTCGTTGTTTATGAGAAACTGAGCGTCGCTGTGCGTGACGTCCGCAACGCTGTCGTTTTTTAGCTGTAGTCAAAAATGGCGTCTGGCGACAGTGCAAACATCTTTTTTTAGAAGAAAGGCTTTTAGCGCTTCTACTTGTTGGGGTTTTAAAGACATTCAAGTCATTTACAACAGAGGAAAGAGCCGCAGCGAACTCCGCTTTAGTAGCCATGTTCGACAAACTCGGCGTTGTGGTGTGTGACGTACGCTACTCAGCGCTGATTGGCTCGGTTAGAATTCTCAGGGGGTGGGGTCATTTGAATAGGAGAGTTCCCAGACCCGTTCTCTGTGCAGAATTAAACAGAGGAGGAGTCTGGCAGGCCAGGCTAGCAACATGCAGTTGTCAAAGCTCACAAGTTACTGGAGTATTTACAGTGTTGACACTTCAATGCAAGATTCATGTGCATGACATCAATATGGAGGAAAACATTCAGCTTTGTGTTTCATTAGTTTAAATAAATAATTGCAAATGTTCTGTCAGTATCTATTTAGAAGTTTGCTGAAACCGTTAAAGGCATGTTCTGGTGTGTGTTTAATGAGTGTGTGTGCTGATTCAGACTGTGGCCTGAGACAGTTCTCCAGTCGCATAATTGGGGGGACCGACGCCTCGGAGGGGGAGTGGCCATGGCAGGTCAGCCTGCAGGTGCGGGGCACCCACATGTGTGGAGGAGCACTGATCTCCAGCCAGTGGGTGGTCTCCGCCGCACACTGCTTTTACGATGATCCGTAAGTGCAGCGCTCAGGAAGGAGAGGGAATATGGTGATGATTCAGATGTTTTTTTCAGTACCAACAAAAGAAAAACAACCTCAGGCACTTTGTTGCTCAAATGTTCTGATATCTTCACTTTGAACGCTTTCTTTGAAGTGTGCCGTTTGATCTCATTTGGATCTATTTTTTATAATTCTGGACAACTTTTCCTGCTTCCTCCTCATCTCCCTGTGTTGAGTCCTGAAGGATCTGGGTTGAATTGTGACAACATGCCAGTGTTATTAATTTAAAGTCATTTATGTTTCTTGTGGTCCTGCTGCAGGCTCTATTCCCCATCAGTGTGGACGGTTTACCTCAGTAAACTGCTGCTCCACCGCAGCAGCCCCACAGAGGAGGTCGCCCGAGTTCAGAGCATCCATCTTCACCAGTACTACGACGACGAATCTCACGACTATGACTTGGCCCTGCTAAAGCTGGACCGACCAGCATATGCACTGCTGACGGGGCACGCTCGACCCGCTTGCCTGCCACCGCCCACCCACCAGCTGGAGCCGGGCCTGCTCTGCTGGGTGACTGGTTGGGGTGCACTGCGAGAAGGAGGTAAGCTGGTTAGGAGGCTAAAGGATGTAATAATTCATCTGATTGTGGAGGAAATGAATTGTGACTTCTTTGTGAATTTTTTCATTGAGCTCTGTCGTGGATACGTCTACCAATAAGCGGGAATTCCTCATATTCCGAGTTTGGAAACTCCAGTCTGCTTCTGGTCCAGTTGACTCCTGCTCAGTCCCTAATTCCTGACACCAGAAATGTTTTTTTATATAATAAGCTGTCATAAACATATATTTTAGTTCTGACTTGCCTGTATTTCCTTGTTTTGATCATACATCTGTTGCTGTCAGTCATCTTTAACTTCTACATAGGCTCAAGACCCACCTTTTTAGTTTAGCTTTTAACTGGTTATTATTTATTGCATGGCTCGTTTTACTTATTTATTTTAATTACTGTTGCATTACACATTTATGTTTTTTATTTTTATAATCACATTTTATTGGATATTTTACTATCCGTATTAGCTCTTGTGATTTTACATGTTACATGTTTTAATCCTTCCAGTGTTTTCTCTGTGGAGCCCACTGCCTCAGGATCGGTGGTCGGTGGCAGCGGCTAGGGCGCTCCTTGGGTAGTGCCCAGGTAGTGGTGGGGGGTTGCCACCCTCCCTCCCAGGGTGCCCTGGATTGGTGTCTTGGCTGCTGCCGTGGATCTGCTGCTGTTGAGGCAGATGGCTCCCTTGATGGCATGTTTTTCATTACCTGTCCAATCTGAGCTCAGCCTTGTCATGGTCTGCGTCTCCCCTCATGTGTCTCCTTGTGTTCTCCATCCCTCTCTAGGTTCCCCTTTTGTGTCTCATAGCGCCCTCATGTGTCCTTTGTCTGCATCTCATTTATGTGTCTCTCTGTGTTCTTCATGTGTCTTCTGTTTGTAGCCCTCCAGATCATTCCTCCCAGGTTCTGTGTCCTTGTAGCTTCAGCCCTTTTTGTCCCCAGCTCGGGGTGTGTGTGTGTGTGTGTGTGTGTGTGTGTGTGTGTGTGTGTGTGTGTGTGTGTGTGTGTGTGTGTGTGTGTCCTTCCCCAGTCAGGTCTGGTGTCCTCCCCTGCTCCTTTCTGCTCCTCCTCTCGATTATTGTTTTCACCTGTGCCAGTTCTCCACACACCTGCTCCTCGTCTCCTATCACTCCAGCCCCAGTGTACAAAACCCTCTCCTTGTCTCAGTGTTGTGTCGGTCCATTGTTCTTCTGTCACTCTCTTCTCGTGTTATCTCTAGTGTTTCCTGTGCTTCCAGTGTCTCTTAGTCTCTAGTGTTTTTGGATCCCCTGCTCAGCTTTTGGGATATTTTGGTTTTTTGGTTCCAGCCCCATTTGGATTTATTTTTGTTTTCTTCGTCCTAAATAAAAGGATTTTTTCTTTATATCTACTCCTGCCCCGTGTCATCCTGGGTTCTGCATTTTGGGTCCAAAACTCCTCCTTGCTCGCAACGTGACAATGGACCGACCTACCCAGGACCCAGCAGAACCTCCAGTTACACCAGCGCGGATGTACAATTTCTATGGTGACCCGGACGCCTGTCGCGGTTTTATTTTGGACTTGATGAGGTTTTATGGCGCAGACTGTTTGGACACAGACCTGGTTGTTTCTATGGTGCTCTGCCTAAGGGGAAGAGCCCTGCAATGGGCCAGCCGCTACCTCGAGCAATATCCTTTAGAGGAGATGAATTTTTGGGTTTTCGCTGGACGCCTGCTGCAGCCCACAAGCTCCCTCCTCTCTCATCTCCCCACCTTCCTCCGATCCAGACGGTACTACCAGCTCTTTTTCGATGGATCACTATCTGTCAGCGAGCGCCGTTGTAAGGGCTGGCCTCTCAGCATCTCCAAAGTGCCACACCTCCACACCTTCGCCTTGTCCTGACAGCACCACCTCCCTGTCCCTGGTGGGCTGTTACTCCTCTTCTCCCTCCGTTTCAGCCGACACCATCATGGCACCTCCGATGGCCCGAGCTTCCACACCTCCACCTGCTCCAGACAGCACTGCTGCATCCTCTCCGGTGGGCTGTCATTCCTCCTCGTCCTCTATTCCTGCCGACATCACCCCCGCACCTCCGAGGAGCTGTGCTCATCGCAGACGTCACCGCCATCACCCACAGTCATCTACAGCCAGAGTTGTGCCGCCTGACCAAGAGGCCCCTGCTCTGCAGCCCGGTCCAGAACACCTAAACCCGTCCGAAGCCAGAGTTGTGCCGCCTATTCCAGAGGCCCCTGCTCTGCGACCCACGTCTGAGCTCCATCTGCCCTCTCCGCATCCTGTTCCGGCGATGAATCCAGTAGTCGCTCTCCCCAGTCCCCAGTGTCCCCACAAGAGTCCACGTCCCTGTCTCCAGTGTCCCCAGTGTCTCCACAAGAGTCTACGTCCCCGTCTCCAGTGTCCCCAGTGTCCCCAGTTTCTCCACAAGAGTCTACGTCCCCGTCTCCAGTGTCCCCAGTGTCCCCAGTTTCTCCACAAGAGTCTACGTCCCCGTCTCCAGTGTCTCTGTTTCTCCAGCGGGAGCAGCCCTGTATGGCGCTCATCCAACTGTAGCCACAGGTGGGAGGGAGATCTTGGGAGGAGCGCAGAGCACATTGATTCCTGCAGGCTGATGACCTTGCTAGGCAGAAGTCCACAATCCGAAGGCCGGGGGGGTGGGGGGTGGGGTGGGGTGGGGGGTGGGGGGGGTCACAGCATCTGTCTGCATTCCTTCCTTCGTGGGGGTTGTTTTTTGCAGCTTGAAGGCTGCCTTGGCATCAGATTTGAATAACAAGACTTTGTTTGGGTCAGGCAGAGATAATTTTCCATCCATTTTGCGCACTAATACCGGTAACGCAGCTAGGACATTGTCCAGCTTACGGTTCACCTCGAGTAACGTCCCAGTCTGTGAGACATCCGCACGGGCGGTGCTTTCCGTGGGTGCGGGTCGCCCTCTAATCGCTCCCGTCTTCCCAAATTTCCAGAAAACCAGATATCCTCCCACTCCAATCAGAAGAAATCCAGTGATCATCAGGCCAAATATCCACATGTCTTCGACATCCTCAATGGACAACAGAGAGAGGCTTACGATCCTCCATTCTTTCCAGGAATCGAGAGCATATCCTGCTGCGTGTGTCCCTTGAGGGCAAGTGGGAGCCCCCTCCTCCATTCTCATCGTAGAAAAAAATCTTATCAATCGCGTTAAATGACCAGTTAAGTCCATTTCCAAAAAATAGGGATTTTCAGAAGAAATGCAGAGAAGCGCTCTGTAGGCAGACAGGACAAAGAGCCTTGGGAAAAAAGATAAGGGAGCAAAAGCAGAAGCGTCTGTACTCTGCGAGTGCCGGAAGAGATTATATCTACTCCTGCCCCGTGTCATCCTGGGTTCTGCATTTTGGGTCCAAACCTCCTCCTTGCTCGCAACATGACAAGCCTAGTGTTGTGTGTGTGTGTGTGTGTGTGTGAGTGTGTGTGTGTGTGTGTGTGTGTGTGTGTGTGTGTGTGTGTGTGTGTGTGTGTGTGTGCGTGCGCCTGGGAATGGTTTGTGGATTGGGGGTGAAACTGTCATAATTGTTTTAAGTGTGGGAAAGGGAGGAAATGTGGGTTATATGGGTCTTTTAATCTGTTAAGCACTTTGTGTTGCTTGCTTTTTTTTAAATAAAGTTTGATTTTATTTGATATACATTTACTTTTTTTTCTGATCCCAATTTATTTTTTTGTTCAAAAAGAGCCTAACAAGTCAACAACCACAGTTTGATCTGTAACCTTTGACCTCCTTCAGGCAGAACCAGTAACATCCTTCAGAAGGTGGACGTGCGTCTGGTCAGCGAGGAGGACTGTGTTCGATCTTACGGTCACCTGGTTACTCCCAGAATGCTTTGCGCTGGTTATCGTATTGGAAAGAAAGACGCCTGTCAGGTAACATTTAACAAAGTGAGGTGGCCAGTTTCTCTCTCTCTTTCTCTCGGTGACTATCTGGTTATTGATTTTCCCTTCATACCAGCCATGGAACGTGTTGCAAAAGCTGGAGGTCCGAGCACCAAGTGGCATCATAAATCTTTTTTTTTTTGTGGCAGTTTTGTCCGGTGAAAACTTCTATCCCTCACCTCTGACTCCTGTTTTTTTGTCTCTGTTAGGGAGATTCAGGCGGCCCCTTGGTTTGCCAGGAACCCTCAGGACGCTGGTTCCTAGCTGGGGTCGTGAGCTGGGGCAAAGGCTGCGGTCGTCCAGACTACTATGGCGTCTACACTCGCATCACCAGGCTCACTGACTGGATCAAGCGGGTCACCAGCAACACCACAGCATGACAATCTATCAGACGGTTGTCATTTTTAACCAAGAGTTTATTTTAAAGTCCAATATCCTTATTTAAGCTGCACCTCTGGCGTAAAGTGTTTATAAAATGTAAGGAGCACCATTGTTACAAGCTGAACGTTCGTTTCCCAAACTACATTTTTATATTCTGTGTGTGCTCGTCTGACAAGAAATCATTATTAAAAATAAAAATGCAACAGCTAAAAGTGACAGCATTTTCTGTCAATGCGCTAACCACTTTAGAGGACTCATCCTTTATGCCTCCTTCACATTGCAATAGGAACCTGCTGTACTCTCAGTGCCCTGCTGCAACATGGCTGGACTTCAGAAAAAATGGGAAACATCCTTCAATGTGAAGGAGATCCCGTTCTTCAGATTGATTTTTCCCATCACATCCCTCATTCTGAGAGACTTCTCTGCATCATCATCATGCTCAGAATCCTTTCCTGGATCCCCTTTCTTGGACTGAATCAGGATGTAGCTGCATGCCAGATCCGGCTATGCTAGCATCAATCTGGTGTTTTCCCTCTTTTTAGGAATGATGTATGATTTAGTAAAAATCTATAGAAGTGATAGTTCCACCCTGTACTGTTAAATAATACAGGCAATACATTTTTTTTACTAAGCCCACCCCCTATCTCATAGAGCAACATGCTATTTGAATTGACTGCCGTTCAGCATTAGCCAATAGCGTTAGACATCTGCTAATGTACAGATGTCTGCCAGGGAGCGTGCACAAGTGATTGAAGACATACTTAAATGAAAAGGGATTTAGTGGTAGTCGCGTTGGTGTTATCCAATCAGAGGCGAGATGTCTAAATATCTCGCCATGTTACGCTCTCCTCTGATGTGCAGGCGTTTCTTGGTCTAACATACCAAAAGGGCCAATTTTCACCTATATATTGACCAACATATGTCTGTGAAGGTTCTCAGTCATCCATTAGACTACATTGACCAACATAAATCCACTTTCTGTTTGACCTTCCAAACCCAGAAGGTTCTGCTCAGTGCGTGTTTACATACAGAAAACATCCAGACAAACATCCTCTTCCAAGGTCCTACACACTGCATGAATGCCAGACGTCAACATTCTTCACACTGAACAAGTGAAGACTCCATGACTTTTACAACTCATAAGCTAGCAATAATCATATGTGATGAATGAACAAGATGTTTGAATGAAATGTTTGAATAATCCGTGCTTAAATCAATGATGGCTTTAAAAAGAATATTGTTCTTACAATGATCCATTTATATCACAAATCACTTAGTGTTTGATTTAACAAGTTAATCATTGTTTACACTCGTACACATTACAATAAGACACATATTAAGGTTAAGAATTTTGTATCTGAAGGAAGGCGTGGCTTTCTGAGGGATGTTGGTAAATACTCAGAAATGTGTCAAATTCTGATTGGCCAAACTTGGCCAGAAATCATAACAAAGTAGTTTAATAAAACAAGAATTACTTCCCGAGTAATTCAGTTTCCAGCTGATCCCAAATCGGGAAAGAAGCCTCTTCTGAAACAAACTCCTTTGACCTTAAGTCAAAACCTTTCTGCGACGCTGCAAGTGATCACAGACACAACAGCTCTTTTCAGAGCTAGTTCACACCTACCATAGTTTCCGGACTATAAGCCGTTACTTTTTCCCACGCTTTGAACCATGCGGCTTATAATGAGGTGCGGCTTTAGTCAACCAGAAAGGATGGATGCTGGAAAGTCTAATGAAGGAATGGTTAAAGGAGCGCTATGGAAAGCGCCCAGGAGGATTTTTTTCACAGTAAAACGGCGCTGCTTGTTTTCCCAGCTTCACCCCGGGATGATGACAGCAACACGATGAGCGACACTGACATCGCCACAGAAAAGGTACGTGACAAAGCTCTTCTGAGGCTGTTCAACTCCGACACAGAAGATGATGACTTCAGTGGTTTCAGTGCGCAGGAGGACGATGAATAAACTAATCAATAACTTTTATGTTTTGTTTGATACTGATCAGTTCAGTTACGTTCAGCTAAACTACGTTTTCAGTTCAGTAGATATCTGCGGCTTTTAGCCCATTGCGGCTTATATTGAGGTGCGCTCTATAGTCCAGAAATTACGGTAATCTGCAGACCCCGGGTTGCATCTCATGGCCGGGGGGGAAGCTGAACTCAGAGGAAGCTACTAATCTCTGAGTATCGTGGTTTCGACGTCCAGTGACCTCACCACTCTGACCGCAACCCTCCGGACCGCCGGGAGCTACTTATACAAGGGTATCGTAACCCTGCATACTTGTGTCTGATGAGGTTTTTATCGATGACTAACTCTCTAGTTTATAACAAACAACAAATTCTTTTACACCCAGATTTCACAATTTCTCTCAGATACAAAGAACGGTTGCTACAACATCTAGCTTCCATCACATCCACCACACCACGTCTCATTATTCATGTCCTGTCATGTATAAATTATTAGTTTTTGTTCCATGCTATCGTGCCGCAAGGTTCCGTTCTTGGGCCATTGCTGTTTTCAATCTACCTTCTGCCTCTGGGCAATATCCTGAATCAGCATGGCCTGAGCTACCACATCTACGCAGATGACTGTCAGCTATACGTGGAAATGGACGAGAAAAATGCGGGCTCGAAATTGGCTGCATGTATGGATGACGTGAAGGGCTGGCTGGCATCCAACTTCTTAAAACTGAATGAAAAGAAGTCTGAGTTTATTGTTTTTGACCCCCGCAACCACCATGGCTCTCACCCTGTTTGTGACCTTTTAACCCTAAACCCCAAACAGTGTGTGACGAGTCTCGGGGTCAAGCTGGATGCTGGACTCACAATGGCCCCACAGATAAACTCTGTAGTGAGGTCTTGTTTTTATCAGCTTCGCCACCTTACTCACCTCAGACGAATCCTGAAACGGAGGCATTTGGAGTCAGTCATTCATGCATTCATTACCTCTCGCCTGGACTACGCAAACGCCCTCCTCATTGGTGTTCCGGACTCTGCCCTGAATCGGCTGCAGGTTGTTCAGAACGCTGCTGCCAGGTTCTTGACGGGTACACACCGACGTAGCCACATTACCCCTGTCCTGGTACATCTTCACTGGCTCCCTGCCATTTTCAGAGTGCAGTTTAAGTTACTGACTTTTGTTTTTAAAGCACTCAGTGACCTGGCACCTTCCTACCTCTCTGCCCTTCTCACTCCATATGTGCCCACCCGCTCGTTGAGGTCGGCTGACCTTTTGCTGCTGCACACGCCGCGGATGAGGCTCAAATTGCGGGGTGAACGAGCATTTGTCCATGCTGCCCCAAAGCTATGGAACTCATTGCCCATTGGAGTTCGGCAGGCTCCATCTCTGGCGGTTTTTAAATCTCGTTTAAAGACCCACTTTTACACTTTGGCTTTTAGACAGTGACTCGTTTTAGTGTTTTATTGTGTCATTGTTTTAATGTGTTCTTATTATTCATGTTTTCTCTGCTTTTAATTGAGATTTTTATCCTTTGTTTTAGCTCCTTGTAATGGGTGTGTTTTGTTTTAGCCTGTGCAGCACTTTGGGCAGCTCCCATGCTGCATTTTAAATGTGCTATATAAATAAACTATGCTATGCTATGCTATCGTTCTTTTTAAAACACAGAAACAGTTTCGTTACCTGTTTTGTCGCTACGTTGTTAGTTTTTGGAAAAAGAAATAAAATAATTTTATAAACTGTATACCTGACTCTTTCTGAATTAACATGAAGTGTGTTTTTGGTCACTGACTAAGCAAAGAACCCTAGAATTTTCTGATAAAACATTCAAAGATCAATCAAAATGATATTTCATATTTGTATGGAATCATCACGTTATTGGCCATAATCACTATGTTTTAATTGCTACATAGGGATTTTTTGCCCTGAGTATGGCTTACAAGGCATTCATTCCCATCGGAGACCATTTGCAAATGTATTGATTAAATGAGTTTCTCACACCAGGGGTTTGCATTTATCTTAAATCTGTAATCACAATAAACAAGCAACCTTGTTCTAACTAAGCAACAAACCACGAAGTACACTTAAATGGATCCCAGCCAAAAATGAAGCACGGCAGCAACTTTTACTTTCCCTCGTGTTTCAGACAAACATTTCCCAAGCCTTTACAAAGCCCCGAGAAACAAATGCAGATATTTGGTTGAGTCTGAGAGAACAGACATGGAGATTTCATCATCTGTGTCTCTTGAAAGCAATCCCATCTGAATACAAACACAATCTCAAGTATGATGCAAGCAAACAGCTTGGAGCCTGATGCTGAAATCCTCTGCAGGGCCATGATGTCAGCTAAAAGAGAAAAGAAAGGCACCATTTAGACATTTTATGGGCCAGTGAATAACACCTTCCTCTTTTGGAAATTCACGCATCTGCCGCCAAGGTAATACTTCATCCTTTTGTCATCTGATTTCACTGCTGAAAGCTTGGGACTCTTCACAATAGCTGCTTGTTCATGAGTTATTGTAATCACTAAACTGAGATGAAAAGTCTTTGTTTCCAGGGGATATATTGTATTCCAGGCAGCGACTAACTCATCCATCTCCTCTTTTTTTTATCTCCCCTCGGTGGGAACGTGTCCTCAGGAGACGTTTCAATGTTCTGAACTTCCTATTTTCAGTGTAGTTGATCTTTTATTAGGCCGTAAACCACGACTGCAGTTCTGCTCTGTGGAGCATATCTGATACTGGACTCCAGCACCTGCAGAGACAATCCATCTTGTCGGTAGCGTTTACAGTTAAGTTCAGTGATTCTAGTTTCCCGTTGAACACTTTTTAAAAGATCTGGTATTTCTTAAAAATGCAAGAATCTTAAGCAGGAGTAACGAGACAGAGATCCTGTTTGCTGATTACCTTTTTGTTCGAAACAAGATTTTAACTCCGTAGCAACGAGATAAATGTCAATCAAACCCGTAACACAGACTGGACTACAATTCATCCAGACCACAGAATGCTGCATTGTCCCACGCTGACATCAACAGCTGATATTCATAACTCAGAGGTAATCTAATAAATTGTTTTGATCTGTAATTGGAATTCCAAAAACTAGAGTTGTTGAGCTGTACGAGGTCAACAAAGCGCAACGAATTTTCCTATTTTACAAAAAATGTAAAAATACAACAACGAGGTTCCTGATGCAATGCTTGTGTGTGGATTTACCTTCACAAAATGCATGGCTTCTGCTTAAAATGTTATTTCTTTAAAA